GATCTGCCATTGAATGACAAGGTTCGCTGGTGAACACAAAAGTGGTGGGGCATCTTCAAAGTTTCAGCCCAGTGCTCAATGTCATGTTGTTATGCAAGGAACTCCTCAACTTTCCTGACTGATTCAAGAGAACATATGATAGGAACATCACCAAATTAATTCAGATCAGGTGAGAAGCCTATGATCCAAAGTGGACTGATGTATTCAGCTGTTCTCGTAGTGCACTGCCATGCACTGATGGACTGATGCGCCTGATGCGCGGTTTAAGGCAGAGTTCTCCGCTAAAGGTTTACGTCTAACCAATCACAGCACACACTTTTCAACCACTGGCATTCGCAGCACTGGAGGTGCACAACAACAAACGGCTAGAGAATTATCCGGGCCAAAGGCTAAAATTTTCTTTCTCCACGCTCACGTCAAAAACGATCTCCCCCGCCCTCAGCCTTACTCACCATATCATACAATTCAATATCTCAAAATGGCCGCCTTCGATACTTACCAGACAACCCTCACGGGCCGCTACTGCAGCCAGGAGCTGTCCCACCTCTTCAGCCAGCGCTCCCGCCACTCTACCTGGCGCAAGCTATGGCTCTACCTCGCCGAGAGCGAGAAGGAGCTTGGCATCAACACCATCACCGACGAGGCGCTCGAGCAGATGAGGACTCATCTCACTGTTACTGACGAGGACTTTGAGGTTGCGCGCCATGAGGAGAAGATTCGTCGTCATGTGAGTCCATTGATAGAGTGTCATGGGGATAAGCGAGCTGACTAGCGTACCAGGATGTCATGGCTGTAAGAAGCACGGTGCAATGAGATTTTGATAGAACTGATTAGAGCACAGCACGTTCATGCTTTTGGCCAAGCTGCCCCTGCTGCGGCTGGCATCATCCACTACGGCGCGACGAGCTGCTACGTCACCGACAACACAGAGCTCATCCTCATGCGCGACGCTCTCGACCTTCTCATCCCCAAGCTCGCCAAGGTTCTGTACAACCTGCAAAAGTTCGCCCTCGAGTGGAAGAACGAGCCAACTCTGTCCTTCACACATCTCCAGCCTGCGCAGATCAGCACCGTCGGCAAGCGAGGTTAGTATTTTTCTGGGTCGGGAGATGAATTGTGTTCTGACGGTGTTTAGCTGCGGGTTGGGCGCAGGATCTCTTGATGGATCTGAATGAGTTTGAGCGCGTGCGAGCTGAGCTCAAGTTCCGTGGTGCGCAGGGCACTACTGGTACTCAGGCCAGTTTCCTTGAGATGTAAGTTGATCGTTTATTGCTGTTGGGAAAAGGTTTTGACATTTCTAGTTTCGGTGGTGATCATGACAAGTGCGATAAGCTCAATGAGCTGCTCTGCCAAAAGGCTGGCTTTGAGGAGTGCTACGACGTAAGTGCATGATATTCTTTTTATAGTACTTTTCTAACAATTCTCAGATCTCAACACAGACATAGTAAGTCTGACGATGCGATTGACTCTCTTGTTGTTACTAATACTTCTTCAGTACCCGAAAGGTCGATTGTCTCATTGCCAACGCCGTCACTGGCCTCGGCACCACCGTCACCAAGATCGCCTCGGATCTGCGACATCTCGCCTTCATGAAGGAAGTCGGCGAGCCCCGAGAGAAGGGTCAAATTGGAAGCAGCGCCATGGTCAGTCACACTCGTCTGCGAGCTTGACGACATACTAATACCCCCAGTAGGCTTACAAGCAGAACCCCATGCGATCCGAGCGAATTGCCAGTCTCGCCCGAGTCCTCCAGTCCAAGGCCGCTACCTACATGAGCACCCACTCCGCTCAGTGGATGGAGCGATCACTGGACGATTCCGCCTGCGTGAGTACCCTTGTTCTGTTCCTAAATGTCTCTGGCATATTCTAACTAGATTATAGCGACGAATTGACATCCCCGAGATGTTCCTCCTCGCCGATGCCGTCGCCATCACCCTCCAAAACGTCACAGAGGGTCTCGTCGTCTTCCCCCTCAAGATCCACTCCAACATCATGGCCGAGCTTCCCTTCATGATCACCGAGAACATTATTATGCGCCTCGTCGCAATGGGCGTATCCCGACAAGAGTAAGTCCCAACACCAACCACAATCACCGTCCACTAACAAAACCAGGGCTCACGAGCAAATCCGGGTTCTGTCCTTCGAAGCATCCCACCAGGTCCAGAGCCTCGGAAAGTCCAACGATCTTGTTGAGCGAATCAAGAAGACCGAGTTCTTCAAGCCTATCTGGGCTGATCTCGATGGCATGATGAAGCCCGAGCTGTACATTGGTCGCAGCGCGCAGTTGGTTGACAAGTTCTGTGGACCTGGGGGCAAGCTGGAGAAGAAGCTTGCGCCTTATCAGGATTCTATCCAGAAGGCCAAGGCTGCTGAGCTGAATGTTTAAGGAAGTATGAAACATGTAAATGAACGAAAAGAAAATGGAGATCAGGGCTGGTGATACCCAGTCAAGAATAAAAGAACCGATAGACCAAGAGGCCCTTGTGTAAAAAAATTCACTATGTTGTTGATCCAACCTGGAACATAACTATCATGTATCGCTCTGAAGAGACTCGGGGTATCAAGACCCGAGAAGTACTGCTGGTACGTAAGTTGTACCAATCGGATACCCTAGTAAAACGGAGCGTGGAGATCCGCACTAACCCCAACGGCTCGACATGGAGTTGGCGCATTAAGCTTTGAAGATCCGGGGTGCCTTGTCGTGCCCCCAAACTTTAGTAGAGACACGATTATTGGCGGAATTATTTGAGCTGTTGCAATGCCTGCAAGACATTAAGTGATTGGACAGACTTGCCGGATATGAAGGTATATAGTTCACTGAGGGGACAGATCTGTTCATTTCATCGGTCAAGCTCTGTGGGATATTCCTTTCTCACTATGAAGTTTCTTCCCCTCGCAGCAAGTCTCCTAACCCTCTTCGGAGGTGTTGAGGCCAAGAAGTCGCCCTTCTTTATCTTGACGGGTGACTCTACCGTTGCCACTGGCGGAGGCTGGGGCGATGCCCTCCTGAACAGCACCAAGAAACCCGCTGGCGGTATCAACATCGCCAAGAACGGCGCAACGACTGTATCTTTCCGATCCCAGGGCTTATGGGATACTGCTCTTGACAATGTCAAGAGTCACAAGAAGGATCATGAAGCTATTGTCACAATTCAGTTTGGACATAATGATCAGAAGGTTCTTACGCTGGAGCAGTACTCTGATAACCTTACTACTATGATTGGAGAGGTTAAAGAGGCTGGAGGCACTGCGGTAAGATTGACTTTGCAATTCTGGTGCAGTGACTGATTTCGGCAGATTATCATCACGTCCCTAACCCGCCGTACTTTCAAGGACGGCAAGGTGGTTGAGAACCTTAGTAACGAGCGCAATGCAGCAATTACTGTTGCGAACAAAGCTGGTGTCAAGTACCTCGACCTCAACACCGCAAGCACCAAGTACGTCAATGCTATTGGACAGGAGAATGCCGACAAGTACAATGAGATTGAGGGAGATCGCACTCATCTAAACTTCTCAGGGAAATTGGTCTTCGGAAGGATTGTGATGGATTTGTTGGTTGAGAAGAGACGTGATCTGGCCCGGTACATTAAGACGAATAAGAAGTTGAGTCAGCTTATTAGAGATGGGATTTATGCTACTGGAGCGGAGTGATTCTATAGAGGATAGTTGAAGCTTACAAATGAAGACTCAGGGTTATTCAATAACTGTACCATAATACAAAGAATTTGGAAAGTCATCTCTAGATCAAGTAGTGAATACCATTCCAAATCCTCTACCAGATTGGTGTCGGCTGTCCTTTAGTGGCTGTCTTGGGAGGATAAGACGCGACAATAGTCGTCAACCATATAGAGTATGTTAACAAGATAAATCCCGCAATATATATGACCGTCTGATCAAAAATCTCAGGCAGAACAACGGCGCCCAAGCTGAACGGGGCAAACGTCCATATAACACAAGCCACATTCGTGAGACAGAACCCAATGGACAGGCCGTTCCGTGAACCACGAGACAGATACTCATGTGTCGGCCCGATGATCAAAAGCACATTGGTGAGCGCTCCTGTGAGCATGAAGCTACCAGCACCAAGAAACTCGATCAATATCCAAACTAGTGCAAACATGGCGAGTTGCAGGAAGAAGGTGTACGTCAAGATAGATGAAGTAGCAGGCTGTCGTCCAAAGAGTGGCGAGAACGTGGCGATGCGGTCTTTGGGACTTTGGATGGTATACCACATGCAGAACATCTCAAGAAACGCCCATACCGCTAGTGAGAATGAGGTTGAGACAAAGAACCAGTGGTAATCATAGCGGGGCGCTGCTGCGGCGAAGAGATAGACGAATGTTAATTCGTGGGCGACGTAGAAGGTTTGCATCCAGAAGGGCATAGGGCCTTGACCTTCGCGGATGAGGAGTCGTATGGCGTATGTGTACTGTAGAAAGCCGATTGCGAAGCATGCGCTGGTCGCGATCATGACTGGAGTGTTGTCGAACTGGAGACTCTCCGCGATGCGTCCATAGTAGTCGATGTTCATGATGACCTGGGATAGAAAATGGCGATGAAGCCTTTCGTATGGTATCTCAATGATTGATCTCGAGATGTCTATAACGATATCTATATATAATTTTATCGTATTATAATGCTAGGTAGGATACAGCTTTATATCAATACTAGCGTTCCAGAATATCGGGTCGCAAGATGAACTGCCGAAAACGGTGCAGTGTTGTGACCCGAAAACCATGATCTCGGTACAGTCGAGAACCCCGATAGCCCGTTATTCTTTAACTAGAACGCAAGAGGAGAAAGAGAGCGCGCTGTTAGGGGTTCATTCTCGTGTTGATGTCGTAGAATTCTGATTAGCGGGCCCGTATTCTCGGTACGCTTATTATACAATAATGAATCGGGACGAGATGATCACTTGATGAGCGGCATTTTAGTAGAGCGAGAGATGGAATTTATGCAGGATAGTAGAAACCTGTAAATAAGGCACTTTATTTATTTATCTAAGCCTGGCACTTCTCTAATTCTTTAACTATCAGCCAATTGAACGATCTCAGCCACTTTAACTCGCTTGAGGACTCTGGCACACTGAAATCTGAAGTCAAGCATCGAACGATTACATCTCTGTACCTACGACCCATCGCCAACCCGACACTCCGCTTGGTAAGTTCAATAGCATCATTTCTCAGAAGAACATGAGGATAGACCTCATCCCACAACGACCAGAAAGATTCCTTCTCCTGAGCGCTTGCAGCATTCCACGCGCTAAGCGACATACCTTCTATCTGCTCCTCGTCGAGAACTCGGCGCAGCTGGCTGACATAAGACTCGAGCTCTTCTGACCATGTGATCGGCACGTCAGGTACCATGGTGTCAAAAAGTCTTCCGCGCGCTGCTCGGATAGACTTTGTAGCGGTCATCAACCGGCCGTTCAGATCCCGATCTTCCCAGAAGCCGAAATTGTATGCGAGCCAGGCCACCTCTCGCATTCCCATTGAAGCAACCGGTTGTGAGAGGAGACCCATAGACTCAACCGGTCGCCACAGCCCAATCTCGAGAAGTAATAGACCTAAAGAGTAGTACTCGTGTCTCTGCTTGTAGTATGAGTCTCGCTTGTTATGACGTGCATACTCCCCCAGTTCGTAATTGTCATCCGGAGGCGCTTCGGATATAAGCTTGTGAAAGACATAGGCTGGGTGCTGGTAGATTGCTTCTCGTAATAAGTCGGTGTTCTCATGTTCTCCTCTGAGAACCACATATGACTCTTGCGAATGGGTACTCGGCCTGGCTTTTCGCCTCAAAGGTCCAGACCGTCTTGAATCATTTGCATTACTTCGCCTGTCAGAATAATAACTTCGCTTGCCAGATCCACCTGATAAGCCATTCCACAGTGAAGGTGTAAAAGCTCCCTGGACCGCTGTAAAAAACCCTTGATTTGATTTTGTAGTTCGTCTTAAAGGCTGAGAACGTCTGCTCTCACCTCCCTTACTGCGGCTATCCGACCCCCAGGGTGATCTATCCCGCTTTGGCGGCGCAACAGCCTTTCCATCAGCAGAGTCGTCAGTCTCCCAATCTGAACCCATCCCGGCGGCCTTGCCAGTCTCTTTCTCATTGTTTCCCACAAAGTTTGTTTTGCGAGAAAATCTAAATCCCTTGAGATATGGTCGATCAACTCGATATGCTCCACCTGCGTCCTTGTCTTTAAAGAAGAGAATATTCTTTGACGATATATCTTTATGCATCCATCCGGCAGAGTGCATCTGAAAGATAGCCCTACAAATGGCCTGGGCTAGTTGAAATCGATCGTCCAGTGTAGGAATCCGGCTATTTCCGTTACTCATCATCTCGTGCAGTGTTACTGGCTCCGCTACTGGGTCAACATCATCAGGCAGCTCGTGGATCATCGTTGGCGTTTCTGTGTCCATAAAGGAAATTCCCAGGCAGCGAGGAGTGCTAAAATCCTGAGACATCCTCGCTTGACTCAAGAGAGAAGCCAAGAGTCGAGTGTTTCGATGCTTGCTACCCTGGGCGTCTGATCGAATGGTCTGATGTGTCTCGAGGAAAACGCGCCTCTGCTCCCACGTACCCAAGCGAGAGCCCTGCCCATCAGGCTGAATCTCATTTCGCGGGATAACCAAGACCTCATCTACCTTGGGACTCTGGCCGCTGATCTGTAGTGCCACAGACGCTGCGGATGAGATCCTTTTGTATTGATCCATACTGCCTGAAGAGACCAAACTTTCTCGACTCGTGCCCAACGATCGATAAACCTCCAGACTATCTTTACTCGCAGAGGCGACAAGTACTGCTAGAACGTCTCGGGTGATTGTGAAGCCAATTTCGCGAGGAAGGAGGCTGTATAGACTGTCATTGTAGTACTTCAACTGTTGTAACAGATCATTAAACTTTTCTTTATCCATGATGGCCCATTTGAATCGCCCGATTTTGGAAATATAAGACCTGGTGCTCTTCGAGGACGAATTGGCTTCTGAATCTGCCTTTTCGGAGGATGATAGCTTGACACCATATTTGTCGGATAAACAGTCCGTGTCATCGAAGACATCTCTAACACACGTCAAAGTCCGAACAACGACCTGGCAAAGGGCCTCATTCTCAAGAAGTCGTCGATCCAGATTACTGTCGTCAGGCTCAAGGCCAGACTCCGATTTAGCTTCGCTCGAAAGTCCCGTGCCTTGACCCCATTGGGCCAAACGACGTTCCTCGATAGCAAGCCTTGTTCCGAGGTGCGTTGCGGTCTTTTCGAGTTCCTTTGCTTCGATGAAAATCTTGTATGCGGAAATCGATTGCTTGAAAAGCTCAATGGCTAAGGGGACGACTCCAATAGCAAGGCCGGCCACCTCCATTATGTCTCAATTGGATGCTGACATGATATGAAAGAGCTAAAATTCTCGGGCGTGCGGGCAGCGGCTTTGAGGGGCTGACGTGATGCTGCAGGTCTGGTCACATGTTCATGCATAACCCTGGGTTATTGGTAAGCTAGATTATAGCTAGCTATAAATCAAAAATTAAATAATTAGCTTTTCAAGCTGGCTATAATCGTATTCATGATAATAAATCGGGTTAACCAGCTCAGTTAATGAGTGAAATTATGGACGGCGTGAAAGTAAATAAGTCTCTTGGCAATTTAGATAACCCTAGTATACAAAGCCCTTCATCCTGACTTCAGCCCCACTGTTGCAACCCCCCTAGGCGTTTCTCTTTGCAGCGCCTTAAAGAGTGCATTCAACAGGGGATTACGACCCTATGAGCTGGAAAGGGAATCGAAATCCAACTCTTCAGTGCGACGTCGAACCAGTAGATTTGAAGAATAATCACCCAGCAGTTTGAAGCCCGAGAAAGATGGTTGTGGCTTACAACCCTCAGGCAACTTCCAGTCGTACTTTAGCAGCAGATGGCACAAGAGGATCTTGATCTCATTCGCAGCGAAGAAGCGTCCGGGACATGCATGATAACCATGCCCGAAGCCAAGATGATCAGCGCTGGTGCTGACGAGATGCGCTTTCTTGTCGTCGCCGGTCTGACGCATCTTCACAAAGCGATATGGATCGAACTGAAGTGCGTTGTCATAAGTGTCGGAATCCCACATGTGAGACATATTTCCGATTATCTTGTCGCCCTTCTTGAGGATGTCACCGTTGGGAAGTGTAACATCTGCTGTCGCGACCCTCCTGAAAGCACCTTGAGAAAAATGTTAGAGGGGGATGATGTGTTGTGAGTGTCAACAGAACTTACCTAACAAGATTGGACGCATCCTTTGAGACTCTTTGACCACGCTGTCCATCAACTTTAGGTTATACAGAGCTGCTTTAGTCATTCCGCCCTCGGCTTTCAGGACATCAACGATCTCCTCACGCAGCTCCTGCAATACTTTGGGATACTGACAGAGATTGAGAAGAGTCTCGGCAAGTAAGTCAGACGTGGTATGATACGCCACGATTGAGACAGCAATCTGTTCCTTGGCGGGGTCATGCTTCTCGTACTCTCTCTCAAACCAGTCAAGTGAGTCATCAAAGGGACATGGTTTCCCCTCAACTAGCGCCTTCTGCTTGATGGCATTTCGGCGTTCGATATGGGGCTTAAGGCAGGCTCGCGCCTCGTTCAGCTTTGCTCGGATAGCCCAACATTGAGGAAGAAACCAGTGGATGTATGGTCGAAGCCATCGGGGATATGTACGCAGAGTGTGGCTGTAGCCGAACGCCATCAGAGTGTACTCACTTGAGACTCTGTTCCACTCTTCGTCGCGGCAGAGCTCTTCGCCCATGAAGATTCGGGACGATACGCGGGATACGATACGGATTAGGTCTTCTTGGGGTTTAACCCCGTGCCATTCTAAGCCATGTTAGTCTTTGTCTTGCTAGCTGGAGACATGTTGGGGTACCCTTTGAGTCAGTGAGACAGTCGCGGATTGCTAAAGATGATTCTTCGGAGACGGGACCAGTTACTCTGGCTAGAGAACAATCGTCATTAAGTAGTCCGGGAACCAGAGACGAAGAAACTAACTCAAAGCCTTTGTGATATACTTGTTGATCACAGTTGGCATTTTAGGATCAAAGCCGAAAGGGTCAAACCCGGGAATGTATTGATGAGAGTCCTGTTTTGAATTAGCATCAAGCCATCGTTTTCAACACCAGCACTTGCATCTTTAGCCGGGGTCAGAAAGTCGAGCTGTCGGTTACTCTTCAATGCATCGACCCACGAAGGAGGAATAACTAGAACCTTGCCTATTTCGGTATAAGCCCTGTATGGTTGATCCTTGTAGACTGCTCGAGCGTTTGCAAGGAGACTCTTGCTGTTGGCGAGGAACTCCTTGACAACTCGTCTGTTGGTCAGTTCCAAAGGCTTCTTGGAGATAAGAAATGGGTATTTTTCGTCTTGAGTGAAGAAAGAGAAGTTGACAACTAAGATCGTGATGAGGGAAATCGCAGAAAGAACCGCATATTGCGGATTCTCGAGTATGGTATCGATGTATGTCGACATCTTGGAGAACTGCCGATGGTGGGATGATGGATTTGAATCCTCCACGGCATTGATGCTGTACTTATACCATCCACGAGGCATATATCAAAAGAAGGATCGACATAGAATGCTCCTCTTCTGTACGTGGCCCCAATCTCCATTTCTGCGGAGCTCTAAGATGCGAGCCCCGACGGGGAGTACGAGAATAATGGCACCTCAGTCCAGCGTGTCAAAAAGAAGGGGCGCACGTAGCCTGGATTAATGACTGACACTCTGTGTGTGTCATTGTGTCACCCCAGCTGTTGCCTGTCAAATTTCTGAGGCCCCGAGAGCCCGAGTCCTTTGCAAAACAATGCATAAACGAAATAACACATCATATCGGCTCTACCCCGTGAATATCTCCGTTTCAATGTAACGCCAGGCTCGTACAGTCATGCACGAAGGGGAGTGCGTGAGCCAATGGGATAATAGGTGTATACGATTATAACCGAGATTTTCGCCAAGCATTGCCTGTTTGGATTCGTATCAATGGCCCTGCGCCATGCACTTACTCACGGGCCACGGCAGCCAAGCATGGACAGTCCATGGAGACTCCGCGGACGGAGATCGGAATGAATTGAGGAGACACAGATGAGTCATGCGATGACGAAGAGAATGGTTGTGAAACAGGAGAACCGTGGAGAGTGAACAACTGCTAAAGATGACGGCAAAGGACATGAAAAGTAAGGCAAAATTACAGTAGAAGATAAGCTTACTACAAGTCTCTGATTTCTGCATTAGCATCGAACTACGCTTTGAGACGAACTTTATCAACGTCAGTGCAAACTTTTGAGCCGTCTCAAATGTATGATAAACTTCAATAACGCGAAAGTTTATCGACGTCAGATCATCACGGGGATAATGTGATTGTGCCGCAGTACTGCAGCTCTAACCGGTTTAGTCCTACCAAGGGTGATCGCTTCCCCCCCCAATCGGCAGTTTCTTTTCCCCCAGTGACGAGCGGTCTTTGCACCGTAATACGGGCCGTACCGAGTCGATAATCGGATTTCGGCACTGGAAGGAGGGTGTGAGGGCGGAATTGATGCGCAAAGGATGGTTACGCAAGATTGAGCAAGTCGCCGGCTATTTCCAACCACGCATTGCCGGTCATGCAATTGCCATTCAATTTGGCGATAGCCAGGACTTTATACTGGTTTGATGTCCCAAGGCGAATCACGTGTGGGCTGGTTTATTCCTCAGCGCTCAGAAGCAGAAGTAACTCCAATACCGTATTGGTCTTATGAAATGACACTATTGCAGAACTATTTACATGGGCGCTGATTACCGTCAGATATGGTTGCCGAAATGGGTTCTGGAACTCAATAGCCCAGCCACAATCAGCCAAGTGGCTTGTTCTAGACCTTCCATTGTCTTATCCAAGGCATTTAAACCTGCGTTTGCTTAATACTTAATCGTTGATAGCTGCATCTCATCTCTTTGGCAATTTCTCTCCTTTGCAATAAGCTCTTTATTGCTGTTAAACTATGTCTACCACCACTACTTCCACCAGCCCAACCGACGTTGGACAAGCTCTGATTAATGTACTGAATAATCCAACTGGCAATCTGACTAGATCACTACTTTTGGCTGATGAGGATGGGAACATCACAGGCAAAAAGGGCTCTCGGTTTATTCTTCAGTCTTATGGCTACCTAGGTACTTGCTATCTCAGTTTCCTAGTAGCGCTTCTTCAACTGAACTCATGCTGTCAGATCTGAGGGCGTCCCTCGTCGCCAGCCTGAACTTTCCCTTAGATGCGGCATCGTTTGAGACCTCGTATCCCGAAGCCTCTTTGCAGTCACTGAATACCTTCGATCCCCTTCTGTACAAGGTATGCTTGTCCTGTAGAGTCTTGACGCGTTTGCTTACCTATCGCGAAGGAAACAGAAACTGCGATTCTGGACTTTTGGAATGCCTGCAGCGATTTCAATCAATTCGCGCTCTCCAGCTTCTGTGAGTCATAGACGGCGCATTGGGAAAGGGATCGCGGAAAGGCTGACGGACTTTCAGGGACCATCTTCATCGAAACGCAAATGATTTGCCAAGCTCTCATTGATCAGCTCTCAGGAGCGGGAGATTCCAGTCTGCAGGGAGTCATTAACACATTGACTAGTCAGACATACTCTCAGCCAGGCTCTGAGAATGACCCTGAGTTCAAAAGTCTTGCTCAAAGCGCCAGTGAAATACTACAGAATCTCAGCCAGGCAGTGAACCAGAGAACAAGCAGTATTCAGGCTTTGGCAGGCACTATCGCAACTGTGAGTGGTCTTATGCGACTATTTGAGAAAGGATGAGTGAGGCTGATTCAGCATAGCAAGGAAGCAAGATCCAGGCGACCAAGACCGAAATCGATGCCGTCGTGGAGAAGATCGGCTTGAACGATGGTGACCATTTCATCTCTTCGCTTGATGAGACAACTCCCATGAATCTAATAGTCCTCAATAACAGCTTCGAAGCAGCTCAGGCCGCGAAGGCAGATTGGGTAAGTCTTTGTTACGGGATGCAGCAAGTGTCTAGCCTTTTGTTCCATTGATGCCATAGTTGACACTGACGGTCCGTTGCACAGGACCGTGAGATGATGGAAACCGGCACCACGGCGTCTTACATCTATATCCCTGTTGCCGGCTGGATTTCTGGGTCAAACGCTATCATTACGAAGCAGAAAGATGTCAGACTGGCGTGGGATAAGTACCAAGCACACATCGTAAAAAAGAGCACTGACGCCAACAAGACAGCCTACGCTCTTGTTGGTGCAGTGAATCTGCTTTCTTTCCAGAATGGAGCCCTGTGTGATAAGCTACAGAGTGTCGAGAGGGCGTTGAGCGAGATTCAGTCTACCTTTGCAGCGGTTGGCAGCAACCTGGGCCAGGCTGCGACACTGATGGCTGCTGCAGATGGAACTATCAGAACATCTCTGATTGCGAACCAGCAGGTGATACAAGCGGGAATCACCAACGCTGTGAAAGAGTTTCAGGATACTTTGTCTGCGGTTAACGCACTTGTCACGATTGACTCGAATTTCCAGACTACAGGAATCACTGCGGATATCGATGCTCCCAGCATCTTTTCAGAGTAGACTTAGGCGCTATTGTGAATACTCGTGAGAGAAATTTAAAAGATCAGAATTTCCAAGATAAGGTACTGCAAAGTGATCCAGTTGTTTAAGCTAAGCTTGGACTTGTATCACGGATCCCAGTCCAGCATTGGATAGCAGCTCACCGCCACTGACCTCAACCGCAACAATTTCCAAGATAATCAACTTGTGCTGAAAAACCCCTGGCTTCATCCCACATACCATTCATCCGCCCCCACTGCGCATCAAACGCCGTAACAACCATCAACGCCTCCCGCTGCGGGGTGCGATTATGAAGTGTTTCCCCATCACGCATGGCTAGTATAGACTGTGTTACAGAAACGTATCCGCTTCTGCTGATTCCATTGTACTCACTGTTCATTTCGATGATGAGGCTCCTCATAGCACTGCGATGTCCCAAAATTCTAGTCCTCAATGCGTATATGTCATGAGAGAGTTTTGTCTGATTCGGCGCCCTCCTACCATAGGAAGCGAGTCTATCGGCTAAACGCCCCAGTTCTTCCTTGGAGACGTCGAAGCGTTGAGATAGATCGGGGAATTGACTTACGTGGTGGAGGGATGTACGCAGGGACTCTTTTAAACCATATGTAATCTTCATATTGGCAGGGAGGAAAGCTTGTCCTATCGATAGTTCGATTTTGATTTAATAGTTGGTGAAAAGTGTTGAAGGAGAAATGGCTAGAGAAATGAGAATGCCGGGTGGATGGTCAGATATTTATAGGCGTTGACGTTGACTTGAGTCCTTTTCACTTTCGTAACCTCGCAGCTAAGAGCTACTAGATCTTTGTTTTTGAGCATCCGTTATAGAGAACGAAGGCTCACCATAAGAAAGCATTGATAAGACTGAATCTACATGAAGATGGGACCGAGATGGAGCACTAGCAATCGGTTCTTTTCAGACAGTCATTCGATGATCTAGTAATATCATGATGAGATGATTATCGGAAGCCATTTACGGCGTTTTAGCTGGGAAACTCCATCAGTGCGCTGCCTTGGGTTCCCTTGTCTTAACCCTCTCGAGAACGGACATCTACGTTGAGACTGAACTTGCAGGGGTGAAAATGTCAGTGGAGACTTGTCAGAGCGGGGGCAAACGAGGAGGAGAGAAATCATGACATCTTCACCGACCTCACCATGGATGTTCAACCTTTTGCTTTCTTTCCCTACAAGCCTTTAAAATCTGACGAGTTACGCTTATTACGCGTCGAACCTGGCGACACTGATGTGATACGCGTCGAACTCAGAACCGTTAAATCCCGCACGTCGCAAAGATTCTGGGCCTTATCTTACGTCTGGGGCGCAAGAGAAAACCCCGCCACTATCGTTCTGAATGATCAGCCCTTCAGCATCACGAGAAACTTATACAATGCTCTTTATCAGTATCGCCGTCACATATTTGAGGGCTACGGCAGTGATGATAGAGCGTTGCTCTGGGTAGATGCCATTTGTATCAACCAGAATGATCAGGTTGAAAAGTCAATTCAGGTTCCCCGCATGTCAGAGATCTACGGCCAATGTGAGCGTGTGTTGGCGTGGTTGGGCCCAGTCGACAGTGACGAGGAGAGTCATGTTTGCAGATTAGCAGAGAGATTGAAGTACTTCCAGTCACCTGCAGACTTAACCAGTCAAGGCCATTCTGAAGATGACCGAATCACAGCATTCATGAAGTCTGGACGTTGTGACGAGACAGCCGCAATCGACGTTGAATCTGTGCGGAAGGCTCTAAAGTCCATCGGCCATCGCCCATGGTTCCGGCGTATCTGGATTCTCCAAGAAGCCGTCCTAGCAAAGAAACAGCCAATCTTGCTATGCGGAGCTTACGAGCTTGGGTACGAGATCTTCTTCAAGACTTGGGTCTTGATGTTGAATCCATCTGAGGACGGACAGCTGCTCTACTCGTTCATGGCGGAGAACCCAGTCAGGTTCAAAGCCATTGAGCTGGTGTACAAGAACACTCTACAAGCCAGAAGGGAAACGACCCCGGAACAGGCAAAAGGCCCTGTAAGTCAAGAGAAGCAGTGCGCTATCGACATCGTCAAGTTGCTCAATGAGACGACGGAACTGGAAGCTACGGTGGCTCACGATCGTTTGTATGCCCTCATTGGCCTCTTGGCTTGCGATCCTCTACCTCCAGCCCTTCAGCCAGACTACACCCAGTCTTTCGCCGAACTCTGCTACAAGTTCACAATGTTTGTTCTCGACCAAACTCAAGATATTCGCGTCTTAAACCTAGGAACGGTGGGAAGCCTTTCATCCGTGGCATCGTGGACACCAGATCTGCGAAATAGCTGGACAGCAAGGTCCAATTTGACTCCCAGCCCTGGAATATGCTTCAACATTTCTAAGGATGGTAAGACCCTGACCATGCCGGCTATAGTCATAGGCCAGTGTGTGTCTGCCTGCAAGCCTATCACTCCTGATCCCGATACTGGTATCGTATCGCCGGCAGCATTCTTGCAATTCGATGAGGCTGTAGTCAAAGTAGCTGCAGCTATCAGAAGAGTTACTCGCATGGAAATCATGACTGAGTGGTTCAAGTTTCATCTGTCAGACATATACACCGAAGGACGGCTGACTCAAAATCCCGTCATCGTGCAGAGAGTCATGATGGCCTATGTGTGCATGGTACATGGTCAACCACTGTCCTCACTTGGCACGAGATTCGGAACAGAAGAACAGTTGCTAGGCGCATATGGAATGGTCACAGACCCCATTTTTCAGCAGAGCTTGGTTGGGTGTAGTAACTTTGTGCTACAAAATGGAACAGTGGGACAGTTACTTCACGGTGACGCAGTAGCAGCTGTTGGGGACGCCATCTGCGCTTTTCCGGGTCTATCGACTCTTTTTCTCATACGGAGAAGTGAAGATGGAAAGTGTAAGATTGTTGGGCAGGTTTCAAAGTGGGAGAATATCGGAGCAAGCTTACCTTCGGAGCAGCTTGAGAGCTATACTCGATCGTTTGAAGCTGCACATTTGGGAAGAGAAACCAAGAATGGCGTTAGAATGATGAGTCTTGTCTGAAGGTATAAGGCATAAGGCGAAGGCTCGTCACAGGACTGTAGCGGCTAGGGTTCAGGGGTTAATAATATCCTACCGTCGTCAGAACTGATACATGCTGAGTGCAGTGATTAGTGAACTAAATGTAACGTGGCACAAGACTCAGATTCAATAGTGCCATGCAGGTGGGATAATATGGACATGCTCGCGAAATATTACTAGCACATTCGTTCAAACCAAAGGAAATCATTACTAGTCTTATTCTGTCTGTTTCCCTCCAATTCACGAAGGGAGCGGCCCAGTAGTGTATGATGTCCTTCCGATCTTATTATTTCGTGCCTTCTGACGCCATGATCTGGCTACACTGGCTACAATCGCGTGACGTATCCAACACCAAGGAGTCATTCGAGGATTATGGTGATACAACGGCCCGACTCCTGAAAGAGTGTGGAGATAGTCGAGTTTGAACCGGCAGTTTACACAAGCAACCGAAGTTACACGACTTTCTCATCTGGGTTATGTTGCGAAGAGCGATGAGGCTGAAAGCAACAGGAACAACTGAAAAGCTTGTATAACACCTTCCCAGCCCTGACAGTTGCTCCAAGTCTTTGAACACCAACACTAACCTGACAATACATTTCTAGTCCAATTTCTATCCTCAAATTCCAGAATCTCCTGCCATGACCGAGACAACTGAAGCCAGACAGTGTATCACGACTGTCCAGTGCCAAGGCCATGAAAAGGCTATAACGATCATGGGTGACGCCAGACCGGCTATAGTATCTTATTCCGCCAACGAAGAGAGCAACAGCTATCATGTTCTGGAGGGAGCGGATGCCACCTTAGGCAACTTCGATGCGCAGAAAACCTTTCATTCAGCATGTATCAAGGGTCAAATTGAGGTTGTGGAATCGATGCTTGGGAAAATTGGAAATATTAGCGGGAGACGGATTGAAAATGAAAACGAAACTCCGCTGGCCGCAGCGTGTTGAATGGGCCATCTGCATATTGTTAATCTCTTGCTCGAAAACAGGGCTAATGCAGATATTTCTGATGAGAATGGGTGGACACCTCTGCACTGGGCCTGTTCAGAGGATGAGGAAGAGGTTGTAGAGCGTCTTCTCCAAGTGGATGGATTGAACATCAACGCCATTGAAACGAAAATGAACCAGACCACGAAGTCGGTTGCAGAGATGGTTATCTGGAGATACCCGATGAGCGCAACAGAACTGCTCTTCATGTAGCCTGCATACAGGGGTCCTGCGGCATTGCATCTGCGCTCATCAAGGCTGGCGCTGATTGCGATGCTAGATTTCGAAGCGGTGACTCTGACCCTGACGATCCAGACTTTCCTGGATACACACCATTGCATCACGCCTGCAGGGAGCATCAGCCCGAGATCGTTAGTATTTTGTTACCAGACGTACCATTACCAAGGGTCGAGGTTGATGCCCGAGCGGCAGATTGGAGAACTCCCTTGCACGTTGCATGTCTAGTGGGGAATGAGGCTATCGTCCAATTGTTAGTTGACAGAAAAGCAGATATAAATGCTACGGACCATGAAGGGAGCACCCCATTGCATCTCGCTAGCGGCTACGGCCCGGGTTGGAGAAAAAGAACACCGGAACGGGATCTGATAAAACCTGATGACCACCCTTTCCAAGATTCAGAATCTGTGAAGCGGTGTTGGGACTCCGAGCCGAGGCATTATGTATCTATCATTGAGGCTCTGTTGCGACGTGGAGCCGATCCAACCATAATCGACGAGTACGGCTGCACAGCTCTACGTAAGCGGCGATAGCTGTGTATAAAGGAAATATCGAGAAACTTCTCGAGTTGCTGCCACCAGATGCCCTTTCCTGGGGAGATTAGAAGCAAAGTCCAGTTTATTCTGTCCTTCTAGGTGAGCGTCCGCTCGCTGCCATGGAGTCGCTTCTCGCCAAGCAGGAAATCAAGGAAGCGCCTTTTTGGAAGAACAGCGGAAGGCTTCAAGTCATCGAAATGGCGGCCAAATGCTGATATTTTGATTTCACAGGATCTTCTCACCGCAATCATGTCACATGAACGATATCGTACACACGACTATCACAAAGTCAGGTCGTTCTTCCGAGATAGCTGGGTTGAAGTTCCTGACACAGAATCTCGTTCAAGAATGATGAGGCCACGATCTGTGATTAGGCCGATGGAGACCATAGACCTCGAGTTAAAGGAGGAGAAGACAACGGAATCAACTGCATCTACAGCTAAAGATGAAGAGGAGGATTGCGGTAGAGTATCAGAAGTCGTGGAGAGCGAGGCAACCCTCGCCAACTCAGAGACAGATAATCAGAAGATTTACGACGACTGGAATTCCAAGGCTGAGCAGCTCCCAAAGAAGCCATATGGATTTGTGCCCGCATCTGCTATCTATGTTTGTTGAAACTCAATCTAGTTTTCTAGAGACTAATACCATCTTCTAGATGTCATATCTTTCTTATTCGACTCACTGTAGGCATTGGAATTGTAGACTGGCCCGAGACGACTGGGATCTCAAACAGAAGCATTAGCATTACGAAGACTTGTTGGACACATACAAGGGGAAAGATAAACAACAACACGGTTCGCCGACCCTCGATGAATGGTACTACCAATTCGCTCAAGAAGATAACGAAGCCATAAACGACCAGAGCAGTAGGAACGAGAGCCAGGTTGTTAGCAAGTATCTGAGAGAGAATGAGACGGAAGATGATAAGGGTGTTGATACAGAGCCTAATCAGTGGGCAGGCGTGCGTGTTAACCAGGTCTGGATCTGGACTATCTCAACAGGTAAATTATATTACACGTGCAGTCAAGTCCCTCGCTAACTAAGAGCACTGAAGATTGGGTTATCACTGCTACCTCATCGCCATTAAGTGGAAACCCTGACATACTTGTCGAAGAGATTCTGAATTCTTTAAGCAAGCAAGGAGAATACGGCGGCAGCGGCGCACAGCCTGTGTCCGCCGCTGAACTAGTACCGGCAATAATTGACCATTGCATCGGCTCGTATGAGAGAAGACCCAACGATAGTGAGCGTATATACATCAGGCAAACCTTCTCTCACTATATCAACAGAATTGTAAGTCATCACCGAAACACTACAGGCCAAAGATGAACAGGCTTTTAGGGCAGGAAGGAAACGACTCTATTTGATGACTTCCGTGCATGGTCACCAAGCGAGCATCAACAGAATACAAATATCAAACAAAAGGAGAAATCATTTTCTCCAACTGAAAGCGTGGTTGGGTGGCCGAGTTCATCAACTACCATAGAAAGCAACACCCAAACTATGCAGACGGCGGTCCAGACTCACAACCATGGCCATGATATCAGTGCAGCCATCAAGAAGGCTAAAGATCTGTACTGTGACATCAAAGACGTCCGCGACGAGCTCAACATCCTCAAGTCCGTTGCTCAATACCAACAGATCGTGCAAAGAGGACTTGCTAGCAAGGAGGTAGATGAATCCCGGTTTTCTTCAACGTATGTCGTCAAGGATCTGCGAGAGCTTGATTCCATCGCTGAGAGAATACAGCTGGTGGTAAGCTGAAACTTTAGCCCGACCAATGATGAGATTACTAACTTACGGCAAATAGATCAACACAACTCTTTCACTTCAGCAGAGTCAGGTTGCGAATCGTCAAGCAACTGAAGCCACCAGACAAGGCAAAACAGTTATGACTTTTACGTTTGCGACTGTTTTGTTCGTAAGTTGAGTCCAAGAACAACATAGCAGATTTTGAAGATGCTGACGGTTGCAACCAGCTTCCCCTGTCGTTTCTGTCTTCCTTGTTTGCCTTGGACGCTGCCTCGTTCCAACAGGCTCCAGCTTGGGCTTTCTATATTATCTGTAAGGTCCCGCCCTCAGCGACCTTTGTTGACTCTCTGACTGACAATAGAAAATCTAGTCCTTGTGTCTATTGGTATATCTACGATCTTAGGCCTTGGCGTCTTGTAATGGGAGAACATGAAACACGCTAAGGAAAGAATTCTTCACGCTGCGAATAATGCATGCAAATACGCTTTGCAGTCTACCTTAGACTTACAGATCAGTTCTAAGAATATCAATAGTGGCGAGAAAATGGAAAGTAAAGCTAGTATTGTCTTAAAGAGCAAAGGTCAGGAGCAGGGATTATGAGTCGCTTTCGAGGCCGTGAAGGCAGAACTAAGTTTGAAGACGTTGAGAATAGAGGCATAAACTGGGCAAGGACATTATAAGGCTTAGAGTTAGAGTTAATCTTTTACTTAGCTTATTATTATTAAGTAATATATATATATATATATATCAATTACATTACTTATCTCCTATTTCTCGTGATAAATTAAGAGTAGGAAACCGAGCACTCATACTATTACCTAAATATGCCTCACTACCTCCGGATTCAATCCATAAACCCAAGGTTGGCTGAAAGCGCTCTTTTAGCTCCTGAAGATGAGCCTTCGTAAGGACCTCTTCGTCCCAGTGAAGGATGTAATCAACGACTTCTTGGAAGTCGGCCTTCTGCTGAGGAAACATCATACCAAGCAACTCCTTGCAAGACAGTTCTACCTGCCCCCGCTTAAGAAACGTTCTAAGCGGCCAGTCCAACCCCGCCATCAACACACTTTCGTTGTCGGGATAATCAAGGCGTTGCTTCTCCTTACCCCACTGGAATTCGACTGGAACTGTCACAGATGAATAAGGACTACCGTCATTAGACCGACGGCTTTCACCAAATTTGATCCAGAATCTTGGATTCGCTCCGTGAAGAAGAAATGACGCTATAATGGAGATATAAGGGCCCCGGTCAGCGGCGACAATGCTCCGCAGGAGCATATAGTGCCAGCAAGACGTGCTCTCCACTGCTGAAGGCCCATTGGGATCGGAGCCAGCGTCAAGATAGGCATTGGAGATTTCGTTGAGACCTTGGGAGATACGATTACGCCCCGCGTGGCTCGAGTCTGCACCCTGACATATCAGCGGTACCAGCATGGGCAGTGTAACAAGTCCTCGTATTCCGTCTAGGCCAATTGAGTGTTCCTGCAGATCATAATCTGGCATGCCGTACAGAGCAGTAAAGAGGCCCACCTTTACAGGAAAGCTAACTTGTATCGTGTGGTAGAGCAGATCCGGCCTCATCCAGTTGACGTCGACGAGCTGGAAGGGCGCCTGTGGGGAGAACAAGTCCTCGGCTATCTCGGCTACGTTATCTATGAATGCCGTGAATCTCGCTGAATCTGCGGCCGTATCCTTTGCAGCATATACTTGCAAGAGGCTGCAGATATCATAGTCAAGGCTCGGAGGTTGAAGCACGTTGAGTAGACCTTCTGGGCAGAGATCTAAACCATTCTCCAAGTCGGATGCCTCGTGGCGCTCTTGATAATAATTTTCCATCATGATGGCAGCTTGTATATGCGCCAGGAATGTCTGACACATGGCATCTAAGATGTCGAGGCTTTTCAACTCGGCGGCCAATTTTTGCTTTGTCTGGTCGCTTTTGAGAAATTCAATGATGGATCGGTGCGTGAATTTGACGGATTCTTTCAGGGTTCGGTCGATCTGCCGCTCCGGAGTGAGCTGCACCAACTGTATCTCGAGGAGGCCCTTACATTTGCCGTAGATCTTCTTCCGGGCTCGTTCCAAACGCTCAGTCATTTCATCGCCTTCAAGTTGCTGTATTTGTCGGCTGAGAGCGAAATCACGATTCACGATATATTCTTCCAGAAAGGAGACGCGCAAAATGGGCCAATCAGGGGGGCACTCAAGTGCAACTGCCAAGATCAAGTATGCCTCCTTTCGATCACTTGGATGGATGGAGTTGAGAAGGTGTTGGAATAGGTCATTCAACTCCGTGGGAAGTGTGTCAACTTTGTTCTGCAACTGCGACAGCCTATCACCGCTCAGGAGACCGTCCTCAATGTCTTGCAAGATCAGCTTGAGCCACAAAAACACGCCGTCCGACTTGTCCACAAGATTGGACTCAAACTGAGCTAAGTCATCAGGAACAGCAATCCTCTGGTAAAGCTCGTTGCTCTTTAGCCTGTCCCGCACAATTCTTGACATATCAGATCGTGTCAGTTCTTGCAAGCGGAAACTTGAGAATGTCTTGAATGCCTCTTGGAAGATAGGCCACTCCCTGCTCGAGACGCACATCTTCACACCTGTAGGCCGTGCTGATGTCCATCGCAGCAGTTCTTTTATTAGTGCCGCATGGTCTCCTTGAAACTCATCTAGGCCATCAATGAAGAAGACAAGCTTGTGATTGCGATAGACCTCGTCGCGGCGAATCAGATCGGTAAATGCGAGCAAAATATCATCCGAGGAGTCAAACGTGACTGCGACCTTGTTAAGGGTGGCATCCCAATGCTTAGGAAAGGCGAGAGGGATAAGCTCTGGAGCATTAGAGAGAATGGAATAGAGAAGGCCCCGAATCAAGCCCCTGAGACTCTTCTGCATTGTTGTGCCAGGATTCCAGAAGAAGAATTTGCCAAAGACAAGCGACTTGCCCGCAGCCCAGACATCAAGAAACCGTTTTGTTTCTTCCTGGCGACACAGGTATTTCATCAAAGTGGACTTCCCCGAGCCTGGCTTTCCGGAGATATGAAAGATGCCGTTGCCGTGTTTGATCCAGTCCATGAAGTTCGCACGAGCCCCAGAGTTTTCCATTGGTTTGTGAGATGCAATGTTAGAGCTCTGGGCTGGGCGATCGTCGTCACTATTGGATGAGTCGAATATCCACTCGAATGTCTTCTCATGGGCCTCGGCCACATCATCGTATCTCTCGTCCATCAACTGGAACCGTAAGGCAGTGAGGATGCAACTCTCTCGCACCTTCAAAGTCGCATGGTCTGACAAACTGACCACATTCCGAATCTGTTCCAGAGCCTCGAGGCTGAGAAATTTGACCTGTAGCCCAGAACGAAGAGCATCTACGTTTTGGCGAAGAGACGAGAGCTCAACTTCATTGGACTGGCCATATTCTACCAACTGGTTGAGACGTTCTAAAGATTCGAACCTGCATTCACAATATTAGTGAGAAGATGTAGCCTGGGACTGTTTGTTCTAGTCAAGTATTTCTCATACCGCGTCATTGTTGAAAGCAGCAAGTCAAGGTGCTGGCGGGAACTTTCAAGTCTCTTGAGGAGGTCATCCTTCTCTTTCTTCTTGCTCCAATCGCGGTATACTGCCTTCATGCTGCTCCGTATGGAATTCGGCTTCTTCGCCTTCAACCCTGCAAGTAGCTTTCGAAGCTCGTCTGAGATGCTGCTGCACTCTTCAACCAGCTCTTTCAAAGCTTTTTCATCTCTGCTCAGATTTCCGCTTGGTATCTTGCTTTGCAAATCGACCATGGTCGTGGCGAATCGCGTTGCCATGATGCTAAGGCTATCATTTTCGGCGGTGCTATTGGAAGTGGAATCGTAAATCCCTTTGGTTTGGTTCACCAATTTGAACCCGATATCAATGAAAGTCAGAATGTTGCCCGCCAGACCGATGGCTGTAAAGGGATCCATATTATTTTATCCCTCTCAGCTACCGCCCAGCCGAGGTTAGGTGGAATGATTCAGTAGGTGTATGAGGTGGCCAGATAACACAAATGAGGGGTTTTGGGGGGAAAAGTCTGGTGAGATCAAAATATGGGGTCCATACCGGGGTTATACTTCCCTGCCAAGGCAGATCATTGGGCTTTCTTACCCATGCACCAGCTGCTAAAAGATCTACTTTCTGTGCTATAGAGATAACATGTGAGAAGAAGTATCTGGCCTTTAGCGTGGCATCCTAGCCAGCCGAATGCTCACTTCGCATTAGGATTCTGCCAATTGCATTGCTGTTATGGCCAGAATGTCCACAATTTAGCCAAGCATCTCTTGTATGATATTGGTTGATTAGGTCCACTATTGGTCTGGATTTAAGACTAACCAGGATACTGCAGAAGCTGAGCTATTGTGTCGCCTGATTCTCGAATGCCTATTGGACGTTGATTGACTGAGCCGTGTCATCGCACCCTGGTCTTCATGTCAGACAATTCAGGAATGACAAGCATTCAACCTGTCTCTTGTGTTATTGCGTTTCCTTGATGCCGGCTTATCAGCTTTCTCTAACTTCCCAAACATGGATCTTTTATGCCGGGCTGTCTCACTTAAAGACTTCTCGATTCAAAAAACATGTTGTACAAGAGTGAAGAAAAGGATATTGGCACGACGCATTTGTCTGTTATGCCGCGCATTACCCGAGCCTGATTTTAGAAATGAGGCATCTTATCTTAGATACATAAGACTATGAGGGTTATCTATCTATAAGTTCAATAAATCCTTGGGGTTATTTCGGTCAAGATATAGAATTCCTAATGAAGATATATATATATCTATTATATGCGTGAGCTCTAGGTTATTTGAATGGGGATTGAGAATTACTAAGCACACACATAGCCAGTCGCTGCCTATAAGATTTAACTTTCGGCCGCTAACGCAAAGGATAAAGACATGGTATCTTTTTCGCCAATTCAAGCTTCTGCCCTGAAATCTTCTTCGATGACAAATCCCTCTTATCTGAAGTCCTAGGGCTGAAGGTGGCCTTCGATGTTGTTCATCGTATACCAGATCCGGGCACATTTATGCAACTTCTCAAGGTGTCAGTGCACCAATCAACTCGAATGTAACCGACCATAATTCACTTCATTACCCACTTTCAGCTAGCTCAAGGATAGCCTAGCCTCTCTAATCCCCTACGCCTTAGAAGCCACGATACCCGCCAGAGCCATAATCCGCCGCCGGGCGACACGTCTTGGCATGACACTAGCTCCAGACGGCGTTAGGTTATCATGAGTTCTGGTCCGAAGCGGCTTAAAAATCCTCAACCTCGCTCCTCATCCGCCCTCCCCAGAATCTCCATCTATTCCCAATCATCCTCATATCCCAAGATGTCTCAGCCTCATCCTCTTATTCCTCTGTCAGTTGACGAGACAAATCTGGCCCGCGATGTCATTCGGGCTGCGTATCCTCAGAATGTCCTCAAGTTCCGGGTGATTTACCTTGAGGAGCCTGCGAAGGAGGTCCTTGCTCCTTATCTCGATCTTGAACATGCTGGCAAGGTTACCAGCTCTACACCCAGACCTGCTCGTGAAGCGCGAGTTCATTTTGATACCGCTCATGGCGGCAAGCCTCCACAATCGCATGAGGCTATCATCGACCTAAACACAAGAAAGATCAAGCAGATTGAGTCAATCCGCGCTGATGCCCAAGCAGCGTTCACAAGGTATGCAAGCCTTTTCATCGGCTCAAGTCATATCACAGACTAATTGGTTCCTGTAGCGAAGAGCTCGATGATGTCCGAATTATCTGCCGAGACTCCCCCGTCTTTAAGGAGCGCATCGCCAAGTTCAACCTCCCCCAAGGCTTCGAAGTCGTCGTTGAGCCGTGGCCATATGGTGGTCTCGACGCAGCTGATGACCCCAACCGCCGACACATGCAAGCCCTTATCTATGCTGCCGACAGCAAGAACCGCGAATGCAACTTCTGGGGATATCCTCTCCCAATCATCCCCGTCATCGACGCCGAGACCCGCGAAGTTCGCATCCACGAGGTTGCTACTGGCGGAGGAAACGATCCTCACACTTTCGCTGAAGGCGACTATGCCAAAGCCAACATTGATCACATGACGCCTTCGGAATATGTCCCAGAGCTTCTGCCTGGTGGTCTTCGAAGAGATCTAAAGGAGCTTAACGTTGTTCAGCCTTCGGGACCCAGCTTCAATGTTGAGGACTCAAATGTGATTAATTGGCAAAAGTGGAGCATGCGAGCAACTTTTAACCCTCGCGAGGGTGCGGTGCTACATGATGTCCGTTTCGACGGCCGGAGCGTTCTTTACAGACTGTCTATCAGCGACATGACAGTTCCTTATGCGGACCCTCGACCTCCGTTTCATCGAAAGCAGGCTTTTGACTTTGGCGATGGAACACTTGGAGATGCTTGTAATAATCTACAGCTCGGGTGCGATTGTTTGGGTGTCATCAAGGTGAGCATGGCCAATCGAAAGGAACGGCTTTCGCATGCTAACGCGAATCTAGTATTTTGATGGAGTCTTGGTCGATCACAGTGGTACAGCTCGCACGACCAAGAATGTCATCTGCCTTCATGAGCAAGACAACGGAATTAACTGGAAGCATACAAACTGGCGCACTGGCCGGGCTGTCGTGACTCGCAGGCGAGAGCTCGTGGTGCAGTTCATCATCACCCTAGCCAACTATGAATACATCTTCAACGTAAGCTATTTTTCTCCTCGCTATGAGGAACCCACTGACGCATCACCAGTATATCTTCGACCAAGCAGGAGCCATCACAGTCCAAGCCCGAGCCACTGGCATCGTCTCCTCCGTCCTCATAGAAGAGGGCAAGACCGCTCCATGGGGCAACGTCGTAAGCCCCGGGATCCTCGCCCAAAACCACCAACACATTTTCTGCGTACGCATCGACCCCGCCATCGACGGCCATAAGAACACCCTCGTCCAGACAGAATCCCTCCCCATGCGCATCGACGCCCGCACCAACCCCAACGGCAACGCCTACCAGGTCGTCACCACCCCGATAACAGCCTCAGCAGGTCTTGACGCAAACCCCTTCACAGATCGCACGTTCAAGGTGCAGAATATGGATAAGCTTAATCCGATTAGTGGGCAGCCTGTTGGTTATAAGATTCTGGCGCCGGTCACGAGGCCGTTGCTCGCAGATCCGAATTCTACGCAGGCCAAACGGGCGAGATTTGCGCAGAGACATCTGTGGGTTACTAAGCATAGAGATAATGAATTCTATGCTGGTGGGCGATATACCCTGCAATCGGTGTCAGAGGTTGAGGGCGTTGCGGATGCTGCTGATAGGAACGATGATGTTTTCCAGCAGGATATCGTGCTATGGAGCGTGTTTGGACTTACTCACAACCCGAGAGTAGAGGACTGGCCAGTCATGTAAGTACCACACGCCATCACATTGAAACCTGGCCTTGCTAACCAGTACTAGGCCCGTAGAGATTCTTGATCTTCATATCAAGCCTGCCGATTTCTTTACAGCAAACCCAGCTATCGATGTGCCCGGCAGGAAGAACTTTACTTCTCAGCTGACAAACGCCGAAAAGGCCGAAGAGAAGTCATGCTGCGCTGAAGATAAGCCTCACCTGTAGAATACCTTGTAGGCAGAGGGGAGAGCATGTACTTATATGGGAATGAGTGTTATTTATTGCAGGCCATTGAGCATGAAATGAGAATGCTGGTAGGCTTTTGTTCGTAAAACTCACGACTTTCTATTATCAAATGTATTTGAAAGAGACAAGCTATATATAAATTCTTTATTTATCATGAGAACTCTGTTTTGTATGAGTAGCGACCACATTCTCTTGCAATACAGGCCGTGAAGAATTCCCTTATTTTATGTACACTTAAATTACATTTTCGACTCTCGGACCGCAGAGCAGTCATGATGAGACGTAAGGCGAAACTATATAAGTGTATTTCTGAGTCATTGAACTCTGATCTAGAAAAACTTTTTCCTCATATCTACCGTGGCGAAGATAATGAAACCATTGTCCAACTTGACTTGGATCGCGTGGCTCAGAGAACGGCCGACGGCCGACGGGCAGCCACCTTTCTCCTTTTGGTTTAGCTGAACGGCGATTGCGGGGAACTAAACTTGATGTAGCATTCCCAAGCGACGGACGCTGGTCTATTCCCCACGGGGTATGACTTGATATCGCATCTTCAAACGTTAGATACTGGGGATGCCGGTTGGTATTTCGAGGCTCCGTACAGCTCCAGTGTGTCGGGAAAGTCCGGTGGTAAGCTAGGAGTCTCGGTATGACGGCTGATCATGAGTCAGTGTCCTCAGTTTTGTGCCATGGCGACGGATATATGCTCTGTTGCCGTTCACTGTGATGACCTAAAGTGTTGCACCCGTGGCCGTTTTGGGGGTGACAACGTATAATTGGAATTATCCGATGCCTTGCCACATGATTGCAGGAACACTCAAATCCTGAGATGCGTCATCTTGGACTTCGAACCTCTCGACTACGATCAAGTCAGGTGTAGAGAAGAAATATCGTTTGAAAGCGCTTCCCTTGTAAAGATCACGAGTCCGCCTCTCTTAAATAATCTGATAAAATACAATTATAGCTCGGTTCATATCGCCTTCTAGACCTCTGCATCTATCTTGTTCACCTTCGAGTCATTATCGTCTCCATTCTTATTCCCACTGGCTTCTTCAATTCCGCTGACAAACAGCGCATCTTCGTCAAAAGTAGGCCCCTTGAAGTTATGCCTTCCATCGACAAACCATTGGATCGAAGAAACAATTATTATGACAGCAAATGCGACGACAGCGTAGTTCATGTTGGAGGCTGTAACATCGCTAACGGGAGGGAAGAGGAGGAAGACGGTGATGACGATCGTGTAGGCGATGCCAACCTAGATTAACGATTAGTAAAATTCTAAGCATAGATTTCTTTGTTTTCGGGGTACTTACAAGATTGCAGATCCAGCCGAGCCACTCTGGCACGACAAACGGTCGGTTATCCAATAGTCCCTTACGTCCTTGGAGACAGTTGATGGCAGGAGTGACGGCATATGAGATAGCGAGAGCGATAACAGCAGCTGATAAAATGGCGTTGAGGGCACTAGTCGATCCAAGATAGACGAGTCCAAAGATTATGACAATTGCGTTGGTGAGCAAGAGGGCATTGACTGGAATGCCCCATCGCTGGTCAACTTTGGCGAACACTCGGGAGAAGGGTAGGCCTCCATCGCGAGCAAAGGCGTAAACAATACGTGTACTTGTGGCCATGATGCCAAGGGTGCCAAATACAAGGCAAATCATGGGGAAGAGTAGGAGGCAAACAGTACCAGCCTTGCTGTTCGTAGCCTGGAGGTAGATCTCGACGAGAGGTCCGGTTGGGGAGGCGACGACTGCATCTACGTCTTTGATGACAAAAAGAAGACAGACAAGGAAAGCAAAGCCCGTGACCAGACCCATAGCGACACATGCGACCATGATGCGCGGTCCACGAATGCAGGGCTGGGGAATCTCTTCAATCATATGTGCAACGGCATCGAAGCCCGTAAGGCCAAGGCCACCTTGCAAGAGACCCAAGAGAAATGCAACACCCCCAGGCCAGCCAGTTGAGTTGATGAACTCTCCAAACACAAAGCTAGCTGGCTGAAAGTCAGGGGCACTAGTGGCCAAGACAGTGATGGTAGTGGCGAGGAGACCGCAGACTGACCAGATCAGCGCGATCTTTGTCATCATCGGCAATCCAGAAGCCAGGAATAGGTTGAGAAAGAACCCGAGGAATGTGTATAGGAGGAACAGCAGGAAGTACTGCCATCGTGTCGGTGCGAAGTCGGGGTCGTACATGGTGATGATACCGAGAAACAATTGTCCGCCCAAAACACCACCAGAAGCAGACAGCGCAACCCATCCACTAACATTAACCCAGCCAGTAACCCATGACACAATCGCTACCCATTTCGGAGGCGATATGATAGCAGCCCAATGGTACTGCCCAGCACTGGTAGGATAACAAGAAAGAAACTCGGCGTTCGAAACAGCAAGCGACAAACTGCCCACTCCAGCAGTGACCAGTCCCCAAATAACAGCTGTAGGACCACCGCTGGGCAAACCAACAGATAGACTCGACGCAAGAGCTGTCCAGGAATTGAGGATCGAAAAGGCAAGGCCAAGCATAGAGACAAAGGAGAAATTTCTCTCTAGTTCCTGCTTATGGCCTAGCGCTGCGAGTTGAGCGGCATCGCGTGCCAAATCAGCGTCGTGATTCTTCATGTTGCTGGAAGGGCACTGGGGAGAAAAATGGAGGGTGATGAGCTCGACATGGAGAAAGGGGTGAAGGTGGATTTTGAGGTTTTGGATGATAGATGAGTTGATCTAAAGACGGCGGATGGAGATATGCTATTGGTTAGGTCAGGTTGTGTGATTGGTTGGATGTAATCGGCCGTCGGGCGACGATAAGGGCGATAGTGGTTGTGGGGAGAGTCTACTGGGTTATCGGGGATTGCGGGGGGGCTACAGGGGGCTTGGGCGGGAGTGTAGGGTATTTTACAGTCAATGGATCCAAAGAGATTAATTCTTGTTCGATGCTATGCTCTACAGGTGATGAAGTGATAAAATTTGATTACTAGATAAATCAAGGCTCTGAGGCGTCGGTCTGGTGTTGATACTAAGATGTACCATGCTTAATAGTGGCAGGTATGCTGATCTTTATCTTTATAAATCGCTCATCCCTTATGTTGTACCCGGGTTCCGTCTGTGTTGACTTTGGCAAAGAGTTTTATATGAGTTCTGATCACGGATTAATAAGCAGTATTAAAATATGTATTAAATTACATCTCATAAGCCTTTTTCTGCAAAATCTATTGTGCCATTTTACTAGTCTAAGAAAAGCCTTTCCCAACACATAGACAGCCTCTCATGACTCTTCCCATCTAATATCCTTCTTCACCGCAATAGTTCCCAAAGGAATCTCATCCACGGCCACACCTTTAGAGTGCTCCACCACAGTATTATGCTGATTGTGATACGTCTCCGGCCACAGAACAGGTTCCTCAGCTGAGTCATTGTCGTGAAGTCTGCGAAATGGTCCATCCTTAACAGGACCTTTCTGTCTGTCTGCTGACTTTTGGCCGCTGCCTCCAATGGTGATGATTCCTTCTTTACTACGATCTTGTGTAGTCTTGGTGATGAATCGACCGAAGAGAACGTATAAGAGGGGTTGCATCGTAGGAAGGCAGGCGCAGAGGAGGCCGACTGATGGCTCGATGACTGTCCAGATCCAGGGTGTTGAGATGAGTTCTGGGTGTGTTGATCAGTATGGCACCGAGTGATGGCGAAAGAGATAAGGTACTTACTCGTGAAGTCTGCTTCTTGTCCGGCTTGGAGGAGGGCCACGATGTACTTCAACCGAATGCAGCTGATGATCACAATCCTGTACGACATGAGCATATGACTTTTCACAACTTCACCCAGAAACTTACAATCCACCAAGCAGAAATATTCCAGCGATAGCAATCTTCTGCGATCTCGGCACCTGGACCTTTGACACCTCAAAGACCGGTAACGCGATAATCATAGCGTCCATCACGATATTCGGGATCGAGTTGCCAATGAAGAATTTGTTCTTATCCAGACAGGTACCGTCTTTCATGAATGGCTTCCAGGCTTTGTCGACGGGCGAACATTGGAAGATGGATGCGAAGATGATTCCTATCCACCATGAAAAGGTCATTCCACCGAGGATGTAGCCGCCGATCCGCATGGACTTTGTTGGAAATATTCGGTAGTACATTAGGAGGATGCCGACTTTTATGGTGCAGAGGACTGTGCCGTAGACGAATTCGGTTAAAACTAGGCACTGTTTGCGGTGTCAGATAACTCGTGTTGCGACAGTGAGGATAGTCACATACCAATTGAGCTCGTCCAAGACGATTTGGGTCTTGCATCATGTTGACCGCCAATGGTTTGCCAACGCCGCCATAGGTAACAGCTAGAACCAGTATCAGTTGCGTCACAGTATGCAACTTAATTCTGCAGGGAACTTACATGCGATCGCAACTCCAGCAGTCGCCCAAAGCAATGGCTAGATTTTCTGTCAGCGTTTTGTGGCTTAAGAGGATCGAGCAACTACAAATCTTACCAATGACAAGAGTATCATGAAATCATCACGTTCGAGGGCCATTCGCTTTCGGTGTCGAGCCCATACTCTGATAGCCACAACGCCGAGAGCGAAGGGTATAGAGACTGCGCTTACTATAATGAGAGAAGGCCCTTCATTATGATTCAAGACATCAGGCGGAAGAGATGGAGTCGAGTTATTGCCAGACATATTGCCGATGGTAATAAAGATGCCAGGAAAGAGACTAAATCACCAAAACAGCTAGGAGCGAACACGGGGAGCAAAGCATGAAATATGGTTTGAACTTACCACCGACCATGACCAAAATGGGAGTAGGCATTGAAACAGCCGATTCCTGACTCGTCCGTCGCTTAGTGGAACATAACGCGGCACACGCGGGTTCACGGCATTGAAAGGAATAAATCCCACTGCTAATGCAACCCTACAAGGCGTAGTCGAGGGTCCGGTACCAAACCCGCGGTGTTAGTGTGCGGAAGGCCAGGGGTGCAAACTCTAAGTCATATGTTGGCCCATGGAAGGATTTTCAGCCGCCGAACCTCACCTCACTTCCCCTGAACCATCAGTCAAACTTTTGGTTCTATGGAGATAGTGCAGGGATGTATTACGAGGACATGCACGTAACTGAAGAGATCCACGTGGTCCGGTATCAGCTGTTTTCTGCATAGCTTGCATCATGACATTGTGGCTAATTATAAGAACTGTGCTTGGTCCTTTTTATGATATGAAACAGCCAGCCACATCAACTCGCAAGCGCAAGCAACACTGAAGATGAGCGACAAGCCAGTTCTACTCTTCGTTCATGGAGCATGGCATCCCCCCAAATGCTACGACGCCATAAAATCTGCCCTCACCAACCTCGGCTACCAATGCATTATCCCGAAACTCCCCTCTGTAGGCCCTGAAAGTCACGGCGTGACGTGGGAAGCAGACAAAGCGAAGATCATCGAAACAGCAGAGCCTTTCTTCAGCCAAGGTCGTGAGGTCGTTCTCATCGCTCACTCCTACGGCGGCATTCCCGCGACTGCTGCCACTGAGGGTCAAGGCATAGAAGAACGTGCGAAACGCGGCTTAAAGGGTGGATTCCACTCAATTATTTTCTTAGCTGCGTTTGCTATCCCGGTCAAGGGCTGGGATCTCATCACCACGTTTGGTGGGGCTTATCCGCCCTGGCTGCAGGCTGGCGAGAAGTACACAAAGGTGAGAAAGATCGAAGCGTTTGCATCATGTCGCTAATGATTTGCAGAATCAGATTACTAGGATGGCGGAGGGAGCGAGGCAGAGTGTGTACAGCGGATGCAGTGAAGAAGCGATAGATAAGGCTTTGGAGGCTACGGAGCCGCATTCGCAGGATGCGTTTGAGACGAGTCTGGACTTTATCGCATCGGATATCACTATTCCGAAGACGTTCATCATTTGCGAAAATGATCAGCTTATCTTACTGCCTCTTCAGGAAAAGCTTGTTGAGTCAACGCCTGGGATGAGGTCTGCAAGGCTGGCGGCAGGTCATAGTCCCTTCGTGGAGAAGACGGAAGAAACAGCAGAACTAATTGTAAAGATCGTCAAGGACAAATAGATTAGACTAGCATGACTCATAGAATAGAAACGAGACTATCGCTCCCAATTGATAGGATTGGGCCTGTCACTACAGGGCTGTAGCGCGTGCCACATCGGCCAACATCCGTGCGGCTCCGCAGATTTGGCCCGCGTTTCATCGGTCCCGCAGATAGGTTCCGCAGCCACGATTCATAAACCCAGCCAGGAGAAACAGTAGTCGTTATTTATCCTGACGCACTTGCATCGTCTAATTGTTCCCCGTTGCAGCGCCCCAGATCCAAGCTGCCCAGCTTCCCAGCACATACACGAACAGCGCAACGAAGCAGACCTTGCTAATCATCCTAGTCTTCTTACCAGTGGGTCCCTGGCTCTTTTCTTTTCGGTCGTTAATCAAATCCCCGCGCAAGATTCGCTGTTTTCGAGAGTATTGCAGAATTTGAAGATCGGGAGCCCAGAAGGTGCCGATCAGCATTGCTAAAGATATAACGGTAGAGGCGGTAGCGAGGAAGACATAGACAATGGTCACCCTGTCATAAGAATCACCGTCGGTATCTTGGATGACGCCGGTGATGATACGAATGATGATATTAGTCCTAATCTATCGTCAGCCATTAGGATATTTGCGGGGGGCTGGTTTTGACTCACGCGTTGTTCATGGTCACTTTGGCAGCATAAGCAGTACCAAAAACATCTTGATGCCACATACTAGTTCGGATACCCTCGATAATTGTAACAGGGCCGAACGTCTTGAAGATGGCATAGAATGCATATGAAGCAGCTGCACTGCTGACTGTAGTGCCCCAGTTAATAAGTCCCATCGATAGTAGCATGCCAGTGCCGCAAATAGCCATCTGTGTTACACGATGACCATAAGTGTCGATGACAGCTCCGATCAATGGACTGAGGAAAAACCCTATGTGTTTTGATTAGCACCTCAACTCTGGGTAAATGACCGAAAGGGATGGCTTACCTGCATACTGTGACAAAGAGGCATACCAGCCAGCCGCGACAGCATCTACTCCGAAGCGATGCTCAGCAAGCTCAGTGGCATTTTGAGAATAGATGTTGGAACAGCTTGTCTGCACCATTGAGAAAAGCATAATCGTCCAGAAGACCCAAGGCAATTGAATAATTTTGTTGATATCGAACTTCTTATTCTTCTCCACCAACGATTCGCCGGTCGCTGGATCAGGAGGCGGGCGAAAGCGCTTGTGTGCAATCTTTGTAAAGAAAAAGAAGAAAAGCGTGCACAGGTTTGTGAAGAACGCAACGCATGCGCCGATCCAAAAGACCCAAGCAAAGTTTCCGGTGTTCTACAGTACAACTTAGTTAGTTCTCTTCTTTGCCTGTTGGAGATTTAGAGATTTCGTACCTTTGAAATGACATTGGCTGTTGAACTTCCGACAAAGCCACCGATGCGAGCGATACCGATCTGCAGACCAATAGTAGTACCAAAGCCGCCACCAGGTGCAAACCATCCTGCGAATACTCTGTAGTACGCGATTTGAGTGGCAATGTCTCCCAATGCTGCGGTGACTTTGCCAAAGATCATGAGGGGAAATGACCTACATGTCGCTGCGCCTGCAATAACGAGAGCGCCGGCAGTCATGATCAGGTTTCCGTAGAGCATAGCACCTTAAACTCGTTAGCTAAACCCACCAAGATCTTACTTCACGCAACATACCAGCACCACCAATGCGGTCTGTTAGAATGCCAGAAGCCATCATCAACAGCGTGACCAAGAACTCTTCACTAGCTTCAAGCAGAGCGAATTGGGTGTTGTTGATGTCTAGTTCCTTCTTGATGGTGCTTTTGAGTGAGGATGTCAAACGAGCAGACCAAGAAGCGCCAAAGCTGATAAGACAGATGAGTAGGACGGAGCCAAGTCTCCAAGTCATAGGGACAATGGGCCGGTCGTCTGCATCTTGAACGATTGAGTCAGAAACAGCATCCTCAGCCTTGGCATTCTCGAGAGCTGGACCAGGAGCGATTTCTGTCAGACCTGAAGAAGCCTCATGCTTCGTAGGCCTTTGTTCGCTCATAGTGAACAATCCGATCAATCGAGGAAGAACTTCTCAATGTGCGTGAATAGGACTTTGAATGAAGAACCTCCTGGCAAGTGTGCTGATCTCACCCTTATATGGCCACAAATACCCTCATTCTTGTTCATTTCCGCTTCCATGGCACCGTTCCGCATCTTTCATCTTTTACCTCTTCCAAGCTAGAAGCACTAAACTTTTAAGCTTCTTTCTCAGCCTCTCTTGGCAAGCTAACAACAAATTTTAGGCGTCACCGGCGTCTTGCAATAGGGCGAGAAAGTTTGACAGATGGGTCTTATGCGCGAATTTATACACGCTAAGAGACGAAGGTTCGGCTAGTCTTAAGCTTCTCTAACGTCAAATGGATCATCTGATAACAACAATCTTATCCGATGGATCAGATAAAAGATTTTGATGGATTTGGCAGGGGTTCGCGTGCATTTAGCTGTCTTGGCATGGATCAAACGAGAAGAGGTCGGGCCCATGGACGCCAAATCGATGTTAAAGCGAACATATTCTTGTTCTAGAACCTATTCGGCACTCCACTCAAAGGTCGCTAATAAGTTGGCTCGATTGATGGTCCACAACGCTTCTCGATCACCCTCGCTGACTGCCACTGTAAGCGAAGAATCCGGCAAGCGAGGGCCGCCATTAGATCAAAACTAAACCCTACCTTCCGAAACGTTTCTCATACGCAGATTCAATTTCTATCGAGTATAGACCTCTTAGCTATCTTTTCAAGCCTGTCTGAATGCCTAAGATAATAATAGCACCCAGCTTTCGTATAAGTACCAAATTTACAATTCATCGTGATTCCCAAGATCTGGCGTGTCATATGCTGCATTGTCAAGTTTAAAGCTGCCCTGCCGGAGTTTTTGAAACACGCCATCTGGATCGTACTGCAAGGCAACTCTCTTCAAGAAAGCCTGATTCTCCTGGCCGTAACCCCCAATAATGTCTTGCTCAATGTGCCCATAATTCATGTACTTGAAGTCACGGTGCTTCCCACGCAGCTTGACGAGTCTGTCGATGTCTGCGTCAAGCCCTCGAACAATCTTGATAGCTTCCTCATCATCAGCTTCATCATCCCAAATGATGCTAATCACAATCAGCTGTAGCACGTCGTCGGAGTCATCGAGGCCGAAAAGACTGCCTGCGCTCGAGCCTTTGCGCATCTTGGGGTAGATGAGCTGAGCGTCTAGAGCAGCTGTTAATTGTTCTGTATAAGCTTCGCTTATCTTGACCCAGAGTCCGTAAATAGACCGAAGCAACTCAAGATCGAAGCCGAATGTGCGTGTCCAGTATAAGTTGCGCTTTGCTCTCGTGTCGGTGATTTGTTCCATCTCCTTGGCAAAATCTGAGTGGTTCGCTATTCGCAAAGTATCGATGACAGCTGGGATGGGACGAAAGCCATCAAAGATCTTGGGGTCCTTGACTGGCTCAGCGTAGTACATGTACTGAGCGACGATCAGTGTGCCGTTGACTCTGGCGAAGTCCATAAACATATGGGCTTTCCCATCCTCTGGCACCTCTTTCGCAAATCTGCCATAAGCGGTGAAAACATGTTCAAAGTTGTCCGCGGTAGTGACCTTTATCCCACCCCACATTCCACCAAATTCGAATGCTTTCAAGCTCAAGCTTGTCACTATACCAAAGTTCTGAGCACCTCCGCCTTGGAGAGCCTTGTGAAGATCAGGATGGGATGTGCTATCAACTGTTATCAGGCTACCGTTTGCCAGCACGAGGTCGGTTGATGTCAGTTGGTCAACGCCCCATCCACGCTGAGCCGCAAGATAAGATATACCGCCTATTCCAGCACCATTCTATTAGCCATCTGTCTCTTTAATACGCAAAATGCCTTGCAAGACTTACCGCCAAATATGAAACCAGGCACGCCAACACCAGAATCACGCCCCCCAGCAACTGTCAGACCATGCTCTTCGAGGAAAGAGAACAGAGGCCCCCATCGAATGCCTGGTCCGATATTTACCGACCGACCATCATTCGCGATATCATGATGTGCAATCTTGACAAGATCAAACTGGAACCCGCCTTCGATGCTCGAACCACCGAAATTGGAAGAGTGCCCACTACCTTTGATGGAAAAAGGGCATTTGGCTTGTGTAACCTTTTTGATGGCTGCCTGGACTTGATCCGCGCTTGTGGGTTGGAAGAAACAGGCCGGTGCAGTATTTCTCTGTGGAGCATTCCAATACTCTAGCTGGGCACTTTGGAAAGCTGACGAAGGCGGGGTGATAATCTGATTAGGATACAGCTTGGCAACAGCGTCGCACTAACGCAGCCCTTAGAGATGCGAGACTAGTCGCGGTTACAGGAGTCACTTACCGCTATAGCACATGCCGCAGTGCGGTAAGCCTGGACAAAGCCCCGTCCGCCGACCACTGCAGCGAGGAGACTTTCAAACTTCATTGTAGGTATATCAGCGTAACTGAGTTTCCATGAAAAGATGAAATTTAAAAATATTTCATAGATTTATTGACGTGGTATCTCCTACAGATTAAGTATGTATACTTCTATTTGGTCCATGGATACAGATGGATGGTTCGTGGTGCTATTATTACCGAAGGCCGCACGCTATGATAGCGTCTTCCAATGATAGTGTTGGTAGCAGGACGGAGTCCGCGGCCGCCGTCCGCAGCCAAGGCAGCGAACAAAGACAACAGCATACGGAAAATAGAGTATTTCGGACTTTCCGAGCCCAAGCGGGGTAGACCGCACAAGATTGGCCGCATTTCCCGGCGACCTGCTGCGCCAAAATCTTCGGACTTCCGTCGTTGTTTTGAACACCGTATCATCTTAGCCTTACATACCTATTTAGAGGAATTCCCGGCTCGGCTAGAAGGATCTATGTTTAGCTATGGCTTGATAGACGACCGAACTTCGACGGCGTTCTTATGACTCAAGGTCTTTTCTTGATAGGCCTAGAGTATCATGGCTTGCGGTGAGTAATGGCTAGTCACGAGAGCCATGGCCCACCTCCTCCGTATCTTGGACCGTAGATAACAGAGCCGGCCTTGGAAGCTGTTATGTTCTTCTTAAACTCCATGTCGCGCGCAGTATAAATTCTAGTCTGAATCTCCTGGTGAATAATGTAATTAACTTTTCAGGCTCGTACTTGCGGGAATGAGTCTGGATTCTTGAAATCTATCTATTATTCGTCTGCTTTTGGTATACTCTCCCAGCCATAATTTGCTTCCGAAATCCGCCAGCGTCGAAGCCTTGGCCTAGGTCTTAGACATGGCTACCAAGTCAATTACAAACGACCGCAAGAATGATGCTGCTGAGCCCCCTCATCATTTGGAGAGGTGCCCCTCTATGAGCCAGGGTACGATGATAGAGAATGATATGGACCCCCCCCCCCCCCAAAGACCTACAAACGGCGATTCGTCGCAATGTTACAGCTTTTTGTCCTCAATCTTTGCTTCACTATAGCCTGGATTGACTTGGCGCCGGTTGTAGACTTTGCAGCTGAGCACTTCCAAAGCTCAGTGCCCGCGATCAACTGGTTCTCTACATCCTTCTTCCTCGCTGCGGTTATAACTCAGTACCCAGCGTCTTTTGTCGCGCGCAGAGGCTTAAAGCTTTCTATGCTTGCCTCCGGTGCTTTCATGGTAGGAGGCACATGGCTGATGTATGGAGGCACTCGGATCAAAAGCTTTGGCATGGCGATGATAGGACATTGCGTTATCGCTATAGGACAACCCTTCTCGCTCATCCTCGCAGCTCCCTTCTCAGACGCATGGTTTCACTCTGGGAGTAGAGCTACCGCAACAGCGGTCTCTGGACTAGCCACTATCTTAGGCAGCACGATCGGGCAGTTCATAATTGCGGCATGGGTAAAGTCTAAAGATGATGTGACATCGGGAATCCTGTATCAGAGCATTCTCTTGTCAACTGTCTGTTTCACGATCCCTTTCATTCCCGCAAAGCCTCCTACACCTACAGCTCGAAATGTCGTGCATCAAACGTCTTTATCCCACAAACAGGAAGTAAAAATGCTTCTCTCGAGACCCGAAGTCTACTTTGCTGGTATCCCCTTTGCACTCACGTCGGGAGTCTTCAACGCCATGTCCTTTCTTCTCTTTCAGATTTGTATGCCGTACGGGTTCACCATCGACCAATGTGTTCTCGCTGGTCTCCTGCTCATCGTCCCAGGCTTAGTGGTCTCTCTTCTGGCGGGGAGGCTTGCAGACATGTTCAGATGTCATCTTGCCTTACTGAAAGGGCTTGCGTTATTAAATGGTGCTGCCCTCGTCGCATTTATTTGGGTTGCACCTTCTGGGAATATTGGCTTCCTGAATAGTGTTAGCACTATCCTCAGTATCGGTGTGATTGCACCAAGTGGTGTGGCCATCGAATTCATCACGGAAATCATATATCCGCTTAAACCGGAACTTGCTCTGGCGGCCATGTGGGGTACTGGACAACTTTTGGGGGCAGTCTTTACAATTGGCTGTGGGTATATGAATGACGCCAATGGCGGTCTACAGCCAGGCGTCTATCTTATGGTTGCGCTGGGCTTAGTAGCTGTCCCGCTGACATGGTTGCTCGGGCTTTGGGGTAGACGGGAGTTTGTACAACTTGGGCGTACTGCAGTTCAGGGTCATCTATAGATCTCAAAGAACTCCAAGGCCCAAAATGGAAATAGTGGCTATCATTTAACTAAGTGTCGTATTGAATGCACGCCACCTGAGTAAGACTTTTCTTCTTCTTCAGTTTCATGATAAACGTATTTATTCAACTTATTTCCATCGGCATAGCACTACAGGCGGGGCGAACTCGAGGATACTGGTTATGAAAACCATAAGGAAGATGTATATGCATATATCTATCTCATCTCACTCTACTTCAAGCCAGCTGATATAAATTCCCCAGACAACACTAGCCAAAGCGACGAATAGGTTTCTCTCCTCAGCAGTTTTGAGAAAAGTGAAGCTAATAAGACTCACGGCCGGCCATAGCTTCCAACCCGCCACTAGGAGAGGATAAAAGTCATCGTGTGCCTTGCTGACGATGGATAACCAGTCAATGCGCGTATAGTCAACTTTATACCCTGAAGAGACACAAGGAACTACCGCTGATCTCATACAGTTTATAAAAGCACACAACAGAAAGGTGTTGACAGCTGCGCCAATGGTTTGGTCCAGTATAGTCTTGATAAATGTGTTAGGCACGTTAAGCCTATTGTTGGCTGCTTGACCGTGTCTTCCCGGGGCTTTCTTTTCCTTCGAGTCGTAGCCAGGGAACTTTTTCTCAAGATAATCCTGCCTACAATGGGCCATCAGAACTAATTCTCGGTAAAAGGGTGTACTATAAGGAATTTCTTACCATAGATAGTTTGGAGGCGTAGATACGGCTGTCCATATAATGAATTGTGATACAGGCATCCAATCTACCGAGAATGGTTCCTGCCATTTCAAGGTCAACAGAGTCTCAAACGTAACGTAAGATATATTGTGAGAGCTACTACTTACATCCAGGCGATATGCCATCAAAACCTGTGCTAGCACGTTGGAAGTTGCTGCTAGAACAACACTCTGCAGCGTAACCAATACTAGCGGCGAGCTTTTGATGTCGGAAAGAGCCATTTCAACACTTGTATAATCTTGAAGGGATCGGTAAGTTAGGTAGCTGTGAACGCAGAAAACGCGGGTCCTGTATTATCCCTGTGTTCCAGTTGTTGAAAGAAAGGTTTTACTATGTCAAACGCCTGGTTATATACATTGAAAAAAATGGTCAGGGAGGTATTATAGGGGACGTTTAATCAAGAACCACACAAGCTTCAAATCGTCCACATAATTACAATGAAATGCTTGAGCCTCTATAATCTGACCTTATCAGCCGCATCCATAATGTGTTTTCGTAAATGTAAGGATCTTGAACTACCTTTTTCTCCTCCTGCCATAGTTGTCGGACCTCTCGGTATTCGGAAACTCCGAGCGTTGATAGTAGTATGTGCCAGCTCAAGCGCCGGATTCTCGGACTACATGATATCATGTAGTTCGGTTCAAGGAAATTAAACTACACAAGTCGTTCGGTTAGATAAAGGATTTTCGGACCATGGCTAAGCATAACGCCATCTATACTCGTCTGATTGCAGGGTACAAATTCCGACCCGAAAATGCCTCTTCCGGTCTCAGAGTGGCCTTGCATGCCGATACTACTGTTTATCACTGAGTGTCTTCCTGCTCCCTCACCAAATGCCCTTCATATTCCGGGTTCGGCAAACCGAAATCCCCATTCAATTCGAGAAAAGACAGAACTCCACTTTCCGTCAGCCAAAAATCCATATCCTGGAACTCAAATCCATTGTGGATGGGGAACTGGAGGCCCTTGTGAAGTATCAGCTATAGGGCTCAGATATTGCATGTCGCATCTCACCTGAGAGCCAAGTGACTCCTCAAAATTAATCATTTCTATACCGTTGTCGTGGCTCTGCCATAGTTCAGAGCCTACTTGGTTTGCCGAAACTTCTTGCTGAGTTATGCTTGAGATGCATGTGCCTTCCACAAACTTGGTAGCTATTTGTAGGAATTGAGTTACAACCGTACCAAAAACCATATTTCCGGTCACATATTGCAGCCGCATAAAGTAAGATGTGGCTATCTGCATATATGACAGGTTATTTTTCGTTTCTTCGTGACAGGAATTTTCAATAATAAAATCAAACAAGATAAATAAGGCGGCCTGCGGCATGTTGTATTGTACCCTGTCATCGCGATAAGCATATGAATCCAAAATTGTAGGTAAGTGTGTACTACCCACCATGGCAGGACAAATGGCTCAAGTTCTATAAAGTGCACCAGGTCTATGATGGATCTTGCAGATTCAGTGAGAAGAAGCTTGTAGCGCTTTTGCTCCTCGGAATCTTGAGCCCACGCAAGGAGACAAACCCGCGAAAGGGCAATGCGCATGTTGTAGTAAGAGAAATGGACTTGGACTGCTAAGTAAATTGCCTGAGGCTGACCAAACCGATGAGGTCGGAGTCGAAGCCCTGGACGAAAACTCTCTGGAATCGATAGCCTCCAACTTTCTAGTTCTTCCAAGCAACGACTCGCCTCTCGCTGACGCAGATCTTGGGAAGATGACCTGGCCTTGACCGAGAATAGTCTTCGGTATATATCGGAGGCCATCTGAGCATGTTCTGATTTGCACTGAAGCCAGTTGAAGTCTGAAAAGAACGGTAAGTTCGTCTGAGGGACAGGGCATGATATGTCGTGGCTCGGTATTATCTGAAGGTTTGAAGATGAGCATTGGTAGAAGATGCCGATTGGATGACCTCAAAGAGCTTACCGATGATCGACCTGAATTCAGACAGTATTCGCTCTCCAATGAATAGATGACCCAAAAGGTTCTATGAAACTCTTGGTTGGTCTTACATGCCTCAGCCTTAGTCATTTGGAAATGGCTCACAATCCTTGCCGCCTCACTAATCAAGACACCCTCAATAGGAAGTGCGGCATATGTAACACCAAAGATAGCCTGAAGTCAGTACTAAGTCAGCTCAAGATTGTTCAATCATGGCTTTGTACCAACCATAGCAGCTACCGCCTAGAGTATCTGTTAGGACAGACACATCGAGAATACAATGAAAAGAGTTGATACCTGGACTGTGACTAGATTTGTTTGACCAAAGACAAGTCGAGGGAACAAAGCAAGAGAGACTCGAAATATATCCCAAGCATGTCCTGAGAAGGCATCGAAGCTACCACAGTCATGGTATAGACTTCCAAGGCCAAGGACAGCGTAGTACAAAGCGCACCAAGCAGGGTCCATATTTCTAATATCCCCAAACTGTGATGAACGTGCCCTTCTTTCGAAAGTGGAGCGGTCAAGGAATGGATAAAGTGGGTGAACCTGATCGAAGTAGGCTGCGAGAGGTTAGCAACGGTATACCAACAGGCCCAATATGGCGCACACTGAATGTAATCCAGTCTACACTGTTGAGATAAGCACATAGATCGAGCTTCCTTTTCTAAATCGCTTGGGTACGGGTTTGCCCCAACACGACTTCGCGTAATTGATTTAACAGCTGCCTCAATTGTTGCCAATAGATCTACGACTTGGGTAGTACCGATCCGTCTCGACAACGCGATCAATTTTCTGTTAGAGAAGTAGGCAAGACTGGAGATAGACACTGAAACCAACGTATGTCAATCATGGATCTTCGTGATGCAGCTGAGCCACTCACCATCTTGTTCATTGGCCTAAAGCGCGGCTGAATTAGTGGGTAGAGCAAGATAGGGGAGGTGATCCTACCATGATAACAGGATATTCCACTGGGGTAGGAGGAACTACTTGATTGGCGGTATGCAGGGTTTCAGTGGCTGAAGGCTCAAATTGAGCTTCGGCATCGGAGTTGCGGACCATGGATCTCCGTGAAGGTGATGCCGCGATGATGTCTGGCTGAGATCGAGCACCAGGGGAAGATGGCGCCCGTGACAGCGGCGTGACGGGGTCTGCAGCGCCGGGATTTGTAGTCTGCCGACGTAGTTGGCCCTTGGCTGACCGGGACTTACGAACTTTGGAGCGAGAAAAGCGGCAATCTTCTGACCGTCTCTGCTAGGTGAGAGTGAGGTTAGGCGGCATCACGATGGAGGCGGAGACGCTTAACGTACACGACAATTGATGCATACAGCGTCTGACTCGCGTTGCTCTGTGACGGCTATGATTAGCCAGGGGCCAGGTTGAGATAAGGCAAGCTGTCAGAGGACTAACTGATACACCTCACTTTGCGGGCTCGACAGCCGTTGCAGGAATTCAGAAATCTCGACTGGGCTTGCCATGTCCGTCCCGTTTCTTGATCCTGTTGCGATCCGATCTCCATATTGTGATGCGAACCGGTCCAGGCGGTTCAAAATGTGATGGTATCAAGAGCTCCGTAGCCGCGTTGTTGAAGAACTCGACTTGGCAATGCCAAACAAGTGTTTGCTGATGGTTATCACCTGGCTTAGACCAAGGCAAGGATGCATCCCCGCATTCAGATGTGTCGGCTCTTCGAGGTTCAATTGGACTGTTCCAAAATTCGGAGTCCGCGGGCAGGTTCTCATTAGCCACTAAGAAGACGTCTAGCCTACCCGCGCGGCGCTGTTTCCTCCCTGATAGCATTTAAAGTGACGGGACATGTGATAAGTTGCTCAATTAGGTTCGGGTAGCAGATTGCTTACATAACTTTGAAGAAAAGAAAGTACAAGTATCTTTACATTAAGACGCCCAACTCTGCTCTTGGCGTGATTTATTGCAAGCTCCGGTGCATCTTTTGCTATCATACGCTACGAAATATTCTGTCCGTCTCCCAGATGATACCTACTGACGCAAGTGCGATAACGCTTTTTGAAACGTTTGCAGAAGAATCTCTCTATAGTAATCTGCAGAAACGTAGTCAATGGCGTATATCAGACCACTCAACACTCCTATCAGTATGAACAGTCGCCACCGGATATTTGGTCCTGGAGCTTTAGCCGAGCCCTAAAGACATTAGCACCTCGTACATCCAAACAAATAGCGAAAATATTGCCGGTCTTACCGAAAACTCAAAGTCTTTCCAGACGGGAAAGAGGCTCCTTCTCCAGAAACTCGCCTGGGAGTAAGGGTATACCGTGGCGTTCCACCGCATGCCGTTCTTCTTAGTCTCGACAAACCAGTTGGTGCAACCGGAATAAAAGACCGTTGACTTAACACCGGTCTGCATACTGTCTGCCCATTGACTCTCGGCATCCGACTTTACATCGACGATGCTTGCTTTGCCATCCAGTATAGGCTTGATGACTCGCAGGGAATAGTTGATGCCATTCTCCAGAGCTATGATGGCGGAAGTGTGGCCAACGCCCGAGTTAGGTCCTGCAACATCGTAAAATCAGTATTTCTGCCTTTGCCTTTGCAAAGTTGTGTATCAGCTCACCGTAGAGAAGAAACAGGTTCGGGAACCCGCTGACAGATGTCGTGTTGTATGCTTCGGCACCACCATATTGCTCCCAGTGTTCATGTAAATTCTCAGCTTTTCTTCCTACCACTTCGATGCCCTTCAGGAAGCCACCCGTATCGAATCCATTTGCAAGTACAATAACATCTGCCTCGATGACTTGACCTCCAACTCGAACCCCGTCTGGTGTGATTTCAGTGGCTGGTTCATCAGTAAGCCTAAAGTTCTCAGCATGAATGCTCTTAAGATAACCAGAGTCGTATATGCGTCTTTTGCATCCAAACTCAAAGTCAGGGATAAGCAAGTCGTGATACTTGGTGGGCGCCGTCTTTTTCATGTATTCCAAGGCTGTCTTTGTGAATTTTTCACGTACACGTGCTCCCGTGTCGTTCATCTGAAAAAGTTTATATTGCCGCTCTGTCTCGAGGAATACCAGGACACGGAGTAATCTCTGGACGCCGGGAATGTTCTTCATCACCCACCGCAGCACGTCCAAAGTTGGCCCGTCGATCGGAGGGAGGATCCAATGCTTCGATCGAATGATCTGCGTGAGATACTTTGTTTTAGGGAGGATGCTTGGCACGATCTGCGCAGCTGTGCAGCCGTTACCGAAAAGTACTACTCGCTTTCCGATGAGATCGACGTCGTGACGCCACTTTGCTGAATGAATGATAGATCCCTTAAAAGACTTGACACCAGGGATATCCAGCTCCCGTGGGTTAGAAAATAAGCCTGTTGCTGAGAAAAGAAATTGACATTCGTGGGAGAAGAGAGACTCTGTTTTTAGATCCCGAATAGTTAATCGCCACCGAGCTTGGTCCTCGAACCATTGACACTTCTCAACCTGGGCCTCAAAAGTCATCTTATCGAGAAGATGGTACTTTTTGGCGACTCCCATTATGTACTCGTATAGTTCCTCTCTCTTAGCCAAGATGCGTGTCCAGTCTGGGTTCGGCTCGAACGAGAAGCTATAGAGCACGTTGGGGACATCGCACGCGCAGCCTGTAGCATCATGACTTCGATTAGCTTGACTCTATTTTCCCATTATGATAAGTAGAAGGCTGATTGGCATACCGGGATACTGATTTTGTACCCATGTGCCACCAGGTTGGCTTTGGCGCTCGAAATACTGAATATCGTCGAGGTTATACCATCGCTTCAGGGTTGCACCGAGACCAATACCGGAAAGACCAGTTCCGATACAGGCAAATCGACTGTAAGTCATCTTTTGACTTTTCGAAGACATTTTGGCGCTTTTCGTCTAACTTTCAGAAATGAGAAAAGAGGGATACCTATGATATTGGCTGTGACTCATTGCTTATCCTTTTGAGGTAGAATGGGTGCAATTTAATTATAATGGCGCATCATATTTAGTAGCTATCGACTTGAAACTGTAGCTCGGATACAACCCACATGTTCTATTCTATATCCCGCAGCTTCCAGACATGACACCGAGCAAGAACACAAGGTTCGGTCTATGGTCGCACGTATTAGCCGAGGTGATGAGTAGGACTTGTTCCTTGCAAGGTTCAAGATAAGGTTTGGCTCGCTCACCCGCGGGTGCCGAGCTAATTTAGCAAAGACGATCGCGACGTCCGAAGGACTTAGGAAGATGCACCGCTACTGATGTTCGGACTTTCCGATGCAACTTACAATGCTTGCCAAATCCCGAATGGCTATTGCTGGAAGCGAAAAGTCTCTTTGTAGATTCTGAGAGATTCATCCTGAAGCACACGCACCACTCGGTAGACTGACTTCAATAGGTATAAGAGAGGTACCCTATACTAGTAGTAAACGGACGCTTTCACATCCTATATTTAGCATTGCTTATTTGAATGCGTAAAACGTTTCTCCTCCATGCTCTATAACTTGTTCTCAGATTGACCTTGCTATTTTGTTCGACACAGAGCAAAAACCATGGCTCCTCATTCGGCTAGCGGCAATTCCTCCCTCAGTGCTTCATTCGATGTTTTGATAATTGGAGCAGGGATTTCCGGTATCAACATCGCATATCACGTCCAGAATGAAGCCCCAGAGCCTGCACCATCATCTTACGCCATTCTTGAGTCAAGGAGTAAACTGGGTGGCACGTGGGACTTTTTCAAGTATCCAGGTCTTAGATCTGACTCAGATATGTTCACCTTTGGACTGCCCTGGTACCCTTGGCGAAAGAACAAGACTATAGCTTCGGGGGCTGAGATTAGTTCTTACCTAGAGGACGCCGCGACACATGCTGGGATCCATAAGAACATCAAATATCAGCACAGAGTGCTTTCGGCATATTGGTCATCCCAGAAGGCACGTTGGACTCTGGATGTCGAAGTCAACGGTGTTCTCGGGCATACTTATGAGGCGCGTTTCCTTGTACTGGGCACAGGGTACTACGACGATGACGAACCGCTTGCTACCCTGATCCCAGGCCTAGAAAGCTTCTCTGGAACTGTAGTCCATCCCCAATTCTGGCCAGAGGATTTGGACTACGCTGAAAAGGACGTTGTTATTATCGGGAGTGGTGCAACTGCAGTCACCCTACTACCAAATTTGACGGACAAGGCAAAGCATACAACCATGTTGCAAAGAAGTCCAACTTATATTTCCCCATTACCCTTGGTTGATAAGCTAGCGCAGCTTGAATGCGCCATACTGCCAGCTCGTCTTGCCGGGCGAGTAACTCGACTTCGTCGCGCTATTCGATTCTTCGGCTTCTACTGGTTTTGCAAATTCTTCCCCAACACTGCAAAACGACTCCTTCGCAACTTGTGCATCAAACTGCTCCCCCCGAATATCCCCGTTGAGCCGCATTTCACTCCTCGCTATGACCCCATGGACCAGCGACTCTGTGCGTGTCCAGATGGCGACTTTTTTGCCAGCTTGCGTTCTGGAAAGGCGAGCATAGTGACCGACGTTATCCGCAAAGTTACTGAAGATGAGATCATCCTGACTTCAGGTACGAAGCTACGGCCGGATATTATCGTAACCGCGACTGGCCTCAAGCTTCGCATTGGCGGTGGTATTCAATTCTTCATTGATGATGACCCAATCAGTATTATTGATGGCTTTGCTTGGAAGGGTTTTATGCTGCAAAACGTGCCTAATCTGGCTTTTGTGGCCGGGTACTACAACGCTGCCTGGACCTTGGGTGCAGAGGTGACAGGTGTAGCTGTTGTTAGGCTACTGCGGCAGATGAAGTCCCGGGGCTTTTCTTGTGTTGTACCACGGCTTGCGAAGTCCGACCAAATAATGGAGCCGCAGTCGTTCTTCAAAATCTCGTCTACGTACGTGAAGGATGCCATCAAGTATACGCCCAAGGGAGGAACGGGACGGTGGGCACATAGGTGGAATTACTTTTTTGATCTGGCAAAAGCATATTGGGGTGATTTTGAGTCTGGTCTGGAATACTTCTAGAGTCAATTCTGGCCCGATGAGTAATGCAATCAGCGTTGTGATGGGCTCATAGTGCAAGCCCTGTAGAAACTTTCCGTGCTCCTTCTATAACTGAGTTGTGACATTGTTACTAGAAAGCTTGATCTATGCATCCATGATGACAGAAAGAAACACAGTTTCATTGGATCCTGTAATCCGCTCATGCATCATTAGGGTCATTGCCAAAAGACGCCGGCCAATTTTACTACATGAATTTATTTCCCGCCCTCGGCGAAACGCAGTTGGTTTCAGGGGGCGGACGGATTCCAACAAAGTAGTGTATGGTATACTGCTACTTACGAAAAGCTTTTGTCATCGATAACTTGAATTCATTTATAATAACGTGAAAGACTGTTCCTGAAATTTCGGATCCTGGCAATCCTTCTGTTCCTCCCAAGTAGTGATAGCCTCCCCATCCATTATCCCATGTACATATGCGTTTCCAAGAAATAGATATTTGTCGCTAGAGGGGGAGTTTGGACGGACGATATACGGCATGTCTCCCCCGAAAAGAATGCACACAGAGTCCCCAGCCTCTAAACAACAAGGGCCAGTACCAAGATAGCCCTTTTCCGTAATGAAGAACTTTTTACCGTGACTAGGTACGAGATTCTTCAAGAAGGCCGCAGCATCCTCTTCAATGTCACTCAAGATTCTCTCAAGAATATCCACATAGAATGATATCGTTTCCGTGTGTTCTGGAGAGAGCTGGTCCAGCCTATCATCTATGAACTCCCATACTTCAGGTTCTCCAAAGATAGACTCGTTCTGTGGTACAGAAATACAAGCTTGGACTGCCATTTTGATAAGCTGAATCATTGCTTTCAGAAGCTTTTCGTTGTAATCTTCATTGGATAAAACCATCAAAAGTGATTGGAAAGCAAAAGCGGTGAAGGAATTGAGGTAGGAGTGATTTTTTTGGGCGGCTCAGCTGACCGAGAATAGACTGTACTCGGCCACTTATCATCGTTAAAACAATTGGTGTAATAATTTCCGAACCATACTGGTTTTCCAAGAGGTATCCGTGGTCGATGGCCATGCTACCCATAGCCATGATATCAGGATACCACTCCTTATGCTGACCGTTAGTTTCTTTGACCTTGTCGATGTGCAGACCTTTCAACTCCAAGGAGTGGCTGCCGTTCGATGATCTCATTCTCGTCTCCATCGTATTTGAAGATTTGAAACCGTAAAGACTCCTATTGAAACGTGCAGTCGTGTCCTTGTGATGCCACCTCGGTGCCCAAAGGGGACGTCGTTCTTTGTCATTAGGTTCTTTTATGTCTGTGTAATTGAGTATCTCAAGGTTCCTTTCTTCTGATATAACCCTCAAGGCAAATTCTGCAAAGACCGTTGACTCAGCCTTGTGATAGTCTGGTGTGATACCATATGCCCGGACGCCGGCGAGGCCGAGCAACGCGAAGATTTTATCGCGGGGGTCAGTCGCTTGGCAGCATGTCGTCAAAGAAACAAGCAGATATAGACCTAGTAATCCTTCTCTATAGCCATCTGTGAAGATCTCGGAAACCATATTCCACTTAACTCTTGGACAACGACCATGCGAATACTGATTCACCCAAGTCACGACTTGGGTCTTCGGGTCTTCATAACGCATCCCAAGACGTCTCGTTGCCATTTTGAATGTCATGAAGTCGGTTTTAGAGATAACGAGATCCCCCCATAATAGGGTGTACGTAGCTGCAAGTGTAAGCTCTTGCAGGATCCAAACCCTAAAGAAATACGGGGCATTTAGCATAGAGCTCAGAGCCCCCCAAGCTGGCGATTCTCTGGCAGGAAGTCCAAGTTCCTGCAGATAGTCGTTTTCAAGGAAAATACTCTTGTTCTCGTAATTCGTGTGGCCTCCTTTTGGTAAGAGTTGAGATTATCATTTCAGCTGCGGTTGCCTTTTCTGCATCTGCTGGGCCAAGCCATGCATTGACAAGCGTAGCTCCAGAGTAGATTTCCCTCATGATAGAAACTTGTTCAGAACGCTCTTCGAGAGAAGTTTGGTCAATGCAAATTTGGTCGACCCACAGACATCGTGAATCACCAACTAGCCTAAGACGCCTTAAGGCTGTATCGAGGCTATCAGTTATCATAAATGTCTGATCATTGCATTTCATGTGCCTATTTTGAACAGAGGAACCCCACACATAGCTTAGCGCCTCGTACTTGGGAGCTCGCTCTCGTAAGTATGTTCGAAGATTGCCTTGAAGGGGGTCGCTATCTTTTCCGGGGCCGAGCTCAAAGACACGGAAGAAATCGTTGTTGGGCAGTTTGTCGTACTGAAATGTCATTTTGATCTTGACTGGGTCAATCCGTACCGCTTCGTGAGGCTTTTTGCAATAAATAAAAAGTTGACAGGTGGACTCTAATTATCTTCTACAAAGAGAGGAGATAGTCAGTGCCTGATGTGGATTCAGATTCAATGAGCAACCACAGCTGGAAGAAGGACAAGCGAAATGGCGTAAATGTAAGGACAAATTGGTAAAGATGAATGCCTGGCAATTTAAAAGTTCGAATGTCATGCGATGCATTTTTTCTCGCAATCAATCCCCGCATCTTGGGAGCAATGTACATACCAGGCTAGTCAGCCAAGGTAGTAATGCACAGCCGATTGGGGATTGGGCTGTAGCGCACGCAAAGCAGGCACAACCAGGCAGTGTATGCAGACGCCCCTTAGCATAGCCCACCCAAGGACCGCTAAAGGCTCAAGGTCTACACCAAGCTTGCATTTTACATAAGAGCGAATCTGCCTTTTCAGCGCCTTGCGATTGGCTTCTAGGTTCATCACCGCTGATAGGTGCCACAACAGCCTACATATAGCGGTACTCATCCAACTCTGTGATCGAGCTGATTAAATGTAATCAGTCATCCACAACTTAGTTACTACCCCGCTACGCTCAGCCGAGATCTTGACTAACTGGTGATTGGTATCTTCAAAGCGTCTTGTTGATAAGAGCTTTAATCAGCCAAGAGAACTTGGTATTTTTAAATCGTTGAATCGCTCGACAATAAAGCTTAGGTATTACTACAGGTCTCACGTTAGTCGAGGTCGATGGCGTTGTTGTCGGTATTAAAGGATCATACCCAATCGCGTCCCTTTCTAAAAGCCTGTATGGTGATTCCTCTATTCGCGAGAAGGGAAAGGAGATAACACTGGAAGAATGTCGACAAAAATAAGATCGTCTTACTACTTAAAGGTCCTTTATTATTTTTCGACTCTGCCACTCATCGTGACTGAAATGACTTTCCTTGCAATTGAATATGAGTCATGAATTACGAAAAAAGCTCTGAAATATAGTTGCGATACTGTTACTAATTACTGCTTCCTCGCGATAGGGTTACAGACAGCTTTATTGCATGCCATTACCCATCCAATCTTCATGTTCTTCCCCATCTGGCTCATTTCTGATAAGCGGGCGGCCAGCTCTCGGGCACAAATTCAATACCTGCCTCACATATGGCCTCACGAACGGTTGCATCCATCTTGTCCCAACAGTCAAGGCCAATATGCTTCAGATCTTGAAAGCGTTCAGCCTTGACATTGGAAAGCTCTAGCAAAACCCCTTCTAAGTGGCTAAGTTCTCTTTGCTGCTTTAAGCTCTCAGCCACAAATCTCACCTGCAAGGTCACCCATTCAGTGGGGTCCAATTCTAGACCGTCCCAGCCTAAGTGCAGAGATACTATCGATGGCGGTAACACCCGGGTAATTGAATAACGGTCGGGTGAAATTTTAAACATAAGCCGCGTGTTGATAAAGACATGTTGAAGCTTCCCAGAGTCTCGGAACGTGCAGGCGCGGCGGTCGGAGATGACTTGCACAGGGGGAAGGTCGAAGTGTAATGTCTCCAAACTGTGCAGATAATCGCGCATCTTTTCAATAACATTTGCAGAAACCCAGCGCATCGAGAATACTCCACTAGACTCAACAACGAGCGAACGAAGGTCTTTGGCTGCGAAAGATAGTGTTTGTTGAGATCTGAGGGTGATGATGTATCTTCCAACCGCAGGGTTCTGATGTTGGACTGGTCGCCGCCTGAACCTTCGTCCCTCTCTAGAAAGGGAGATTTGGTAATGTCAAGCTGTTCCAAGTTCGGTGCCCGTTTGATAATGGAAAAAATATCCTTATCTATCTCCAATGTTCGAAGATACGGGAGCTCTGTGACTCCTAGAGCGTCAAGAGCGGTGTGTTCAAACATGTGAAACTCCGAATTGTATTTGTAAATGATGTGACTCAGCTTGGGGAGCAGTGCAATCAGCATTGGTATGAGCTCATGGTGCAAAGCCCTATACAGGTTATTCGCCGTCATTGAGTAATTTTTCAGAACCAAACCCTTATCAAGACAATACCGACGGGTGCATAGAAATGCATACTCCAAGATTTCATCAGTGAAGGCTGAATTGAGCATGAATGGATACTCTTCCTGTCTTCCCATACCTGGATCTGCTCAAGTGTCCAAGAATTCGTAAAGCACTCTGCCAATGTCGATACCGAGATCAGCGGTACCCTGCTTCAAAGCGAGGACGGTTCGTTTTACAGACTCGTTGGAGTGTTTTTAATGAACGAAAAGGAGCCGAACCCTGCTAGCGAGGTCTTCCAACGGTGCGCATGAATTGGTTCAGTCTGTTGCCATAAGCATAAAGCTTGGACAGCTCAGAGTCTCCATAGCCAAGTGCAGAGTCATGGTACAGAATATCCTCCGCCACAGCATGCAGTGATTTGCAAGAGGCTGCAAGAGAGAACAAGGTATATTTGTCGATCGAGTACCATGACTTTTGGTCGGGCTGCTGAGGTTCCTGGCACCGCTTTTGCTGGCGCAGGGTTCCGACACCCTTAATAGGTCTTAGGCCGCCTCGACAATGCAGACAAAAGTAGGAGAAAATTTCAACGAGATTATCTCGTGGGAGTGAGGCCAGACCGACCATTATATAGCTTATAAGTGATATTCTAGAAGGTGATCTTAATATGATGAAGCCGTGGGAAAGAGATTATTAGAAGCGGTGAGATCGTCCGATAAGTGGGGCAAGAGGGGGGTTACTTACTAGGACTACTGTAGCACTACCAGTACAAAAGCTAAGAAGTGGGTATACATTAACTTGTGTTTTATGTGAATAATTTTATGCTTTCTAAAGAGCAGTAAGATATTAAACTACATCTATAGCTTTACTGTAAGTTATATAAGTGGGGGTCTATTTATATAAATTTAGTAAATTTCAAGATAAGATCTTTAAAGGAAAGCACCCTTTTAATTAAATAAAGGACTTATAGTTAGACAGTAATTGCAGTTAGTACTCATTTATTAACGTTATTTATTAAGTACATTCGCTATACTATCTTTCCTAGCTGTTAGTTGCCAGAATGCCCTTCTCCTTTAAACCACTAATAAGTCGATAAATACCCTGACAAGCAAGCCTAGCGACTGTGTCTCCCCCTTCTAAGCGCGGATTGAAGGAGCACACGACTAGCGAGGTTGGGTTGATCTTGGTTGGTATCATTCCCATCAACCCCATAACATCCTCAGGTAGAAAGCCCCCAGGCGACGGGAACTCATTGACACGGCCTAGGGAGTCATCGAGAACATCCAAGTCGAAGTGGATGTGTGCTTCCTGAATGTCATCCCTTTTGTCTAATGTCTCAGCGAGAGCAGACGTAAAGTCCACCTTCTTGTTCGCATCACCCCAAATGACATCAACTCCAGCATCTTTGACCGTCTTGCGCTGGATCTCTGAAACATCTCGCAAGCCGCAATATATCATGCGTTTCACATCAACAGGTTGGTGACCGGGCACAGTCTTCATCAAAGTATGCCAGCTTGTTCCAATCATCATCGAAGCGGCCATGGCGTCTAGGTAGCCATTTTCATGTGTCGAGGGGGTATCTAGGTCGTCGTGGGCGTCGAGCCATAACACCCCAGTCTGAGAGGTAGATGACGTAGGTCTTGCTTGGTTGAGGCCAGCCATTGTCGCCGTGCTGGCGTAGCAGTTTCCGGAAAGAACCAAAGGGAACGAGTTATTCGAGACAGCTTTAGAGACGGCGTTCGAAATGCGGCGGAGTATCTCGAAAGTTCGACCAATCTCACCCTCGAATTCGTCAACAGGTGCAACATTGATGAAAGATACAGGCGCCAATTTGGAAAGCTCTTTATCAATACCGTGGGACATGATGCGGAGAGGGCCCCCTCCAACGCGGTGGTCATAAAGTCCTACATGGTAGGGAGCGACGATGATGGTAATAGAGGTGAACCGCATAATGCTTTGATATGTGAAGTAGTGATGGGGGATATTGGCCAGGCTTGATCAATATTTGCCCCGTAAGGAAAATAGAACAAGTTAGAGGAGAGAAACCTTAAATACTTCACAATCGCGCTCATCAGTTAGTGGGTGGATACTATTGTGGCCCCGCAGCTAACGTTACGACTGATATTCGAGGAGTGGGGTTCGAAAGAAGAGCTACCTATTATCTAGTTTGAAGAGCTTATTATCTTGTTGTAACCTCTACTAGTCATAGTTAAAGCCAGGCTCAGCCGTTAACGTACATAGAGCGTAGATATTGTGCTGGGTGTCAAGGGAGGTCATAGACATGACAGTCGGATAAACAATCGTCCGAACCCCAGTAACAGTAATTGAATCACATATTTATAATCAGTTGCTAGCTGACAAATTCGCCCTCGGGAGTTAGAATCAGCACATAAAAGCAGCATGATTCGTTAAATAAGTCAATATCCAATCTTTAATCTCTTCATCGCCATAATGAAAGCTCTTGTTCTAAATACATCCCTGAAAAAGGCAATCGTGGAGGATGTCGATCGCCCAAGTCCCGGGCCCAACGAGATTCTTATCAATGTGCGCGCAATAGCACTAAACCCAGTAGATGAACTATACGTTTCGTCACCGATTGCAGCTCAGGAGAAGAGAATTGTCGGCACTGACTTTGCTGGCATCGTTGTTGAAGCTGGATCTGCGATTGGTGATTTCTCTGATCCAAGAGTCAAAGTCGGGACACGGGTTGCTGGTTTCCTACAGGGCGGTATGTATTTCGTCAGTGGATATTTGATTAAGACTGATAATTGTAGCGTCATCTGTGAATGATCGTCCTGGAGCCTTTGCAGAGTTCATAGTCGTGCCTTATGATCTCGTATGGAAGATCCCTGACAAGCTGACCTTCGAAGAAGCCTCGACCATCAGCATGTGCGGCCTGACCGCTGCCCAGGCTCTATTCGGCCGTCTCGACTTGCCATCTCCATTTTCCTCGGAACCGCCAGCGACGTCCGGAGGCGATGAGAAAATCACCAACCTCTTCATTTATGGATCATCGACTTCCGTCGGACTGTATGCCGCACAGCTCATCCGTATCGTTGCCGGGGTATCTGGAATGTCTATTCGACTGATAGGGGCAGCTAGCTCGTCTAAGCACAGGATGCTTCGGAACAAACCCTACAGCTATGACGTACTCGTGGACTATAGAGATGAAGACTGGGTTCAAAAGGTGAAAGATGCGACAAACGGGGACGGCGTCGATCTTGCGCTAGACTGTATCTCAGAGGGTCAGACAGTATACAGTACCCACGAGACTCTGGCACCTTCGGCAAAGTTTGCAGTCATTCGCGGCCCAGTTGGTGGGCAGTATGATCCAGCACTACTAACTGTCAAGCCTACCTATGGCGCTGTGTGGGAGGGTCTTGGTGTTGAAGTTGGATATAATCGTAAGTGAATCGACATTTCCTTGCAAATCACACATTAGCTCAGCCACGTACTAACACTCTGGAATTAGACGCAGTTATACCAGCAAATCCAGATGCGCATGCGTTTGCAAAAGAGTTTTACAACTTCCTGAGTAAGTCACCGCCATCAGGGAGGGTCCAACTTGAGCCCAATCCTGTGAGACTGATGCCTGGAGGCCTTAAGAGAATAGTACAGGATGGTTTTCGCCTCCTTGGTACGGGCTTAGTTAGTGAGCGGTCAAGGATTGAGAGGCCGGAGCAGTACATGCGCCCAGTTAGTGCTGAGAAATTGGTTTACTCTCTTTAATTTGTAATTTTAAAAGAAGAGTCTATTATCAAGTTTCATCAACTTGATCAACTTAATAACCTATTGTGAAGACCCTTGAGAAACTCTAAACGTGCTCCAAATTGAACTATCATTCTAGTATTTAGGAACTGTACAATAGCTTTCAATTATTGTTATCGTTCGATCCACACACCTCCTCTGTTCTTCTACTGTTACTCCAGGTTTCTCTTCATAATCGCCCCGAGCAGCTCGTAGTATTTGCACAGCCGTAAGGCCTTGGCGGCTTTGGATATGTCGATCAACACCCAAATCTATAAGATCTTGTGCGGCCTGTGTAAAATACTCTAGAGACTCGTAGAAAAATGGGCCATAAGTCGGTTTCATTATCCAGCACTCGATAAGGTAGTGCAAGACTGTCTTTCCGAACGAATCAACATGATTGATGCCATGCTGACTATTACGGACTAAAAGGTCCATGACGGCTGGGAACTCTAGCATAAGAGTGTCGATGGCTTCCTTTGTGTGGCAATACATGGTTGTCCGGCCGAGGCAGTCTGGCTGGTCGGGGTCGCAGCCAAATTGTAACAAAATTGTTGTGGTGGAAAGAGACGAGAATGGGCTTCTGTAATTCTCGATCGCGAAACACAAGGCATTATGGCCTTCCTTGTCTGTGGCATTTATCTTGACGGAGCAATGACCCACCAGGAGTCGAATAATCTTTTCGAAATTACTTGCAGAGCCGACAGATAAGCAAGCACTTTCAAGGATGTCGCAGTCCTCCTCAGTGGAAATTTGCCGCTCTTTGATAAAATAGCTGATGAGTTCGAAATTACCACTTGCGAGGGCGCACGTTAAGGCTGAGCGACCATGATCCCCGCTTTCCCAACTGAGATCCCAACCTAGATCTTCGATCAAGAAGCGGCATGCATCCTCGTTGCCCCCCGAGGCAGCGACACAGATCAGGGCGTCAGCTTGCTCAGATGCCTGTTCAGTTAAGAACTTCCTGCAAGGTTCTGTTTGTGCCATAAGGCGCAAAGTAGGTCTATTACAGTAGGACAAAGCTTCGATAAAAGGACTTTTGAGATATATGTCGGAAATGGGATTGGCACCTGCATTAAGGAGCAAAGAAATGATGTACTCCCGATTCCGTCCACAAGCAATGGCAAGTGCTGTTTGTTCGTGGGCGCCCCACTCTGTCCCAACGTCATGTTCACCATCATGTCTCAAACACCACTTGGCCAAGTTATCCAGAGCAAAATAGGCAGACAAATGAAGCAAAGGAATGGCTTCAGAGTTACGCTTAATTTGTGGTAAATTGTATAAATATTGCCACATGCGTCTGACCTCTGAATCCTTTTCGAAGAAGCTCACGCCTTGCCGAATGATTTGAGTAATGTCCTCCAATTGCTTGAAGTGACGGCCCCATTCGTGGACAGCGTATATGGCCAGTGGTAAATCATTCGCTATATCATTTAAACTTTCGTTTGCAATTCGTTGGTGGGAATTCATTTGTTCGAGGTACTGGATTAAAACAATTGTAGCGTGTTCGTGGAGCTGGGTGGGTGCGAGGCTTAGTATCTGGGAACCAAAAGGGAGTTCAAATTTCATGAGGTAGTCCTTCGCACTTTGGTGTAGAAACGTTACAGTCCGTTGAACAGAGTTTCCAATTTGCCTATCTGTTGTCTGAAGCAGATGACCACAAGACTTGATTAGCTCAATGCACACCTCTTCGCGAGCCAGTAGCCTCGTGGGTTTCATACTAACTGCCTCGCACAGTTCACTTATCGTCAAGGGCCTCATAGCCACGAGGATCCAATAGAGGATATCATATATAATTCTTCCCTTTTCAAACTCAATGTTCTGGAGAATCCGTTCATAGACTGCGTCTAATCCAGTCGGTAGCATGTCCAGAGAGGCTTCAAAACCCAGTAAACCCTGTTTCTGCAGGTCTTGGGACATGTAGCTAACCCAAAGGAAGGTTCCCTCAGACTTTTGCAGAAAGGTCTCTTGTAGCATAGACCGCATCTTACGACTGAGCTGCTTCTTCTGAGCGAGTTCCTGGACTTGGACTGATATAAATCGACTAATGTCCTCTTCCTTGGCGATCGCCGTGTCAAGTTCCAGCTTGATGAAAAGCAAAAGGGCTTCGGGTATGTTCTCTGGGTACCTCCTGCTGAGGCATATGAGTTTCATTTTGGGAGATGAGCTCAACCGTCGTCGACTAAGTCTCTCAAACTTTCGGAGCAAAAGGGACAGGGAGCTGGCTTCGCATTCGTCAAGGGCATCGATGACACAGTAGATGGTCCTGAATTTAGACTGAGCAATGGCGTCTTCAAAAAGCTTCCACAAGGCACCGAATGACTTTTCTTGGAATAGTTGGTTGGATTGTTGTTTCCACTGCGGTATAATCGTGTTTACGAGATCTGGTTGACAGGAGATGAGTTGATGCATTAAGCCTCTTAGAATGCTGACTGCCGTGTTCTTGTATCGACCTTGTTGTCACAGAAGAAGAATATGGTCGCAGTCCCAGACCCTTCTGATATAGCCTCAAAGTGTTTGGAAAGATAAATTGACATGAATGTCTTTCCCATACCAGGCGCTGCTGAGATCCAAAGTAGGTGAGGGGGATCCTTTTCCCAAGTCTTAAATTCATCTGTAGATATGATCCATTCACAGGTTCCATCACAGATATCGCCCTTGGCATCAAGAATGCCCTCGCGATCCAGTGAAGAGTCTGTGACGAACATAGCTCGCAGACACTCATCTACTTGAAGGCCGACAGGCTCTGAAGCTTTTGTTTGCTGAACCTTGGCTCGCTTTCGTGGCTGCAATAATGTAGGAGGGATAGACATCAAAAGCTCTTTGGCATACGCCGCGGCTACCAAAGCTGCATACTCCTGCCATCCCTTGTTTTTGTGAGAATCTGAGTAGTCGCAAATACCGCGAATCACAAGACAAGGAAAGGTATCCATTACGCCTGCTGCCTCCATCTCAAAGCAAACGTTCATAATCTCTTTGGATATTTGGTCTCGAGTAAGTGCATCTTTGACGACTTGGTTCCCTGATGCAATCCGGCCGTAGTGGATAACTGGGCCGGTTTGTTGACGAGCCTTCCTGATAATAAGTTGCGAAATGTCACAGGCATCACAGTTCGAATCTGAGGAAGTATGAGGGCACCCATGGTGAAAGAGACGATCCTCAACCACTGGATGGGAGTAGCGAGGAAGGCGAGGTGCAGTCTCGGCTAGAATTTCAAGCATCCGGTTTTGTCCTCCGCCATGGCTAGCCTCAAGCTTTGAAACCATAGTCAGCAACGACTGGGGAGGACTGATCGCTTTAGCAATTCGCTGAAAATGGTTGTTGGGCAATGCTTTCCCCAGATCGTATTGTATAGCGTCGGTGCTGACCACAACATCACCAAGGCGTACGTCAACTGCCCCGGGTGCCCCGCCGGCGATACCGACCAGAAAGCGATATTGGAGATGTGGGAACGTCCGATTCATATTACTTGCAACGATAGCTGCGTTGTTGTTTCCATATTGTGCTTTGGGTAGACAGGCGATGACCACGTTATGACCGTTAATGCTTCCGAATTCGTAACAGTTACTGTCCTGTGGATGTTGGTGCAGTGGCTCATGTCTATGATCTAACATAGCTTGAGCAGCTGTCATCTCAAGCGGAAGGGCGGAGATCCACCCGACTGCATAGTCATCGTACTGCAAGGATCGGAGGCTGTCCCCGCTGTCAGCTCGTTGTCGCTTAGGCAGCCAAGACTGCGAAGTCTCGAATGAAGCCATTCCTACGGCGCTTTAGAAGCACTATAGTCAGGTATCTTCGCTTCAAGGCAACAAAACGTGATAATGGTGAACATATGACAGGCAGCAAAGATGAGGGGAAGAGCTGAAATTACAAAACGCACAGCCTGATTTCTTGCTCAGCCGCACGGAGGACCGTGAATATTCATGTATACCAGGATTATGCCACCACTATATGCATATCTAGGATACCATGCAATTTGGAAATCGCACCTAACTAAACGTAACTCAGAATGTCGCCTAACAATATTTAGCGACGATTACCGTTGGTAGGCAGCGAGCAACAGTGATAGAGCTCTCGTACTCAATCTAACACCAGATTACATACAATAGGAAAAGGTGACAAACATCTAATACTAAGAATTGATCATCGAGTATCAACGATTCGGCTTCTCGGGTTAGTTAACAGCGACACTCTAAGCTTAATCCCCAACCTCTAACCAGTTCAGGAAGCTAATTCAAGCTTAAAAATCGGTCCTCCGACAGACTTCTCGACAACAAGTGCCGAGCCCCAGGCTAATGTGCTTTATTTCCGGTGAGCTTCATGTTCCTCCGGTGTGATAGGTGGGAGAATACCCCAGAATATGCAGCGCAGCGTCCCCTGCGGAGGTTAAACTTCCGCGTGACCCGAAATGGCATCTCGTTATCGACATGGAACACCACGTACCCTCTGCGCCAAGCCGTGCATCCCTGTGCTGCTTGTCGAATTTAGATATCATCCCCGGGTTTGGGGGATCATCGTGGATGAAAAGCGCACGAATAGTTGATCACCACTATGTCTTTGCTTCAAGTATATAAAGAAGCAATGGATCAGTTCTGTAATTCACCCGAAGCTTCCAAGCTCAAGGATCTTTAAGATGCTGCATCTCTCTTCCATCCTGACCGCCGGTCTCGCCCTCATCAGTGCCGCCAACGCAGCCTGTGGCGATGGCTCCCCGCAAGGCGTAGTCTCCGGCTCCGGCACCTTCACCGCCACCGTCAACGGCGCAAACGTCTACTCCGGCACCGACTACCGTCTCGCCATCCAAACTGCCCTCGACCGGATCAGCAGCGGACAGCGCGTCACGGTCCGCGCATCCGGCAGCATCGGTGCCAACACCATCAGCATCACAAGCGGCAAGACGTTCGAGGTCTGCGGTACCATGAACGTCGGCAACAAGTCTGGTCGTGGTGCTATTGAGGCTATTAACCAGAACGATGTTAAGATTCCGTACCTTAAGATGACGGGTAACCCGTACTTTGGGTTGAGGTTCTCTGGCACAAGAAACTTGGCGCTGGGGGATATCACGTTGAATCTTAGCGGTGGAATTGGTATCCGTTTTGATCGCGATGCGAACTGGAATTATGGTGTTTCCATGGGTAATATCGTGGTTACCGGTGCTGGAAGCCACGCTGTTGAGACTTTCAAGATTGACGGTCTTACTATCACGTCCGTCAAGGCCAAGGATGTCGGTGAATGCGGTTTACTTATCCAGGAGTCTCGAAACGTCAAGGTCGGTTATGTCGAGGGTATCAATGCTGGAGCTGGCACCGGGTATGCCACCCTTCGCTTCGCCAACAACAATGGCCAACTCGCCAATGGTCAATACACCACCACCAACGTCTTTATCGATAAAGTGTACTCTCGCGGTGGCGGTCGAGGTATCTTCTGTGTTTCCATGTCCGGCGCCACTGAGATCAAGAACATTGATCTTGCTGACAATGGGAACAACGCTATCCTAATCGAGAACTGCTACAACTTTGCTATTCGAGATGGCGTCATCAACAGAGGAGGCGAGGTCCGCGTTGCAGCACGAAGCGAGTTCCCCAACAACAGTGGCATTTACGTCAAGGCACAGGTCAACAGCAACACTGTTCGGGAGTCGCCTTGTGCTGAGAACATTTACTGGGGAATTACTGGTAACGCCCAGAAGAACATTTGCTAAGCAATGAAGCAATGGTTATGACGGAATGGCGGTGGGTCAACACGCTCGTTTGCCATGATGGCTTGGAGGCTCCTTTGTATATAGGTTGAGGATGATAAGATACATGACAAATATTATCATTTTGATGGATAACATGGATCTTCTAGCGTAAACTCCGGCAATCCAGCCTGCATCATTCCGCACCACCAGACTCTGGCTCTATACTCAACGCCTCTCATCCCCAAGAGTATATCCGCAGGATATCCATAGTCGATACCATCATCCACCTGCAAGTTTTGAAGAAATCTCCCAACAAAGCTCCCCAGAAATGGCCGAGTAAATATGCTCACCAGGAGCATCCTCTCCTTGCTCATAATTTCATTGCCGCCGTGGGTCTCTATCATGATCAGGTATCGTAGAGCAGTCCCGAGAAGGAAAAATGCTGCTACTGAGCTATAAGTCCCGGCTGGAGGGTCAAATAGCAGGTGTATGGCGTGAGCAATCTTGTAAGCATAAGACATTGCAATTCGTTGGCTCGGGTAATTTAGTATAGGCCCTCTTGCATATATATCTATAGATTCGAGTTCGCAGAAGCCCAATGTTGAGTATATAAAGAGGCACGTCATCCAATAGTAGCAGCTCAGATAAACAACTGCGAGATCATCATCGTTCTTCGGTATCGGTAAGGGCTCCCTAGTATATGTATAGTCGTAAGTAGTAAGCGACTCTCCAAATCCCAGCCCCAGTGCTAATATCTCAACCTCGCAGGTGCGACATCGGGTCAGGATAGAATTATAGAGGTCGATATCTAGAGTTTCTCGGAAGGTATCGAGATCTTCTAGAAGCAATGGTACTTCAACCAATATGTCAATGAGTTGGTTGAGGGGGGAGTTTGTTACTGAGCGCCAGAGCTGTGATTGTTTCCAGCCGTTGTTGTATGGCGATCGTTTGCGTCGTGAGATGTATGCGTTGATCTATATTTGTGAGCTGGTGAGGCAGCATATGAGGTGAGACTTACCAAAGTTAGACGACCATCCGCAAGAAGCTGTTTTCCCATGGCAGACCATGAATCTTCCGGTCCGCGACTTAAAATGAGAGCAGTCTCCCCATCTATGTGCTTTCTGAAACCATTGATCTGCGATACTGGCGAGTTCTTTTGAGCTGCGGAAATGCCAGTGCCGAATAATTGCTGTTGGCCAATTAGTATCTCTATTCGCAAAATTCATGAGGTTATCTGACCTCGTATACTCGCATGAGCTGAATGGCAGCGAGGATACCATCCTTGTTTCGTGACGGAGATATAAATGACGTTGCCATTTGCTGCATTGCTAGGCCATACGCCTGTTGACTCTTTTTCATGAGCTGGATGTCATTGTTGGTGGCGCCAAGCGTCGCTGTGCTGAGTGCCATAGCGACGTATTGAAGACTAGCTTCAACTTCGCTCAGAGCCTCATAGAGCTTCATCCACTTGGTACTGGTTATACCTGAGGCTTTCAGGGAATAACCACTTCCACCAGACAGATAATCTGACCAGAAAAGACCAGTGAACTTTTGGGTTCGAGCTGTCCTTGTGAGTGAGTCGTGAAGTATTACCACCGGTCCCGAAGTTGAGCTTGGTGATGAGGATGGACTTCGTGATGGAGATTTGGTGTATGATTTTTGCGTGGATCCTTCGGTGATGAGCCATATCGGCTGACGCTCATATCCCTCGCATGGAATACCTAGGGCGAGACACTGACCGCAAAAGGGCACTTTCTTATCGCACTAACCAACGATTAGCAGTGACCGTTGGGCGGACCGATGGACTTACACCCTTTTTGCGCCTTCGACAGGTGACGCATGCCTTGGATCTACCGGGCACACCAACCATCTTGGGCTATGAAATGCCGTCAGCTCACAGATTACGTTCTGGCAACCACAGGATAAAGATATAAAGGCGACGGTATCATTCCAGAAGAAGAACCAAAAGGCGCAGGGCTGGGCCACCCAACCGAGTTCTTCAGTGATGCTTCGCTTAGTTCTTCGGTTTCGCTTGGGTCAGCTCAGCCCTGGATGATGATGACGGCATTGACTTTTTTCCAGCGCGGATTGACTCTCGATGTAGTTTAGCGCTCAACCCCCCACGATGCATTTTCGTTTACGAGGGGTTTCGCATTCGCTTTGATTGGAGTCTTTGCGGGCTTGGCAAAGTGAATGCGAGGGATTGCCGTTGCTTTATCTAATTGTAGATTTATCGTGCGCCAAAGGATTGGGCATGACAGCTACGATATTAACTGCCGAGAGGTAGGGCTGGCCATATACCGTGAAGCCGTAAAATATATATAACATGCTCAATTTCTCAATGAGAATACGCCTTCGATCTGCTTCATCTCTCAATAACTAGACCAAGCCCAACACAATGGCAGCTCCTACACGACCCCCAGCCAATGCCTTCGTCGCTAAAGCCCGCAAGGTCTACAATCCAATTGGCTTCTCCAAAGGCTACAACTTCATCCTCTGGTTCATCTTCGCCGGGGCCATGTTCGGCTTTGCCCTCGCTCGAATGATGTTCCTCAATTACAATAGCATTTACTGCAACCCCAACAGCAAGGGTAATGGTGCAGGCCCCGGCGAATGCTGGTCTTACAACAGAAAGGACCTTTACAAGATCGGCATCAAAATGCATCTCTACACCATCATTCCGGCTTCATTTCTCGTTGTCTTTCAATTCGTTCCTTTTATTCGATACAAAGCACTGCTGTTTCACCGTATGAATGGATACATCGTCGTTGTTCTGGCGGTAATTGGGACCGTCGGTGCCATCATCATTGCGCCTATCGCCTTTGGTGGCGCACTTTCGATTAGAGCTGCTGTAGGTCTCATGTCGATCATGTTTCTCGGGTCACTCTTCCTGGCGATATGGAATATCAAGACACTGCAGCTTGAGCAACACCGTGCGTGGATGCTTCGCGCATGGTTCTATGTAAGTCTACCGCAACCTTCATTGTGACTGTCAGCAACTAACGAAGCCAGGCTGGTTCAATTATAACTTTGCGAATCATCATGATTATCTCCGCCGTAGTTATGTCCAAGAACCCGAGCTTCCGACTCCCAATGCAATGCGCCAAGGTCGCTTCTTTCTACGACGACACCAAGTCTTTGATCGCCAAATACCCTACCTGCGACGACCCTAATGCCTGGGTTGCAGTACAAGGGGACATGTCAGGAGAGAGTACGGAGAACATTGCATCCGCTCTATCGCTAGGATTCTCCATGGCCATCTGGCTAGCACTAGCCATCCACGCAATCGGCATTGAAGTCTATGTAAGTCGCTCGCCAAACTTTCCCCAATAATGATCTAACAAGGATTCGCAGCTTCACTTAACACCCGCAGAGACCGAGCGTCTTCGAAAGATCTCCTTCCAACGACAACAAGAACGTGGTTTTAAGAACCCCGGAAGTAGCGGGCTTACGTCTGACCGTTTGGGTGACGCTGAGACGTGGCGTCCGAGCACCGATGCGACTGCATATCCGCCTAGCAAGGGGAGTGATAGTGACATTTCGAAGGTTGCAGCGGCTTAGTGTTCCGGTGATGTAACACTGAATGATGCGTTGTTGGATGGGGGAAATAGAAGGTCCGTTTAGATCCGGAAATTGTGTCAGCCCATTTTTAGCCGTTAACTAGGTTTGACATGACATGTTGACACGCGGCAGATGGCAGATGACATTTATGAGATGAGGGCAGAGGTCTTGCGCTCGGCATCATTCGTTGGTTCATTTCTGGAGCTGTTGTATCATTGCATAGCGACTTGTTTGTTTCAATAGAACTTTACCATTAAAGGGACGGATGATCACAAATACGGTTACCAGTAAGAGCTCAGTGACGCAACATAGAAGATGAATTCGTAATCTATCCTAAGCATAAGAGGTATCATAACTCAAACAACTCTAAGAAACACAACGCAGACCGTAAATCATCCAATCATCATCGTATCATGAACCATATCATTGATCCTTTCTATCCAGCTTCCCAATCAATTTCCCACCATCAAGAATGCTACCAAACATGGCAGCCTCAAACAAGAAGTTGACCTGCCAAGCGTGATGGTTCGCATGGGCAATCAGCCAGACCATTTCCAATACCCGACCCTTAGCGAAAAGCTTAGCCATTCGTAGCCTCGACCCTTCGGCTAACTCCAACTCGCGAGCCTCATCGACCTTGCCACCCCGCACGTACTCGAGAGGACCAGTCACGAGATACCACCAGAGTTCTTTGAGGAGAGGCTCTTCGCCGTGGCGTGCAAGATGCTCGTGGACGTGGTTGCAGGTGTCTTCACCGTTGCACGCGTATCTAGCGTCGAGAGGTCGAGAGAATCCAGTCAGACGGAATTGCTTATCGAAAACCTCATCAAAGTCACCCTCGCTCTGAGGCTGAGCGGGTGTCTTCCTCGCCTTGGACCATCCCAGCAGAGCACGACGGAAGAACATGTGGCGATCGTTCTGGATATGCCATGTATACAGCGCAGCACACATCCTCGCAACAGGCTCATGCCATCGCTGAGTGAGCATCCTTGCGCCCATCACAGCATACGCATCATACACCCTTCTCAAAACATCCTCGCTCACGATACCAGTGTCCGTTATATCCGTGACATTCAAGAACGAGTTCATGACCTCTGAGTTGACAAGGTCACATCCAACGTCAACGACATCGGTGCCTGGTGAACTAAAGACAAGATCGGCCATCACAGCGCCAGGGTCAAAGCCTCGTGCTGTAGCCTCAGCCGCCATGCCGAGAAGACTACTCTCAGACAGCGAAACGATCTGAGCAGTTCGTCGATCAAGTCGCGCAGATCGATTTAGCAGATGGCCCTTGTGCTTCTTCTCAAGGGCGATCTTGCCCTGGATGTATCGCTTGCCGATAGCCACTGCATCGCGACGCTCCGGACCGCCAGGGGTTCGTAGCGCATGAGGATCATTAAGGCCCTTCTCCAACAGAGGCTCAAGGTTAGGAAAGACATAGTTGTATCCGTGTTCGTAATAGAAAGCCATGTCTGTGACATAGTTGGAGAACATGGTACTTGAATCAGCAGCGCCCATAAGAAGACTAGCGATACCGCATCCAAACAAGGCGTTCGTCGTCTTGAGAGCTTCAGGCCAATCCTCTGCGCCAAGGACGTGAAGGATCTCTTGGGAAACAGGGCTCAACCCAGCGCCCTTGGGTGGTAAGACATTGCCGATCGCATGCTGGGAGGATTTCCATGCCTCTAGCTCAGGGGAGAGTCTTAGCTGAGTCACTCTGGGTCCTGAACCAGGCGACGACAATGATTCAGTTGACGAAGCACCCGAAGCATCTTCAATATCCTCAAATACTTCGATAACGAAAGTGCTTGCATGATACGACAGTCTCTGGAGATCATCAACAGTGCCGCGTCCGATGAGACTTCTAGCTTCAGTGTACCCAGCATGCTTGGGCTTGGCTGTCCTTCGGGTAAAGAATCTCCCGAGCCCACGACCCCGGAGACCCTTGCCCCAGAAGTACGGGGGGATATCGGCGGTGGAACTTGAATCGTGTAGGGCACGGTCTTTAGGTTTTATCTTGAGCCCGCTGAGGTCAAACTCGCCCCAGTAGGCTTTCTGAGGCCAGGGTAGACACAAGGGGAAAGACATTTCGATCGACAAGGGGAGATTAGTGAGTTGATAGTTTACGAGGGTAAGAGAGTCTGAGCGTTGATGGATCCCTACTAGGGCGGTTCACGAGGTTCCTTTTATAAATTCATTTTCATCACAGGGAGACTGCGGATTAAAAAGCGCAGATGGCATTACCGAGGAATATCTGTACATGACTGAAAGAATTACCGATTTGTCTTGCAGTATGGCTGTTGGTTCTGCAATTCTTTCTGGTTGTTGGTGAGGCATATCAACTAGGGCCTAGATCCAGAAAACAGGGATGCACAAATTGAACTGGTGGTGATGATCCACTTGTCTCCTCCTTGATTACCGGGGGCGTGTCTCGGATCGAGAAGTTTGTTCTGCAGATCATCGTGACGGTGTGGTGGGTTACGCAGCCAACAGTCCAGCACCAAGGGAAGTCAGGTCCCTGGTATTGATGCAGGTTTGTTAAATGTCTCAGTGAGCAGCCCTAGCGGACAAACCGGTAATCTAAGAAGTATTCCGGTCTCTGAGACAACTCGCTCAACAGCAAAGGCGAAGTCTCGAGGTTTGTATCGCGATGGCGAGATTCAGTATCATATCAGGTGTTTTGACAGCTCGTCCACGTTGCATCGCAATGTTGCAATCAACATGCAGATTTTGAGTGCACTTATGCTAAAATCCCATAGGAAATAAGCCGTGCGGCGGAATCTTTGCGTGATCGATTCCCGGCGCTAGCACCAAACGTGGCATAACTCGGTAGTTAGCAGATCCACGCTGTCAAGCAACAAGCCATTCTCCTGTCTACACGTGAACAGACCCAGCTCCACTCGCGTTACCAAAGAATGCGGGTTCGTCACATACGCGCATCGGGAGAAAGAGAACGCTTGCCGAGATAGGAAGGGGGACAGTTCTGGTTACGTCTTGAGGAGGGCGGTGAGACACAGCACGTACTTTGCTGGAGGGGAGTCCAGAGATACTGAGGTTGGGAAATAAGCAAAAGGTGGCAAATTCTAGAAGCTCTGGAGCCCATTTTTGTCCTTCTAGAATAATTCTCAGAAATGTAATAAATTGAAGGCGTTGTTTCAGGCGTAATGCCAGCAAGTCCTCGTCACGAGCAATACACCATCATGACATCAGATTGGGATTCCGCATTCAGCTACAGAGCACCCACGCTAAACTGAGACTAGACAAGGAACAATCATTATCACCAGCGCTAAATTAGCATTTCCCACGTCCTGACCAAGAATTGAAACCGGGCCGGGCCTCCAAAGCACAAATCTCCTCCTCCGCAAATGTCAATTGCCACGAGTGAGCGTTTTTCCAATCTTAGAGTTGCTGACAAGCATCTTACTCCTCTGCATCAGGCCTCGCTCTAAAGTCTATATGGTTAGACTAGAAAGATCGAGATCAGTGGCGTGCGGGATGGGCTTGGGACGGTGGAATACTAATCACAAGCTGGGTTCAGGTCATGTTATCAGCTGCGACGACGGCAGTGGATTGTCTTTTAGGCTGTTAGCCCGTGTAAATCCTTGCCGTGATCTTCCCCATTCCTGACATGTCCAAACCCGGCATTGTTGAGTGGGAACATATCCTCTCATTGGGTCACATTCCAGGGTCTCGGCAGGTTTTTTCTCACCCACTTGTGCTGAGGGAACGCACAAACCAGTTGGCAAATGTCGATTAAAACAAGTACCTTGTTTCTCCCACTTTCTGGCCCCTCCCTTTGTGACCGTAACCCTTTGAGCCATTCATCATATCATCCTGATTCTTGACACTGCCCCCCCCTCCTTGCATGACATCCTGCATGAGAGAGACAAGGCTCCAACCAACATACATACGAGCCCACACACATTCGATTGCTAAGACAGCAGTGACTAATGGCACCGCCGTCAGATGGTTTGTCCTCGATTCACTACCGGCCGCTAGATCTGGCGGCGCGTGAAGTGAGGATACTGGAGCTGCAGCCCTCGCCGAACAACGACATCAACGACCGAATCGTATGTCGCCTTGTCCACGAGAAACTATGCGATGCGCCTGATTTCATTGGTCTTTCCGCTCTTTACGGCGACATCACAAAAACCGAGCCCATTCAACTCAACGGCCAAAGAGTAGCTATACCGTCCGACCTCGCCGAAGCGATCCGCTACACGCGCGAAGTCTTCCTAGGACCCCGAGCCCAATCCGTCATCAACAACGCCTCCTCCTCAAGGGTCGATCTTGAGACAGAAAAGACAATCAGTAATCACCAACAACAGCAACAGCCCTCCCCACCACCATCGCCGACAAAGAAACCTCCCGGATGGCTACGCTCATTCCTCCGCAAACTCGTCGACCCGGGGGCTACGAGATGCGACAAGCCTCCGCTACGAATCTGGATCGATCTATTATGCATCAACAGGCGCGACAGGAAAGAAGAGGCTGAGCGACGTGCGCATATGGCTCGTGCGTACCGCGAGGCGAAGCTGGTCGTGGGATGGTTGGGACCCAAGGATGCGACGTCTGATCTTGCGATTGAGATTATCAGGGCGTGGGATAAGTGCATGCCGGCGAATTTTGGAGAGCCAGGAGATCGTGAGGCGAACCCGGCCAACTACGCGCCGATTCTGCAGTGGATGGGGCCCGTGGCTCATCTCAGTGACATTCCTGAGGGGATCACGGATCCGACGGAAGTACCCAGCTACAAAGCCATCTCTGGCTTTCTGAACAGGCCGTATTTTCGGAATACGTGGATCCTGGATGATATCGCCCAGGCGCAGTTTCCGACGTTCATGGTCGGCGATGGCATTGTGTCTTGGATGCAGATTCTTCGCCTCAATCGTGTCAATGAGGATATTAAAGATCACGGTGCGGAAATGTTTCCCAGCGAATTGCGGCCTCTACTAGAGTACATGCCTCTCGGTAGTGTGTACACGTTTCTTAAAGAGTTTGATCGTCGGCAGAAACTAGAAGGATTTCGGCCTGTGTTCTCTAATACACCTGCAAGTTCTATCAGGAGTTCGGCGTCAATGACGGGATTGAAGACAAAGGGAAGATGAACCTACTGGGTTTTATTTGGTTATCTTGGATGGTATTACGTTCTTGGGTAATTTGCTATATTTATGCTATGGAGAATGAAGGGTTCGTTACGGTTATGAGTTTGTTTTGATATTCAAGCTTACAGGCTTAGATAGCGGCGCGAGATATACCCTATCGTGAGAAATGTCAACTCACCAAGTCAATTCACGTCCTGTGTCTAAGTACTTATTCTAAAGCTGTACCATGATGTTCCTGAGCTGCATCACTCTTGCACAAACGGTAAGCCATATGCAAGCTGAAGAATCGTCAGCCTCTTCGGTCGACATTTAGAATAGTCCAAAGCTGCAACAATGCCGCTCTCCCGATGGACCAGACCCCAAACTCCAGCCCTACACGATGGTTTTGTGTTTAATGTCACCACCCGGCCCGGTAAGCCCCATCTAGAATCAGCCCATAAGCTGATACCCGTTCTGGTTCCCGACATAGCCAAGCCACAAACATCATGGAATGCCAAGAATCGGAAGATCATCGTTCAGGTTTCAGCCACATCGTTCATCTGCCGAATTAGAATGTGACTGACGGTTGCGGTCGTCGGAATGTTGATTGGCCAACGATACGAGTTTTGCTTTTGTTCTGGAAGACGCTGGGCTGGAATGCGGCTTGGGGCCACAGTCTCAGAAGTGGTAAGCTCGCGCTTCGGGCTCGGCCTTGGCCTTGAGATAGCCTATGCTACGTGTCGGAAAGTGTGAGATCCGAATAGATTTGATCAGTCGTGGTGGGGTCTAGAAAGCTCGATATGATTCTATTTTGATAGAAATCGAATGATAGAGTACGTAAGGATCCCGACGCATCTAGAAAGTTACAGATGGTTGCCAGAATAGGATGACCCATTATTCCGAGGAACGCTCCGTTGCCAGACGGAGGTTTATGCAGCCGTTTTAGGCTGGGCATTGTGACCAAGGGTTTTTTTGTGAAACATCAGCTGGCATGCAATGTCTGATTGTTCGCCAAGCACTTGTAGCACTTGTTGTTGGGCATGCGAAGTCCTCTGCCTAGTTTCAGGTCATACTGCATTGTTGTATGCATCCAAGAATTCGGTTGAGTTCACTGTTGCATTGGCAAAGCTTGGCCAACGGCGGTCTCACATTGTGACTGCATTCGGTGGCAAGGAATGTAAAGAGAAATTAATTAGTAACTAAAATCCAAATTCACCATTGGAGTCGTGGATCCGTGTGAATTATCCGGCCTTATCGGTGCCGTTTCATTACTCTCGTCGTCTGTCGAGTTGACGTTCGATGCCGAATGTCCATCGCCAGCCTGTTGCTCGGGCTGCTCATTCGCTGCCCATCCCGCATTCTGCATCTGTTGAAAGCTCCATGTCGGGTTGAATCCCGGACTCTCCCAGGCATGCCTCACTCTCTCATACATCTCGTCAATCTGCTCCAGGGTCATCTTGCTAGTTTCGTATACCATCAACCATACAAAAGCGATGGAAAGGAGACAGCACGACCCCCAGATAAAGAAGATCTTGAGTCCGAATGCGTTTGCGCCTCTGCCGAGTATGTATGGGGGCGCGTAGGCTACTCCAAAGTTCAAGAGCCAGTTTGCTGTTGTTGATACTGACATGGCCTTTGCGCGTACTTTGAGCGGGAAGATCTCTGAAGTCACCACCCAGGCAACCGGCCCCCAGGACGATGCGTAGAAAAACACGTTGAGAGCACAAAAGACGACAAGGACCATGTTAGCCGCCCCTCCATGAGACTTTTCCATCTTGTCCTGGGTTGCCGAGTACACAGCTGCTATCAGCAACTGAGAAATGCCCATGCCCAGAGCGCCAGCCATGAGGAGCTTTCGTCTTCCCCATGATTCGATGACGATGAGACCAGGAACAGTACAAACGCAGTTGATGATGATCATGGCTAGGTTGGTGAGGAAGGGCTTGTTGACCCCGGCATTGCTGAAGAAGGTGGTTCCGTAATACATAACGAAGTTGATGCCAGTTAGTTGTTGCAGCATCTGCAGTCCGCAGCCAGTCATGGTCCGACGGCCAAGGGAAGAGTTTCTCGCGAAGAGAGCTTTGTATGTATCGAGGCCGAGAGTTAGCTCATACTGATGGTTTGCGATAATCTCTTGAAGCTCATCCACCAGAGCGGGGTGCGTCTTGTCCAGTCTGCGAAAACGACTTAGAGATACTTCTGCTTCTAGTAAACGCCCTTTCTTAACGAGAAAGCGGGGAGTCTCGGGGAGATAGATAATACCGCAGGCGAGGATGATGCCGGGAACGAGCTGGATGCCAAGTGGTATTCGGTATGCGGCATCGCTGTCGATATTGGATGTGCCGACGTTGATAGTAGTCGCGGTTAATATCCCCACCGTGATGGAGAACTGATACATGCATATTATGGTCCCGCGTATCCATTTCGGCGCAGTCTCGGACTGATAAAGAGGGACGAGAACGGAAATAGCTCCGACTGCAACGCCAGCAAGTAACCTTTTGCCATCAGCATAAACCACGGCGTATTACAGATAAATAACGTACCTCCCGACTAACAACATTGGTGTTGCTCGAGCACATATTTGAAAGATGGCTCCGATACAAAATGTAGTGACGGCTGCGAGCAATGTCTTCCGCCGCCCGATGCTGTCACCAGATGGGGCCGCGACCAAAGCGCCAATGACGGCTCCACCGCTGAGAATGGCGACGATGAGAGATGAGTCTTCGGGACAGAGATCGATGTGGCCTTGGTCGTCTTTGCAGGATTGATTGGTGCTGAAGTGGTCTTTGAAGACGGCCATGGCGAGAATACCATTGATGACGCTATGAGTGAGATGAGGTTAGTCAGGGCCATAGTGTTGCCGATCAATGTGAATAGGGGAGACCTTTGAGAATATCTCGCGAAAACCATACTCAACGCGCAAAAATCAGGCGATAGAACAAAAGAGAGCGGAGAGAATAGCACCGTCGCATGCAGGCACAAGGCGATGCCTACCGTGCCGCAGAATAAATCAATCAATCCAACGAGACATTAAAAACTCACCCCAGATCATAGCCAAACAACAACCCGCCCGACGCAACAAACAAGCCAATCGTGATAGCCCAACTCGACGACCCGGCAAAGTTGTCAGGCTTATGCCAGCCCATGCCGAGCAGCATCATGTCGATACCATCGACGAGGAAATTCGGATGATGCTGTTTTTCAGGAGTGATGAAGAGAGTATGGGGAGCCAATGAGGAAGATGCGGAGAAGGGGGCAGGTGACGTGAGGCTAGGCTGCTATAAGGTTGGCGTTGATGACTGGGCTCCACTTGATGACTTGGAAAAAGCTGGGGTTGGACCCTTGATGATGTGACGGGCATCGCGACGCGTCATTGGTATTTTGCAACAAACACAGAGCGAAACAGAGAGAAGAGTGGATTTTAGCAAAAAGTGATAACTTGATGGAGTTGAGAAAAAATGAGGTCCTACCCGGGTTCGAACCGGGGTCTTTGGAAGACTTTGAGGGTGATCAAAATCCAACGTCATGACCACTAGACTATAGGACCGTGCCATTTAAGATTAATAATTATTTCGGCCACAGTTTGTAAATATAAAGATTGCGCTAACGTAAGCGACAGTTAATGCAGATAAAAAGCACTCCAGGGTATGGAAACAACAGATAATACGGCATTATTAATCCAGACTCAAGAGAGTATACATGTATTAAGGATGACTTAATAAAGAGGAGATATTGCCTTTCTATTTTTACTTTTTTAGGCATAACTGCAGAGATGTTAATTACTTAGATATATTGGCAGAATTGGGATTATGGATAGGGAAGTCAAATGCCGCTTCAAATCAGTATCTTATCACACCATAATTACTCAGAGTCAAAAAGCGAGTGTGCAGTACAGTATTTGTTTGATCTCTTTTTAATGCATCGCAAGTATCGTTACATAAGTTAATGGTCTAATAAAACTTTCGATCGTCAAAGCTCTCAAACTTGTCGCTGACAACCTTCCTCGTCAACTCCATCAACTGTTCGCCAAGTTGCTCATTCTGCGAAAGCTCATTACCCGACTCAGGTACAGCAGGAGGACAGATATACTGTCCCGACTTGTCAGTGATGGTCGCAGCGAATACAGAACTAGTGGCGCCCTGGAATTGATCCTTCTTGAAGGGGTCCATGCCAACCGACATGGCATATCCAGCAAGCGGATATCTAGTATTTGTTTGTCAGCGAGTGTGTTAAGAGTGATAGAGTAGGTGCACTCACGCTTCATGAATATGCTCAACACTTTGTCTGGTGCTGACGAATCCGGGGTGCGTGGCATTCACCAAGATCTTGGGATTTCCAGCCTTGGTGACATGACGATCCAAATACCGACTGTATAGAATAGCAGCCAGCTTGGATCGCCCATACTGAGGGTTCGGTCCAAGATCCTGGTTCAGTTCATCAAGACTCTCAAACTTGACATCGCTGGGCGCACCCTGATGCGCATTAGAAGCAAGGTTAACAATCCTCACTGTCCCATGCTCATCAGCCGTCTTCTTCAAAAGCTCAAGCAAATAAGAAGTCAAAAAAACATGACCAAAATGGTTCACAGCCATATGCTGGTCAACACCATACTTCGAAAGCTGATACGTCATGATTCCCCTCCCCGCATTATTAACAAGAATATCCAAGCGATCAGTCGATTTCTTGATCTGCTCAGCTGCTTTCTTCACTCCAGCCCAGTCGCTCAAATCGCACTGGATCCACTCTGTGCGATCAGCTTTCTCTTGGCCGAGTTCCTCAGCGACGGACTTTTTGGCGCCGTTAACAACGTCTTCGGAGATGGAGAGGATGAAGAGCTTGCTGATGTTGTGGGAGAGGAGAGTGTGTGTGACGCCGTAGCCGATACCTTCGCTGCCACCGGTTACGACGGCGACTTTGTTGGTGAGGTCGGGGGTTTCGGAGAGCGAGAATTGACGGGTTGCGAGCTTTTCGGCTGGACCACCGAAGTTCTCGGCGATGGTGTTCTAGCAAGTTAATCACTGGTAGTGAATAGGGCATTTGGGAAGGCACCTTGACGCTATCTACGATGGAAGACATGGTGCTGATTTGAGTTCTTCTGTAGAAGATGTTGTTTTTGCTTTGATGCGCAAACGTGGTTCTTGTCGAAGATGATCTGTAGCTGCGGTATAATAACCCTGTAGATATTCTTTTTCCAGGTGTGAGATTTAAAGCTTTCATCTGAGTTATGAATGGAAAGAAAGGCCACTTTGGGTTTCATGCTGTTCAGTCCTTCTCATATAGTGGCTTGGGAAGCCATGAATCACCACCCCGCTGAGTCAATGACGTACGTCTTACAACAACGATTCTCGCGGAAATGATATGCAGTGAGACAAAGACCGTCATAAATATGCACTGATAATTTTATTTCAGTAATTCAGAATAGTTTCTGACCCTTGTGCTACCTTCCTCATCCCGTTATCCGCGATGATCACCATTGAGGCGTTACGCAGATAAAATAGCCCCAAAGCTCTTCTCTAGATCATCAAGGAACATATCTTCCACGGCCTTTCTCATAATGTTTCCCTTTGCTGTTCTGGGCAATGCTCCTTGGGGGACAACAAAGACCAGGCGTGGATCATCAATTCGCTCGTGGAGATACTTGCGCTCATGAAACGGCGATATCCTGTGCAGGATTTCTTCCTTGAATTTTGTCAAACCCTTATCTCCTGACTCTAATATGTCGTCATTCTTGGGCTCGACAATAATTGCTGGACTGGGACGTCCGTATCCGATGACAGATACAGCGGAAATCAGATCGGCCTCACAGACTTGCATTGCTTCTGCCTCGAGGGATCCCGCGTCACATACCAGAGACAGCTGCATCTTGATTCTGTCATCGACTCGTCCTTTATATGAGTACTGATCGTCGCCGACTCGTTGGAAGAGGTCACCAGTATGGAATTTGCCGTCTTCCTTATTTCTGAGCGAAGGATGAGGGCAGTCATCTGCATCGGCAGGAATGACAAGCTCAAGAAGTTGATCTGATGAAGCTGAGTCCCCACTCAGAGGGATGAATTCACAGCCTGATTCTGGAAATGGAGTGAGGTATTTGGAATTAGCAGATGCTCTCATTGATAGTCCGATCTCGGTAGAACCGTAGGTATCATAAACCTTAAGCCCTTGCTGGTGAGCCCACGCCTGATCCGACGGCTCCAGAACTTGCCCAGCGTGAAAGATGTGATGCAAACTCCGAAGTTGCTCGAGCAAAATGGTGTTGGTGCGTGCTTCCCTGATGAAGACAGAAAGAAGAACTGGGAAGATGTAAAAGGCCGTCAATCCACCATGGGTAATCATACTCTGCAACTCAGAAGTTGGATAGGGAATACTCTTTGGCGCGATTAAACAGCCTGCGTTAGCTAGCGCTTCTGCAAGATTGATGGTGTTGCCGACATGGGCATGAGAACCCCTGTAACGAATCAGTTTTGGGACATGAGGAGCTGCGAAGAACTAACATAAGGCAGTACACAGGCTGCGGTCCGGTGCGAGTATATGGCCTGTTCTTGCGAATTAAACAGTCCATCCACCTGACAGTGGTGGGAACAAGCTTTGGCATTCCAGATGTTGAACCCGAGGTATGAAAGATGGCCGAGACTTGATCGCCATTCAAAGCAGTAGTCACTTTATCGAGCTCAACGTCCTGCGTAGCGACCCCACCCAAAGCTTCGTTGATAGGAAATGTTGGAAGAGGACAATCTTTCACTAACGACTCGCAACTTGTATCGTAAATTAAGGCCGAGGCATTGCTCTTGCCTAGAAGTTCATAGACAACGGACGGGTTCGTCATGCGAAGTGAGAAGAGCTGTGGGATGAAGCCGGCTCGCTGGAGAGATAGATAGTGTAGAAGATCCTGGTATGACCACCCTCTCATCCTGTGAGATGTTAAAATGAGCGCGGCTTTGTAGCCCGAGAACCTACCAGATTCCCACTACTGCGCCTTCCGCAATGCCAGCCTGTGATAACACAGACAGCCAGGTCTTTGCCGTATCCTCAACATCATTGCAGTACTCAGCATATGTGATCGTCTTGTACTCAATGGAAGAATCAGGTAACAGATATCTCACTGCCGCGGCATCCCCATGAGTCTTGGCGAGCGTCTCAATGATAGTAAGAGGTGTATGAAAAGTCCTCATTTTGAACAATAGTATCTAACAAGACATATCTGCCAAGACCAAAGCTAAGGATTCGTTCAATTTATACGTCTTTGTGCAGAATCCTACTGCTGGGGTAGTCTCTAAATTCTCTCTGCTGATTAATTGCAAGTAAAATATCTAGCGCAGAACTAAGACATTATTCCAACAGACCTGGGGTAGTCTCACTCAGCACCAACCAAGAGAGGATATCACCAGATGAGTAAGAATTTAGACCAAGAAACGGGACCCGAAAATGAGGAGAAGCAACGGTTACACGGCATCTCAGATTGTACCCAACAATCGACTGACCAATTGATTCTGTGTTGTGTTATAAATGATCGCCGATTACCGAAATTTATTGTAAATTACGGCTGCGGCGTGATATTAAGCTTACCTTACTAGGCTTATTTGCAAAGGGCCTGGTGTTAAAGGACTATCTGACCACATGATCTGCACTCATGGTAGTAAGCATCCAAATGAGGATGCAAGATTCGCGGCTAAAAGTAGAACAGCCCTACATAAGGGAACTTGGTTAGATCTCTTTAATAGCACTGCATATACTGTATCATAGAGAGTAATAATACTTACTTATAAGCATAGATAGTAGTAAGGTATAATACCTATAAAACAGCAAAGTAACCCTAATTAGTATACTTTTTACTAATACTTTATAGGAATAATATACAATAAGATTATAAAGGCATATTTAACCCTATCTAGCTTAAAACTTCAAACTAATGCTTTATTAATATATGTAATTATACCTAATTATATTCTGACTATTTAGTTTTAATAAGCCGCAGAAAGCTATTACTTGCTTTATATGGCAAAGCTTATCTAATTGTATCGAGCCTTGACAGGACGAGAGGTCATGCTTCTGCAACCATCAGGACAGATTGCGGAATGAATGCGGTCATGGTATCTGAGCTTCCTGATTGGTATACTGTCGATGTAAGGTTAATAAATCCCATTCCAGCTGCGAAGCGAAGATATCAGATGGATCATCATTGACCTCCTCTGGTGTCCCTGTACATTGAAGATTGGGGTACCTTTAGAACTTGAGTCCAACTGCCGCAGAAATATATAACGTGGGGCGAATGAACTTTGAACCTGACCTAGCTGGAATACTTCCAAGAATAGCCACGGGCTGCAGAGTCAAGTCGATAAGAGGCTTTGTTAGATAGGTTTTGCCCTTTGTTGATGAACTGTAGAACCTCTCGGCAGTGTATTTCGGCATGTTGAGAGCCGGCGATATGATCCTTGTTGACTACGAGGGCGTTCCGATCGGAGGTATTATTCTCGCCTTATGTGCAATGCTTATGCACACCTGCCAGAAAACATGAGTCGACCAGCAAATCCTGCAGGCTTCCTCATTCACAGCGCAGTCCACAAGGCTTGACCAGATGTTTCTGCCGCATGCCATACCCACAGCGTGCATAGCATGGCATGGAGTGTCTTTGGGCGATCTATAGAAATAATTACACAAGACACTGCATACCTCTGCGGTTATGCCCAGGCTGTTTACCTCGTTTATTCTTGTCCTTGTTTATTTGGCAGTTCTTGTATAATAATGTATTGGACTTTAGAGGTGTTATTGCAACTGAAGAAGAAGCTAATAAAATCGGTGGTGCTTTAAGAATATTTCGAGGGCCTATATTGTACCACGGTTAGTAATAATAATAATAATAATTTAAATATTTTTATACTTATTATAAATTCAAAGTAAAAATCGATAGTTTAATAATATATTTTTATTATTTATTATAAATAACTATGTATCAAAATAAGTTTTATATATTAAGATATAATTAAATTCTTTCAACTTAAAGAAACAGTTTAACTATTTACATTAATCTTAAAATCCTATTTATGAAGCCGTTTCTGACCAGTCGGCTGGTCATTAATACCATAAACTGTCCCGCTTCTTGTCTGTCTCTTGCCTTCTGTATTTAACTCCTTGTCTTCTTTGTGTTTTTCCTGCGCCTTAGCCTCACGCTTCTGCTTCTCAGCCTTTGTTTCCTTTACCGTCGCTCGAGATTTCTTCTCCTGTACCTTATTATTCTTAGTTCCTCCATCGTTCCCTTGTTTGAACTTCGCCTCGAAATCAGGAGAGATATAGGTAATAGCCAACACGAGTCGCTTCTGGATCTCTAATAGGCTAGTCACATCATCCTTTCCAGTAAAGAGAGTGGGATCAAGGTCTGCTACAGCCTGCTCTGCTTCCTCCTTGATGCTTTTCATGGATGCAATTGCAGCTTCTATCCTTTCCTTTTCCTCCCTGGTTTGCCTTTTCTTACTGACCTCTGATTGGCTATCTTTCCATGCTGTTTGCCATCTCTGCTGAAGGCCATTGAGTGTTTCGAGAGCAAGGTCAATTTCTTCATCTCCATCCTCCCAGGCATCATCAAGAACTTCGTCTTCAACATCTTCCTCCTCGATGGAGTCTGCAGCCAGGAAGTCTTCATCTCCTGTTTCCTTATCATCAACAGCTTGAAAGCTTTCATCAACTTCAGCGCTACTACCGCTATCATGGCCATACTTGAGTTTGAAGCCAGGCTCGAGTCCCTTGATAAAATTGTAGTGGTGGCTCGCGGCCCACCAGCTTTCTAATAGTGGGTTGCCGCTGACTGTCGAGCTGAAGTCTCCAAAGGTCAAGCCATGCAACGAAAACATTTTATCCCCGCTTGTAGACGGGGGAATACCCAGAGAGAGATTGGCCTGAAGGCTAATGTTTCCTAATGGTCGTGTACTGAAGCCTCCCAAGCCTGTGCCTGTGAAGTTCTTCCTGGTTGTACTAACGTTCGATTGACTGATATGAGTGAAGACGTTCTGCTTCTTGAAGTCCTGGGTATTATATTTGCCAAGGAGTTCGAAACCAGAAAAGTCGATGTCGTTGTCTTGATCTTTTCCTCGGCCGCTATCCGTGTAGAATAACCCCTTGCGCTTCGTACGCTTCGATTCTTCTGCCATCTTCAGTTCCTCGGCCTTTTGATTGAGGAGTTTTATCATCCTCTGTTTCTGTGCTTCTTTGATGACAGCCAGCCTTTTGGAGTAACGACGTGGGACAAGAGGCTCAGTTTTGTAGTCCTTCCGTTCAACCCCGTCCATTCCTAGGCATTTCACCCCACGAAATTTGCCGTTATCCCAACTAAAGTGAATGATAAAAAAGGGATCCTCGGTCTCCAAAACAATGCCCTGGTCGCAGATAAGATTCCACATCATGATTCCAGAAAAACGGAGGTTCATAATATCATCGTAGGACACGTAATCATAGTCGAACTGTGCGCTCGCTGCAGGTTCTTCTTCCTTTTTGTCTTTTTCTTCATCAATCTCAAGATCATAATAATCTTCTTCTTCTTCTTCTTCTTCTTCTTCTTCTTCTTCTTCTTCTTCTTCTTCTTCTTCTTCTTCAATAGCAGAAGCACTTTTTGGTTGTTTCTTGTTTTTGGGTATGTGCCGTTCGACAATATCCAGCTCAAGAAGGACAACGTTAGTACTAGGAACATATTGGCTTCCCCTCACCCGGATAGGGACACTTACCAGTTCTATTAGCTCCGTATTCGCTTTAGCTTTCACCCGGTAGTCTGTCGGATTATGCCCGCCCTATAGATATAACTTTTTTAGGATTCTAGCATCTATAAGGAGAGGAGAAAAAGTTGTTTCATGCTTGATAAGGCCACCCTCGGAAACATACCTCGATAATCTCTTGTTGTCGTATCTTCTTCTTCCAAGCTTTAAGGCCTTTAGCCCGCTTTAGGCGTTTCTCACTACCCTCGGCCTCAACGGCCATCAGCATCCCGGTGTCTAGATACTTCTTTGTAGGATCTTGGTATGCTTGAAGCTCTTTCTTGTGAATATCCTTCAAGTCCTGGTTATGTGACGGGTTGAGATCCTTCGTTGTTGGAGACTGCTTATTCGCCCAATATGGAGACCTTGTGGTCCATACTCTGCCTATTGGTTTCCCGGTATCTTTTGCCAGTCCAGTCGTTGTTCCAAGAAGATCAAAAAGGCAGTGAACGACGTCGAAAGCTTTTGATATTGTCAGCATATTTAATTTACCTCAGAACATGATCAACGAGTGGTATTATCTTACTCGGATGTCCATGGAGGTTTCCTGGCGTGACGAGGATGTTTTTGGGTTTGAACAAACCAATTGGCATCTCGGCCAGTTTCAGCTTCCGCTCCGCCTTAACCTTTCTAAGGTCGCCGCCATAAATGTTTTCCTGGGAAGAGCCGTGGTGATCAAGCTTTATGAGATCAAGTCCGTCGCCCAACTCGATATTTTTCTTTTTGTTGAGGAATTTGCTGATTATAGCGCGTTCCAGTTCTGGATTTCCATCACCACCAGCGTAGAAGCAGCACTGCCAGACGTTACCAGGCCAGAACAGCACAGCTAGGATCGATGACTGGTTTGGGGTGACCACCTGCTGAAATCTTGGAACTAAAATGCCGTGTCCGTTTGCGCCTACGATGCAGAAACGTGGACGGCTTTTATCCAAGTCAGAGCGTTCAAGATTTCCCTTATCATTAAAGATCTTAGAACCAGAGAACATATCAAGCCCAAGTACCATCTTGCCCGCCGTCGACGAAAAGCCGCGTGCAGACTGTTTCCATAGAATTTCTAGTCAGCCGAAATTCGATACTGGACTTCAAAGTCTGGTGGTATATCACTTACGGCTTGCAAAACAAATGTCTGTTCCGATGGCTTTTCCGATCGCCCACAGTATAACTTTGGGCTCTTTACAAAGTTTTCGGTCATCCATCCATCCCCATGGATTGTTTTACCTGTAATTAGGTCCATCACACCGCGAAAGTGATCATCATCCCAATGCGTCACAACCCAAAGGTTGAACTTGATTTCCTTTTTGATTTTCCAGGTAGATTTGAGATAATCCTTGGCACATTTCAGAGTCTGAACTATAGCTTCTGAAGCTGAGTGATCTTTGCCTGTGCCGCCATCCATGATAAACGCATATTCAACAGACTTGCGTTGTTTGTTAACCAAGAAGTGAATTGAGCAATCCCCAACTGGTACAGGGATTTGAAAGTTCTCAACAATCCAACTCATGGTGATGTCTGTAGATTAGAGCCAGACTAAGATGGTGAGAAAGGGTGCTTCTTCGTTCTTGGGGTCGGGATGTTGCCGACCCAGCTCCTAAGATAAATGCGAGGGCCGAGCATAAAATCAATAGTGTAAAATAGTACAGGGGTTCAATTCCGCAAAAGTGACGGGGCTCAATGGTGGCCTGACAAAGATGACGCGTCGCTGTAGCTAACCGAAACTGTCAAATACGGCTGAACTGCTAAGCAACTACACTAACTTGTTCCAGACCCAGTGAGTTCTTTTCGCAGCTGAAAAGGGGTCTAGACCTAATAAACGTCCTTACAACAGGCAACCAGTCAGGCCACGAGGTAATTTCTTTACGCCAACTTTTAACTAAAAAAACAGCACCTATATAAGGTCTTTTAAATTAATAAAAAATCTAGAATATCAATTTAATTAAAATTAATTTTTAAAGATATCTCTCTTACTTTTATTTTCTTATATTAAATAATATATTTTAAGGTTAAAAATAATATTTTTCTTACTAAGATTTTATTAAGACTTTTACTATAATGTAAATAATTAAATTGCCTTAATTATTAAGGAACCTTATAGCTATAGGTACTTAATAATAAGGTAATATGCCACTATAATTTAATATACCTTCTCTACTGTAGAGCCAATTTCAACTCTCTGATTGGCTAAATAACCCAGTAGCATAAAGAAATTTCCCCATGCCCTGACCCGTAGCCCTTACAATAAGGCCAGGGTTTGATTAGTATGTAACTGAGGTACCTCGTAGAACGCGGCAGCGTTTGAGCCAATATCCAAATCATATCTCTTACATGTGTAGATGAGAATTTTGTATGGAGAGTATAACCACACATGACCAAATACACCTGTTGTCTCATTTACCCCAAATCGGACCAAGTCTATCAATGAGATCACCCTTACCCCCCCAGAAACCCTTGAGCCCTGTGCAGCCATCATACGGCACACAGTCGATCACCTCGTCACAAAGCTCCGCGGAGCCAATACTCCTCTGCCTGTTTTTCGATGTATGCAGCTCGATGAACCCAACTCCACTCATCCCTCCGCTAAAGTTTCCCTTGCCCAATTTCACACGGTTGACAACTTCTCCCGCCTCTAGGTCAATAAAAATGCTATCCTGTGTCTCTCCTGTATCTGTTCCATGTGTCTGGTGTGTTTGCTCATACATCGTTCGTACCCGCTTCACTTTGCCATTGCCCCATTTCCTTAGTGAGATCTCAATCCGTTCCGGCCATGATACGGGGAGCATTGCTTTCTCGAGGACTACGGCGTCGACGAAAAATCCTCCGCTGGGGTTACCCACTGAGCGGTCAAAGCGATACTGTGAGTATTTCCGCTTGTTGTCTTCTGAATCCACAAAGGCTCGTTCCTGCTGGATGAGATGTTCTTTGATACTTCCTGAGCATATTTCAGGGGCTGGAATGACCTTTTCCACCTCCTTCTCTTTCTCCTTTACCTCGTCTTCCACTTTCTTCATGCTGTCTTTCATCTTGTTGCCAAGGCCGGCGCCGGTCGGAGGGTCAATTGTGTCTTGGGTGGGATCGTTAGCACAGAAGCCATTGATAACGAGCGCTGTTTGTGCGGCAGTGAGTTTAGTATCAGCGACCTGAGATTCTGCCAGAACCGGAAGTCGGATTGCCCAGACTTCTGGAGACGCCAACTCTTCAGTGATATCACCCGACGGATTGGAGTTCCTGCAAATAGGGGTGTCAGCCTGTCGATCTGGCAAAACATATGTAGGATGACATGGGAGACCAACAGCCTATCAATTATACCAACAATTTTGGCCATCTCTCTCTTGATCGCCTGGCGCTCAGCCACGAGTGACTCGACGTTGAGGTTGACAGCGTTATTAAAACGGCTTGGTACATACGCCAAAGGGTTGGCGATAACAGCTTGTATGCGACTCAAATTACTCTTGAACTCCATAAAATTGTCAAGAAGATCATGTGTATACTGTTGAATGGGAGAAAAGTCGGGCACAGTAATGTTATTTTCTTCTGCCCACTTGACAAAGCTGCGGTTGCGATTGTAGGGAGTCAAGATTGCATACGTTTTCTGTGGACAAGCCGCAACCCGTGCAGGAAATGCTGACGCAGCACGGATCAAAGAATCGAGAGTCCACTCAGCGTCCTCACTTTTGATTTGGCCTCCTCCCGACCAGTTGACTGTGATAGTGGATTCTGTCTCTTGAACAGCTGCTTCAATTGTAGAGGTGGCAGTTCCTTCGCTCAGTGTGAACTCTCCAGCCGAACCGTTCATGGCACCCTTGAGCCTGCTGAGTGTCAGTACTAACAGCATTTAAATTAGCATTCGACTTACGCTGCCTCGACTTTGCTTTTGTTCGAGGAGTCGAGAACCTTCATAGACACAATTCCATGGAGGTCGCCGCCTTCCATGAACCCTGTCATCCTTGTTAGTGAGATTCGAAAACAAAATATCGTTGTTGATCGTCACCAGATATATAACTATCACCATAGATCTTGAAGAATCTTTCACTAGAAATCTTCGCAGGTTTGTCCAATGGCAGGCTGGTCAATTCGTTAGCAGAAGCTTACTCCCATCTTAAGAAAACTGACAAAGTTGGGTTTTGAACAGCTGTAGTAATCTCTACGAGAATATTAGTTATATATCTAAAAGCACCTCGATTTCGAAGTCAATCAAAACTTACGATTGATGACTTTGACGGAAATGACTGCGTTCATATCACTGGCCGCAAATTTGGCCTCGTCCACGCTGACAGAGTTTCCAGAGACTTCGATGGTTCCGACCTTGATGGACGAAGCCGCACTGATGTTCATACTCCTGACAACATCTGAGATCTTCTCAACGAAACGCGAGCTGTATGACACAACCTGCGAGACATTTGATGGACCTCCTGCGCGTGCAGCTTGGGTTTGAAGGTCGGCTTGAGTGAGTTTGACAGCCCCATCAATGCAGGGCTGCTGCAGAAAAGAATTGAATCCTTGACCCAAGTGCATGGAATCATTGTACGGGGCGAGAAGAACGTAACCCATGATTGGCAATAGCCTTTCGGCGAACACTGAAGCTTGGGTGAGGTTGAAGTTGCAAGTTCTGCAAGAGACCAAGACATGAACTTTGTTGTAGAGGGGGCAAAAGATTATGAGATGTTTACGTATGTTTGTTCCGCCATGGACCGGAATGGAATGCCTGTGATAGTAATCCCTGGAGTTGCATCAATAGCTTATCAATAGTGCGTGGCCTGGACCTTTCTGGTGGGGATGACCCGCCGTACTACAGCGCGTATATGCAGGGTCTAGCACCTTTCGGCCTGCCAAGACTACTGATAAAGGTTGGTTTTGTTAAGGACGATGCCCAATGATTCCGCTGATTCCGTCCATCTTGAGGGCGAGCTATACTTGTGTCCCTCATGTTCTTTGCAAGGTCGTCTTTTCTTTGAGTTACTGGGACTTCACACAGCGCTCTCATATGCTGTATCTCTCTGTCTAGGATTTTGCCTACCAACCCCCATTTTACCTTGTTTGTTCACAAATCAAGAGTTCCGTCAATTCCGGCACGCGAGTCTTGTATCAAGTCAGAATGTCTGCAGAACCGCCAAAACAAACAAAAGAAGATGTCTTCGTCAAAGTGTACAGTCTCACCACATCACCCAAACAGGGTCAAGATGGGGATACCTCTGTTGCTATCGGCCGCATGGCAGTCACAACACTCAAATTTGCAGAGTCAGTTACTTCAGTGGCTAGTCCAAAAGACCTGAGCTAATGAGAGAGCAGCGATGCTTCAACATTTCAGTCCCGTATTACGCTGGCAGATATCAGGACCAAGATAAACGAAGCTCTGAGTAGCGAACAAACTTTCAAGTTTTGTGCCGACGATTGTTCTCTTGTTCCTGAAGATGTCACTCTCAAGACATACAAGCAGATGATGCGTAGTAGTGCCATGCGCGAAGCCAAAATCGCTACTGTTCTCATCGCGCCGACCTCTGAGCCTGCTTCCAGCCAAGGCACTGCCTTGAAGGATTCTTTCATCATGAAGTTTATCCAGCTGGGAAATAAACCTGAAGATGCCAAGAATGTCGGGTCTTTGCATGCATCGGCTTTCAAAGGCAAAGATCCGTCTACAATGATCTTGGGAGAATTGCGTCGACTAATTGGGAAGATGTAAGCCAGCCTGGCAGGTAATAATATTGATGTATATGAGCGATACTAACAGGTGGCCAGGTCGGCGGACCCAAAAATGCACACGTTCTGTTCCCTCGATGGGACAGCAGCTGGAGATGAACTGACCTTGCAGAAGTACCTCGCTCTCGATGTAAGTTGAGGATTTCTGCTATAGCCTTGTTCCATGTTACCTCTGTATTCTCATACTTCAGCAGAACGCAAAAGTTCACCCGTCCGATGGCACACCAGCCATTATAATACGTTATCGAAGTAGTGATGCAAACGTCTCTGCCGCTGCTTCCAAATTCCACGGCGCCAGCCAAGATGTTTTGCAGACTTTGGATCAGATAAAGCCCGACCTCAAGTTCAAAGACAGATCGGCAGAGGAAATGCATGTGGACACGAAAGCTCTACAGGTCCAGGAGAGTCTCAGAGCATCGGACATTGCGGCGCGTGAAGCATCCCCACTCAAGTAAGTAGCCATTATGCGACATACCTCTGGTATACTGATGGCGAAAAAGATACACGAGTCAAATGGACGAATCCGATTGGGACTCTGTACTAAGGAACTGTTGTTTACTGTATGGTTGGAAAGTCGACAAAAGGACAAGTAGTATTGTAAGAGCCACAACCCCAGCTTTCCGACTCAAAAACAAATTGTCCCTTAGGCCAGTAGTTGCTCCTCCTCCTCCTGCTCTTCCACAGCAAGGAACCACTCCAGAAACTCCTGCGAATACGTCCGTTGCTTTAAGCTCGAATGCTCCAAAGGCCCCAGAGACATCAAAAGATGTGGCTGCTGAAGCAGTAGCAACTGGAGGAGCGGTTGAAACACAAACTCCGCCGATCGAGGATGATGTTAAAACAGCCGTCGCAACCGAGAAGCCACTCACCGCAGAGGATGTTGAAGCACCCATTCCGACAAAGCTTGGAGCCATTCCGTCATATGCAATCAATGATAGATCTCGAATCGAGATTACAATGGTCAGCAACGAATTCCAGGAATCCATGGCCCGGAACCATTTCGGTGCGTCGTCAGTGGAAGGCTCAGCGTAAGTTAGTTCCAAAACGGTGAGGATATTGCTCAAATGAACGTTTCAGATCTGGGGGATGGAGCGGATACTCGGTCGGAGTCACAGGCGGTGCTGCCAAAGAAGATGCGTCAAGCGGAAACAAGACCAAAAAAGGCTACGCAAAGAGAATGATTGGAAGCTACATGTTCCCTCGCGTTGATGTCTTCCTGAGACCAGAAGATCTAGAGCCGACCGAAGAGCTTCGGGTAGCTCTTGATGGCATCAAGCAGACTAAGAATGTGAGTGACATGGCCAACGTCAAGGATTGATACTAAAGCATAGTAGATCAACGCGCTCCGGGAGCTTTATAGCACTTTCGGACACCTATTCTGTCATTCAGTCACTCTTGGAGGCTGCCTTCAGACTACCAAGGTTGTTGAGAGCGATGAAGATGTTCAACAGAGCAAGGATAAGGAGTCATTCAAGGCACAACTTGGAGTTGCTGTTTCCACTGTAGGCCCTCCACCTGACCTTCAAGGATTAAGCTGACAAGCTGTGATTGGATAGCCATTCGGGGCTAAGGGAAACGTCAAAGGGTCTAAGGAGAGCCAGGATAGTTCAGAAGCTTTCAGCAGAAGTGCGAGAGCGAACGAGAGCATGGCATTTGAGGCTACTGGTGGCAATTCGATCCTTGCAGCAGAGTGAGCAACCAAATCGCCTGGCTATGAGCGTCTACTGATCTTTGATAGCCCGCCGGCCTGGAGTGGCTCTGTCGCAAACTTCAATAACTGGCGTATCATCGAGCAGACCGAACTAACACCAATTGTTGACGCTATCTCAAAGATGGCTGGCTATCGCGAAACTCGGTCGTGGTTCTTCGCCGCGGTCCCTAAACTCAGTGAGTACATGGTAATTCCCGAATCAAGGATGCTCTATGTTCGCTTCAAAGTCGCCAGCCAGGATGAGAGTTTTGGCGTCATATCTCAGAAGAAGGTATGCTGCATTTGGTAGCCGTGCGCATTTACCTACTAATCTTAGTATAGATACCGGCCTATCTAGGACATCACCCAAACAAGTCAGTAACCCCAGTTCGCACGAATCTTCGAGTACCAGATCGACAACCTAAAGAAGCCTTCAAAGACGGGCCATTTGGGCTTATTGGCGACATGACCAAGATAACGGCTCAGAATCCTGGTTCCGCTACCACTCCACTCTTTGAGCCAAGCAGGTCTGTTTGCATACGTCTGCAATCTTGATTATGATGCCTAATATTGTAACCTTATAGGACTCAAGCGCCAATCCTGCTCTTCCCTTCCGCGGTAGATCTCGGTAAGTATGGTACTAGCTCGTTCTATTAGAGGCTGGCTGACTTTCAGCAAGGCACCAAGACCGATAAAACGTTCAGCCATGCGGTCTGGCGGCTGGAGATTGCCAGGGGACATAGCGTAAGCATATTTCATGGCTAATTTATTTCTATGCATCAGTGTTTAATTAATCTGATTCATTCTTAGATCGGCCCTGATACCTTGCTTTGCATTAAAACAGCGGCGCTGCCGAATGCCGATCTAGCCTTGACAGTATACCGTAATGCTCAAGGAGTATTCCTCCCATCAATTAGTAGCACGGATGAGCCCTGCTATTGGCGACTCGAGACTGTGGAAACATCTGGAATATCCAAAATGAAAGGGGATCGGTACAAGTTCGGCGACTCCTTCAGACTTACCTGGTCTTTCTCCGATCAAACTAGCGGCTTCCGAGACTTTGTCGATGATTCATACGGTCGACGCAACCTAAATCGTCCTTCTGAAATGAAGAGCGACAAGTTATGCTTCAAGGTACCCTTCCCACGGTTCGAAAGCATGTCATCAGATTACATAGCACTACTCATGTCGACTGCCTTGACAACTGATCCTATCATTGATAAGATCAAAGTGCTCGATGGATTCAACCAAGAGAAGCCGTATGATTTCCATGATCTGACGTTTCGGGTTGATCTGGTTGGTAATGATGGTAACGGCGATAAGGATGACTACGCAAATCTTGCGACGACGAGCTGGCAGGAGTTGGATCAGAAACTTTCAGCCGGGGAGAAGTTGTTGAGTAACATGCTTGGACCTTCCCCAACGGTTATTGATGGCGTTTTGGGGGGTATGGAGTTTACCCGCTGGTGAGATATATACTGCACTTTTTGGGGGAATGAACCTATCAATAGTTCCACCAGGAAGGGATTAATGTTAGTCCTCTTATCTGTGCCCGTCGAGACTCATAATCGTACACTGTGACTCGGACAGTCGAATTCGTCTGGCCGCAGAACGGTACATGCACATGCAGCGGATGGGGCCGCGCGATTGGCGAGACAAGTACGACGTGCAGAAAAGGTGGTCAGCATCTGCCCATTTCGACATCCTGATGGCCTCAATCCGGGGTTCACGGCAATCTCTTACCCAAACATGTTCAACATGTCGTAGCAAGATATTTATTAGTTACAGAATCCCTTCCTGTTCTTATACAGTCGCTTTGGCAACTCAAGTTACCTAAGGAAACTCATCGACACTTCTCCAGCTACGTCGGCGATCAGTGGAATTATTCCCTCACTGTAACCTGACCAAGTCATGCAAATGATCACGCTCGCATTTCGGTTGCAACCAACCCGCCCGTTTCCGGTTTTAGTGTCCAATGAAGACATCACGCCACCAATGACGTTGTAGGAGAATGCGTCGCTCAACGTTGTACTTCTGCAGCGGAACGCAACACGGGCAATGAAGATACATTGTTGACAGCAGGAGTCAACAGTCCAATAGCAGATGCATTCTCCTCGTAAGGCATTCTTTCGTCCACGTCAGTCGTTTGCGACCTAACGAAAAAGAGGCAACCTTAGCAGAGCCTCATCAGGTTTTGACTTGTGGAATCTGGGCCCAGATCAAGATAAGCTCGCGGATCCTCAATTTAATACTCAATCTCCAACGGTTCTAATTATTGTCAGATATTCCCTCGATCTTTCTCTCATCTTTATTTGTCTTTGACGTGATTGGTCTAGTCACCATGGTGTCGACACCCCCGCCATCAGATGACGCAGAGGGTCATCCCCCGGAAGAGAGTCCACATGACGAGAACGAGGAAGAAGCTAAGAGCGCGTCACCAAGCAAGAAGCCAGCCAAGCAACCCAAAACATCAAATCGCGGACATAAACTGCGGCATAAACAGCCTGCGCATTATCGAACACACACCAACGACTTTCTTTCGGGCGACCCGGTAATGAGGCAGGCGATGCGCTTCGGCGTCGACCCATATCCTCCTCCACCGCCGGGTGCGTATCCAGCGAACACAAACGCGCCTTATTATCCATCACCATCCGTTCCACCACCGGCTGGTTATCCCAGCCCATATACATACCCTGGAGGAGGAGGATATTTCTCTGTCCCGCGAGCAAGTGCTCGGGATCCCCAGTACTTCACTCCGCCAGGATACGATGTTCCGCCTTCAGGATACTCTGACCCAGGATACCCTCCCGTCGAGTCTTATAGGTATGAGGAGGAAATCCCACCGTTTCCTGAGTACCCAACGCGGGAGCCGAAAAGGACTCCAGTGCGACCGAAACCCTTGCGACAACCGAAGCCACAGACCGAGCCTAACCTGAGCAGTCTCCGAAAGGATGTGGCCTATCAGAGACCGCGACAGAGGCGACCGTCTATACCCACAAGGGAGAGCGCGTCGTCACAAGATGGAATAACCATGAAAGATATCATGGCTGAACTCAGAAACCTTCAACGTCAGGTGTACCAAGCCGAGATACAATCCGACCCTGGAAGGGTTCAAGGCCGCCCCCGAAGAAGTCCATCAGTCACGAGTCAGTATACTAGCGATGACACAAGATCCCTAAACATAGAGAGAGAAAGATCTCGTCAGTTGACAAGCATTATCTATCGGCTGCTCGAAGATAGACAAAGACCTGAATATCAAGATTCATTAGGGCTCTCGTCAAGGCAGACAATGATGGATCTTCTTCGGGGCAGGGTAAGGGAACATGATGGAGATATGGCACTGGTCAGTCAGCAGGACGCACAGGAGATACGATCAAAACTCGATACTATACTGGAGTATCTTCAGCTTGAGGGAGGATTGGAGGACGCGCCCGTACCGCAGCGACTACGTGAGGGCTACGAGAGCAGGCTACAGCCCTTGGTCCTTAGGGGTCAGCCTTCTATCGCCTCAGGTTCCTCAGTGCACGCACCATCATCACCAATTACAAGTCGAGCAACGCCCCATCGTCGCCAGACTCTCCCATCAGTCATCAGACCACCACAAGATGCCCAACCATCTAACCAAGGACGTACCCGACAGCTTCCAACCAGACTGCCGGAGCCAGATGATGACGATGAGGATTACGAAGAGTTCAGACTCGCACCAAGACCTCCACGGACAAGAGTCAGCTCAACACAAAGTGTTGCATCGCAGGGCAGGAGAAGGCTACAGCCATCTGTTGTTCAAAGGAGTGACCCTCTCCCACCGGAAAGAAAGATTGTAGAAGGCGATCAACAGAAAGTCAGACCAGGTCGGTTTGCATATGTACAGACGGAAGATGAACAGGATGAAGAACCTGCTCGAGCACCTGTGCCGCCGTATCCAGTGCCTGATCCACCTGGACAGTCCAAGCGGAGAAGGTCATTGCAATCGGTGAGATTCAGGTAGAGTGAGAGGTGATGTACTCTAGTGATTAGCGTGGCGAGAGGGTGAGTGACAAGGCGGGCGGGGGAGGACAGACGCGTATGGGGAAATTGAACTGTGCCGGGAAAAGTATCGCGTAACAATGTAAGACTAGGATCTCTATATATCTATCTACATTGAAAATAAGCTTGACTCGTTCTAGTTAACTGTAAAGTCGAAGTGTCTCACGTTGGTTTCCCAGGAGCATAACCTCGTTGAGAATGATCAGCCGTGAGACAATATAATGAGAATGCTTATATAAACACTCCGACGTTTAGATAACCTTATCGCAGAGGGCATTATTAATTCAACGTCCCATATCGCAATTCGGCACGTTCTCGCGTCATTTCGAGGCGCTGTCAAGACTACTTTCGGTTAGTTGTTTTGTCACGCATAACGTTATCGCCAAGCGAATCCAGACGGAATTTCCGGTCGTCAGACTTCTTGGTTTCACCCTCACGATTGACAGGATGATTGGTCGAGGTTGACCCATTAAACAACGTTATGCTAGAGTATTTAACAAAATTGAAGAATTCGGGCTTTTTAGGGTATCAAACTACATTTACGTGCTTTCTTGAAAGAGCCTACAAATATGTCTCGCCCAAATAAAGCTATCTACATGCTTGCAAATGGCAAACATGAACTCCGAACAATCGAAGAGCCGTATGTCCCGCAGAAGGCACAGTCTCTTGTAGAAGTGCAGTACTCGGCAATCAACCCAGCTGATACCCGCCATTCATACATGAACATGTCAGAATACGTCGCTGGCTACGAGTACACCGGCATAGTTCGCGGAGTTGGGCCCGGATCTCCCTTCAAAGTTGGCCAGGAAATCTTTGGCCAATCGTTGCCGTATGATCATCGACCTAATTACCTTGGCGCGCATCAAAGCTTCCTCTTAGCGGAACCTCTGATGGCTTTCGAGAGGCCTGCGCATCTTGATCCCATCACCGCAGTAACACTTGTCGTGGGCAGTGCAACGACCCTCGATGCTCTTTTCAATGTCGCAGGATATGGTTTCCCGCTCGCTAGCATCACTGGCGACGACCCAAAGAACGAGCCGATTCTTATCTGGGGCGGTGCTGGAGCTGTTGGCCAGGCCGCTATCCAGATTGCCAAGGCAGCGGGTTTCAGCCCCATTATCACGACGGCCTCACCTCATAATCATGAAGCTTTGAAGAGGCTTGGTGCGGATGAGGTCTTTGACTACCGAAGCGCAACTGTCGTGAAGGATATACGTGCATACCTGGAAAGATCTGGCAAGTCACTGAAGACTGTTTTCGACACAGTTTGCGCTGGTCTCGGTGTCTTTGAAGGGCTTTCGCCGGAAGAAGAAAAGGCCTTGGAGGATAAATACGACCAAAGCTCGCCAAGTCTTTCTCGCCGTTGCTGTGACCCCAAGGTACCCGCAAAAGAGCTCCGTCTAGTATCAACTCTCCTCGTGAAGAAGGATCCAGCATGGAAGTTTACTTTGAGCGTCAGAGTTGTTGAGCAAGTTGACTTTGCGGTTGATGCTCAAGATCGAAGCGATGAGGAGAGGAAGAGGGAGGAGAACAGGATCATCGAGTGGCAGAAGCGTATTGAGCGGGGTATGCACTGGTTGGCTGAGAACCATGAACAGTACTGGGAGGCGCCGCGGTTTAGGATTCTGAAGGGGGTGGAGGAGGGGCTTCAAGGTATTCGCGATGTTTGGAACGGGAAAGTGAGCCGCCAGAAGCTTGTTATTGATCACAGGGTTTGAGATGTCATGAGGTGACGAGGGATAAGCATGGCAGAATAAGGACAATTGGACGATATTAGGCTGTGGTGCACTCCACGAGAGCACAAAGGATTTCTGGTAATGCTTCTCCACATGTAGACCAAGCCCATCAATTCTAGCACAGAGTTGCTGTTAGATTCTTAGGTACATACAGCTCCAAGGGCAAATAAGCCATGCACTCATAAGACAATTGTGACATTTCCTATGCTGAGGCAGCCGTCAACAAGGCAGCAGCAGGTCGAGAGTTCAATTCATTGGATAGCCTAGCGACATGCAAATGCAAACAGGATTCATTATATCAAGCCAGGATAAATAAGCAGTGACCAACTTGGCAAAAAAGCATTACAAGCACATGACTTACTACACTTGGTGGAATAGAAGTAATTACTCGGGGATGCTTTAATTGGTTGACATAGTAATATTAAAAATTAAAGAAACCATGAACTATTGCTAATCCAAGTCCCGTCGCCTAAATGTTATACATAGATCCTGTAATCTTAACCGTTTATCATCTACATGAAGAAAGCAAGGACAGCTGGGAGAGCCAGCATGAAGCCAGTGCGAACCACGCTGGCACCACTGACGGGAACAGGAGTGGTGGGGACGGGAGTGGCCACGGGAGTCTCAGCAGCAGGAGGAACAACTCCGGGCTGAGAGACAACGGGAGGAGGCGCGTAGCCGGCGGTGGTGCCGGGAGCGGGGACCACAGGGACGGCGGTGGTGGGAACAGGAGCCGGGTAGACGGGAACGTGGGTAGAGACAGTTCCGTTGCTGGGAGGGTAAGGGACGCTGTGAGCGGGAGGGGCCACAGGCTTGCCACCGGTGGGCTTCTCAGGAGTGGGGTATCCAGCAGTAGGCTTCTCGGGAACGGGAGCCTCGCCAGTGGGTTTGCCAGGAACAGGGACCTCAGCGGTGGGCTTCTCCTCACCCTCAGTGGTAGGAGCAGCGTGGCTGGGGACCTCGTAAGCCTTGGTGCTAGGGGAAGCAGTGGTCACGACCTGGAAAGTAGTCTGGCCCTTGGAAGGCTGAGCAGTCTTTCCCTCCTCGGGACAGTAGGTGGTGGTGTCAACGATGGTGACAGTAGGAGCAGGAGGGGGAGTAGTAGGAGGGTGGAAGGTCTTGGTAGTTCGGGTCTTGCAAGGCACAATTGTGGTGAGGGTGTCAGTGATGGTGGTGACGGGAACATGGACCTTGGTGGAGTGAGCAGTAGTGGTAGCGGGGACGGCACCGGTCTCGGTAGCAGGGCAGACGTAGGTGCTCTCGATGACGGTGGAGGTGACGACCTTCTGGGTGTAGCGGGCAGGGCAGTTGATGACGGAGGCCGCGCAGCTGGTGATGGTGTAGACGTGGGTGGAGGTGACGGTGCTGGTGACATCGCCGGTGGTCTGGGGCTTAGCGAGAACGGAAGAGGAGCCAGGGCCAGCAGGGTAGGCACCAGATCCAGAGCCGGTAGTCTCAGCACCGGCAGGGTAAGTCTCAGAGCCAGAGGCACCGGGAACAGGGTAGGCACCAGAGCCAGAACCAGTAGTCTCGGCACCAGCGGAAGCACCAGATTCAGAACCGGAACCAGGGATGGGGTAAGCACCGGAGCCAGAGCCAGTGGCCTCAGCACCGGCAGAGGTACCTGAACCGGAGCCAGAGCCAGAACCGGTGGTCTCGGCACCAGCAGGGTAAGTCTCAGAGCCAGAGGCACCAGGAACGGGGTAAGCGTCAGAAGAGTCAGCAGTGGCAGAGCCGGTAACATCAGCAGAAGCAGAAGCGTCAGCAGAACCAGTGGCATCAGGGAGAGCAGAGTCGGTGGTAGAACCAGAGCCTCCAGCAGGGAGAGTAGACAGAGAGACGACCTGAGTGTGAGTGGTAGAAGGGCCACCTTGCTTCTCAATGAAGCCACCAGGAGTACCGCGGTTAGGCTGGCAGACCTTGGCCTGAGCAGCAGTAGCAAGGGTGACGGTCAGGGTAGGAGCAAGGCTGATGTCGAGAATGTCGCCGACCTCAACGTTGAGCTCGACAGCGAGGCCAAGGGTGAGAGCAATGAGCTCATCGACGGAGACGGCGCAGTTGTCGGTGGCGATGAGAACGGCAGTGTACTCGAAAAGACTGACCCAGACAGCAATCTTGGCACCGGCCTCGATGTCGAGAACGGGAATGTCAAGCTCGGCCGAAAGATCGATCTCAGTTCGGAGACGGAGGCCAAGAGTGAGAGAAACCTCAGCAGAGAGGTCAACCTCGGCAGCAACGCCAATGGGGAGAGCCTTGGCGACAAGACCCTCAAGGGAGACGTCAACGATCTCCTTGGTGAGAAGAGAAACCTCAACGAAAGCCTCCTCGCCGAAAGCAAGGTAAACACCAGCGGACAGGTCAATAGCAGCATCGACACCAACGACAAGGTCAAGAGCGAGGGCAGCACCGGCCTCAGCCTCGAGAAGGCCGGGGACCTCAAGCTGGAGAGCAGAAGAAGCGAAAAGTTCAATGGATTCGTGAACGGCAGCGGAAGCAGAAATGTCAAGCTCGACGTAAGCCTTAATAGCACCAAGACCAATACGGACACGGGGCTCCTGAAGGAAGTCCTTCACAAGCTCAAGAGTAGCATCACCCTCGATCTGAGCATTGGGAAGGTTAAGACCAAGCTTAATGGCGGCGGCAGCACCAGAAGCAGGAGCAGCGATACCGTCGAAGAGAACATGGTTCTCCCAGCTGTTGGCCAAGCTGCAGGTAGAAGGAAGGCCTCCCTTCTGGCTAACGGCAGCCGTGGTGGGGGCTAGGTCGAGACCCTTGGAGGTGGTGTCAACGGACTTAGAAGCCCCAGCACTGTTACCTCCGAGCGAGACATCGACATCGAGACCGAGGCCAACGCCGGGGAGAAGGTGAGGCGAGGCAGTGGCAACAGCCACAAGACCCCCCAAAGCGGGAATCAAACTAGAAAAATGCATCTTTTTAATAAACAAATGTAAATGAGTGACTGGAGCGTGAACCGCTTCCGAATAAGTGAGTGAAAAGAGAGTGACTAGGTTAAAAAAAGAGTGCAGAAAACTACAGAACACGAGAGCAAAACTACGAGCAGAAGGAGAGCATTTTAAAGGAAGGATAATAGTAAATGTCGAACCATCTCCTTGACGATGTTACCTCGTGAAGCGGGAGTTCAAAAGCGGTGACAATTATATCCGGCGATCGCTATTTAACACCCTTGCCGTGCGCTTTGCCAAATTGGGGAATTCTCCTGTCAACC